GTCCAACCCCTCATGTGTCCACCCCTCCTGCCCTGCCCGACCCACCATGAAGATGCACATGATGGAGAAGAAGATGACCGACATGACCAGGTTGGCGTCCCCCGTGGAGCCGCGGCGCATGTTGACAAAGGCGGTGGACACCAGGAAGGCGCTGAACAGGATCTGCGCGGCAGTGCAGGGCAGTGCATCCCGGAGGTGAGTGCCGGCATCCACCGGGAGTAGAAACAGCAGCGAGTGAGCAAGGAGTGATGATCAGACGGACCGGGCGAGTGGCCAGGATCACAACTCACCGCGCAACCTCCCCCCGTCAAGGCTCAACAGTGGTAGTCATTGACAACGGTCAAGCACACCCTTCCCTGCACCCCTTCCCTGCACCCCTGCACCCCTCCAGTCCCCGCACCCCCGCCTTCCCCCTCCCGCACCTGCACCACCCCCGACACCGCGAACTGCGCGTTGCGGGCGAACAGCAGCACCTCCCGCTGCAGCACCACCCACAGCATGGAGCGCGCGGACAGACCGTAGCGCTGCTTGTGCAGCACCAGGTCCTGGGGGAGGAGGGTTAGGGTATGAGTTGGTGGTGGCGAGGAGTGGGAAGGTGGGCGCGTGTGCGGTGATCTGGGCGAGCGCATGCGAGGACCCCTTCCAGGTCAGCTGGGTTTTGAATGCGGCAGGATCACAGCAAGGAGAGGGGTAATGGCAGCATGCATGGGCCTCACCGTCAGCGGGTGTCTGAAGGGCGGCTGAGCTAGCTGCCGGGAGCGCTCCTGGCCCACCTCGCTGGCATCGAAGGCCTGAGAGGGAGCAGGGAGCAGGGCGGAGCGCAGAAAGGGAGTTACCGGTAAGTAAAAACACCTGGAAAGACCGGCGTCAACATGGTGGCGATGGTAGCACCAGAGCCCTTCCCCCCACCTGCCGGATGCGCTTGGGCGAGATCCACTTGCGCCCGCCCGCCGCCTGCAGCGGACCGCCCTCTCGATAGCGCGCTTGGTCCTCAGGGCTGGCCACAACCTCCTGCGGGGGAGGGAAGACGTAGAGTATGAGGCGAGGGCTCTCAATGACATCCCTACTCAGTGTAGAATTCGTGCGGGAGAGACACGTACCTCTAAGCCACCGAAATCCCCAGAACAAAAGCCAACAACGCTCCCCACCTGTGCAAAGTCCGCGGCTGTCTGCCCCGGCAGCGGCCGCAGCCCTAGCCCCGCGAAGAAAGGCAGCAGCTCCTCCCGCGGGCCGTGGAAGACGATGACGCCCTGGCTCATCAGCATCACGTCGTGGAAGCAGTCAAACACCTCGGGCGAGGGCTGCAGCAGCGTGGTCAGGATGGTGGCCTGAGCGGGACAAGTCGGAAAGCAAGGGTGGGGGTTTCAGTGAGCGCATGCGCTGTAAGGGTGCTGTGACAGGGTTGCAAAGCGGACACGAGCAGCAAGCCACACGGCCGCTGTAGAGTAGGCCGTAGTAAAGGAGAAGCGCGAGTTGCGCGGCGCGGTGGCTGTGAGACCTCACGCATGTGAGGCCATGTGGTTATTAAACGCTGCAACTACATACGCCGCACCCCCCCCCTCCCATGCATGCATGCACACAGCTTACATTTGCCTGCACCGCGATGTTTCGCAGCGCCTTCACCAGCGCCAGCGCGGAGGCGGCATCCAGGCCGTTGGTGATCTCATCCTGCAGGGAAGGGGGGGGAAGAGGGATCGGCAGGTTGGGAGCGACACGAAACAGACAGCGGGATACTCTTCACCATGTGATGCCGCCACCCCGCAGGAAAGCGCAAACAGCATACGCACTGGTCCCTTCGCAGCAACCGTCGTTCCAAGCGCTTTTGCGGGCTGCTTACGCCAGACCCACACGCACTCTCAGACCAGCCCTACTCTCCTCCCACACACCCCGAGTGCCCTCTGGCTCACCAGCATTTGGACCTGGGCCAAGCTGACAGCCATCTCGCCTGCACGAGCAGGGGGCACGGCATGTGTGCTTAGGAAGCTACCCAAATGCCATGCACCACACAGCATGCACTCCGCCGCCGCATGCGCCTATCCGCCTCGCATGCTCCCTGCTATCCCTGCCACGCAGCTTTCCGCCCCGTCCTGACCCCCTTCTTCCTTGGACCCCCCCCCGCGCCGCTCCCCCTGCACCCCGGACCATTCCGCTCTCACCGCATGTGACACGGCGCATCTGCCCCCCGCTGATGCCCTTGAGCATCTCATCGCCCACCGGGGTGTCCATCACGTGGTCAATACCCAGCATGCGCGCATGCAGCTGCGGGGAGGTGGGTCGGGTTGGGTTGGATACTTGGCTTGGGTGAGATCGCAAAACTGACGTTGCGGCAATGCAGCAAAGGGAGCAAGGAACAAACGCGCCGTGGCGAGTATGGGTTGCATGTTGGCGTGCTGACTCACCTCAACAATCACCTCGTGCCCCTGCGAGCTGCCCCCCAGCTCCAGTAGTTGAGTGAGGTCATCGTCTTCGGGAGTCAGCCCGGCCGCAGCCTCCCGCTCGGCGATCAAGGCGTTCATGCCTGCAGGAAGGTATGGTGGTTGGGGGCCAACAACAGCGCATGAGACACGCCAGGACAAGCAGAGATGCAGACGTCGGCGACGAGGGAGCATGCGGCCATGCAAGTCACCAGAGCCCAAGCAGCTGAGGGGCTGAGGGGTCTACATGAGGGGAGGCGCCGGCTTGCAGCAGAAGCGGCAACAGCTGCAGCAGCAGCGCCAGTTACATGTCTGGCTCAGTTTTTTCTCTTCCAACACTCACGTTTGGCCACGTCGTTAGCCTGGCACTTGGCCGCAAACGTGAGCGTCTCGTGCACGCTGAGCTCTGCAAGGTGGTTCTCCCGCTGGGCCACGTAGGTAGCTGCGCGAGCCACCTCGAAGTCGCAGGCGGGGCCGTGGATGGGAGTTCCGTTGTACGACACCCCGCCGTACACGTGCAGACCGGCACGTGAGCGGCGTGGGTTGATGATGCTCTTGGTGTCGTTGGTGGTGGTGGTGGCAGCAGCGTCGGCTAGGTTGTTCATGGAGGAGGCGGCGGAGGGCCGGCGGGGCAGGCGAGGCGTGGCGAGGTCGGGTAGGAGCTGGCCTGAGAGGGCGCGGAGGAGGATGGTGCGGCCGGCGCCTGGGGGGCCGAGCAGCAGGGTCATGCGGCCGGGTTTGAGGGCGCCGCTGCCGGCGTTGAGGATGATGCGGGGCTTGGCGGGGTTGCCGCATAGGGTGCGGGGTGTGAGAAGGCCGGCCTGAGGGTGAGGAGTACAGGGACGGGGTGAGGAAGAGAGCAGGGACGGTAAGGTGGTTGAAGGAAAGGACGAGGTGGAAGGCGCAGGGTTTGGCGTGAATGGGGCTTGCATGTCTCCTGTGGTGTACTCGAGCGCTGTGGTCTAAGAACTGAAAGTTGGTGCGAAGATGGGTAGCCGCAACGCTGCATGCCGGCACCCCCGCTTGTCCGCGGCCATGTTTCGCCCCCTCACCTTGGGTCTGGGTGCCGCGACCTCCACCATCAGGTTATCCCAGCGCACCTCAATGCCAGGGAAGGTCAGGCCAACCCTGCAAAGCATACCGTAAGACAGGATTAGGGAACTATTGTATCGATCATTCATTCATCCAAGAATGTCAATGAGTTGTTCACCACATTGTGGACAAGCTATTGAGACGCAGGTTGTTGCCGCATGTAGGCTTGTTGGCATGCTGTTCAGGCGATGGGCAGTGTAGGCACTTCGTGAACTGGGTTATCGCTGACTCGCCTTTGCAAGCGGTTACCGAGCTTGTTGAAGAGCTTATAGTTGTCACGTTCCCCCTCCGTGACGGCAAGGAGCACGGGGCCCACATTTGTGGTTTTGCGGCTGAAGCGCCCGCTTTTTGCTTCTTGGTCATCCTGCAAACGGTTATATTTCTTGTGGGCGATAGGCAATAAAGTGGCCTGAGGCGGCCTTCGCGCGGCCTTTTTCATATTAGTAACCAGTCGCAACATGCTCCGGTCCCCCTTGTAACTTTCGCATTCTAAACAAAAAAGGGGCTATGCTCCATAACGTGTAAAGTGTTCTCCCTTACCATTTTTATTCCAACGTGTGGCGCGACGTCGCAGGAAACGACTTACAGCATAAGCTAGCTAGTCGACGGGCGACAGGCACGTTAGGTGCAGTTTTTAGGGGATGCAGAATTGTGTAATAATCGCCTGTTACGAGATAGAATACGTAATTTGTAGGCAGAATGTTAAGAAGGTCTTGATGCTCTGTGAAGGCTAACTACCCGTATCCTCACGGCAAGGTTCGCGATTGTTTCCTAAGCGCTTATACTGAAGTGGTATAAGCTGCCATGCCTGTTATGAGAAACTTGAAACTCTTTGACAAGTGCTTGACTGGTTGCAGTAGTAATGTACGACAATGTAAACATTTCCCGTCATCCTTCGATTACCATTATTTGTGACATATTATAGGAAACTCCCTTGCCCCGCTAGCTTTGGTAACCCGCTCCTTTTTCGATGTAAGCATCAACGACTGACATCAGCTGCGCCATCTTTAAATACCTTGAAGGCAGTGTTATTCCATCCACCTCATCGTTTCCTCACTTTTATTTGGCACAAAAGAAAATAAACTGGATTTGCCAGGGCAAAGTTTGCACGCCTAGCCACGTCCACAGGTACCTGGTCATTGATTTCGCACTGCCTCCGCGCGTTGCCGCAACCATTGCCACGTGTACTAAGCAGAGGTAGAATTATCACACACTCTACCACAGGTTAGGCTAGGCTAGACCATGCCGGGTCTGCAACCGTCTGCTGGTGTCTAGCACTATCCCGGCTATAAGGCTGACAGGCGCGACAGCGGATACAGGAGCACGCGCTTCCTGATGCGGCCGGCTTCCGCCACCAATTTGCGTTTTGCAGGAATCACTGGTGAGCGCCGACAGGCCATCCACACGTTGAGAGACTTGAGGCTCGATGTAAACGGGCTTACAGCCTAAACCTCACCAACCGTGCCCGGCAGGTACAGCTGCCACTCCTGCACCACACCCGCATCCTTTCCCACACCACCGAGCATTCCCTTTCTTCTCCTCGTTCTAACGTTGCCATCCAACATACACAGCAACTATACACAGCACCAGTTGCGCCCAGCGGAAATTGCAAAGCCATTCGGCAACCCCACCATCAACGGGCCCGGAAGGACTCGATGACGTGGCGCAGCAGTGCCTCCTTATCCGCATCGAACTGATCGCTCCGGGAGCTGTGTGTGGGGGGGTGGGGGGCAGGGAGGTGGTGGTTGAGGCTAGGCGGTGGAAAGCGGGTGCAGGGCATGCTTGGGGGCGTTGATTGGATGCGTGCGAGGCAAGCAGTGAGCAGCAAAAGTTATCGTTACAGGAGTGACAAGGACGACCTGGGTCATAGCATGATGGGCGTTCGGTAGCTGTTCCCTGGCATACGTTTATCATGAGTGCATGCATGCCAGCAGACTTCAGACAAAACGATGGTACCGGCAAACAACGCGCCGGCAGCTACTGAGCAATGAAACCTCACGGCACGGAGGCATGGATGGAAGCACAGCCATAGGCAGTCAATAGTAAGTCAAGTGATGGCCCCCACCTTGCATTCAGGCAGTACACGGTTCCTCGTCGTACAGCCACCACTGCGAAGTTCCGTCGCCGTACCTGGTGAGTGGTGGCAACACAAGGTGTGGGGGCAGCAAGGTCCGGCTTGGAGTAAGGGTTGGAAGGTTTGGAGGTTTATGTACAGAACCCAAATCGGATACAGCCCTAGGTCTAGGTCTAGACATGCCATGGGACTTACCTGCCAAGCCTAACATTCAAAACCCTAATGCGACTGCACGTGTATGACACAGGACACCATGCTTAGGGGGCGGATGCTCCTATGCCAATGCAAGGCGGTTGGGTGCATGGGGACAGAGTATATCTCGTTATGACACTTAACCGGCCACCGAAAGCAGTATCCAACTAGCGCACATGTCCTTTCCACGCTGAACTGGCATACCAGCACAACAACGGGTCATCCTCTATAGACAGCGGTGCCAGCGGCGCTTTCGGAGTCAAGCGTAAACCCTGCTCACATGCAAACCTGGCGCTGCCAAACGCCTGCCAACCTCCTCCCACAGCCCCGGTTATCAGCACTGCCGCGCGCCTCCGCCCTGCACCCCACTTGCCTGGTAACCGCTGCGGGTGAGGGTCTCAGACGCGAATTGGAGGTAGGTGTACTCCTGCGGGAGGGGCAGCACGCAAACCGGGGGGAAGGAGAAACCAAGTAGCAGCACTGGCCCGGGGAGAGGGGGTTGCCGGGCTGCGCAGACGCAGGAGGAGTGTGGGTCTGCGGGAGAGGGCCCCATTCCTGACATGCGGGAATTCCAGCATGGTGAGGGTGTGCCACGCTACTGCTCGCGTCGCCTACCCAAGCCTCTGCCCGGAGGCTTCCCACCTGGCCCTCTGCCCTCTGCCTCCCCTCCCCAGGTCCTTAACCCCTGATCCTTGCTCGTCTCCCAACCTGACCCGACGATGTGGGGAAAACGTGCCTCGCGGTCTTAGGTGGTCTCTGGGCTTCTCAGATATTCCCACTTACACCCCACGCACCCCACGCAGCCTGCATGCTTCCCCCTTCCCCTCTCCCCCTCTCCACCTCCCACCTGCCCGTCCACCAACTGGGTGCGGCTCCGAATGCTGCTCGCAGGGGGCAGCAGCAGCTTGTCAGCCTTCGGGCCGGCGGCAGGCAGGCAGGCAGGGGGGCTACCGGTCAGTGCCAGTCAGGCGCCAGGGCAAACTATCCTCCAGGTGCAACATCAGCGCGCACAGCAGCGCCAGTGACAAGAGCGGCAGGTATGCTAGCCGTGGACTAAGACACCCGACAAGAAGGGCTAGAAAGAACGGGCGCAGTCCAAAGCCCCAAGACACAGTCAGCCAGCCAGCTGTAAGCTTTCAGAGGCTGCAGCAGCAGCAGCAGCAGAGTAGCAGAGTAGCAGATAAGACATCCGGTGCGGCTGTAGAGGCGGGAGAGGACGCCAACAGCGAAACCCACGCACCGGCTGGCCTGACGCCACAGCCCCTGGAGCCACTGCCGCTGCTACGGCCGCTTGCACTAGGAGGTCTTTCTCCCCTGCTGCTACTGCTGCTGACGACAATGACGTTGCGGTTGCTAGTGGTGTTGCTGCTGCCGTTCCCAAGGCGGCTGCTGGCAGTGCCGCTGCTGGTGTTAGCTCTGCTGCTGCTGCTGCTTCCTGTGCTCCGAACTGATGCTGCGGAGGCGGTGGCGTACCAGGCGGCGGGTGTTGCTGCCAGGGGAAGACCTCCAGGGAGAGCTTGTCTGCCGTGTTGAAGTCTGGGGAGCGGGGGAGCGGTGGGGTGGAGCGGGGTGAGGCGGGACGGGAGGGGGGAGGGAGCGGAATGCGGCAAGATCACTTCAAGACCACTTGAAGCAGTGTCTGTGCCCAGACTCTCCCGTCCCTTGCGTGCGCATGTCCACAGTGAGGCATGTTGTGTTTGTAGCTGCCAAGCCGTGCAGCCCCGTGCCGCCGCCGTCTCCAACAACCCACACTGGCTATCCCTGCTGCCAACCACCCACAGGCACCGGCACCGGCACAGTCATCCCCTACCCCGCAACCTGCCCTACTCGAGAGCACACCACCGTATGCTGCGCTCACTCGCCACCGCACCATCTGCTGCGGTGTGTTGCCTTACGGCGTGTTACGAGCTGGGCGCCGCAACCCTGCCGCCCTGCACCCTACCCGAGATGTAGAGCCCCGGCCGCAGCGTGTTGCGCCGTACCACCCAGCTCCGCGGGTACTCGAATGTGAGGTCCAGCTCAAAATCATCCTGACCGAGGTGGGCATCCCGGATTGAGGCAGGGAGTCACGGGTTTGTGGAGGCAGGGAAGATGTTGAGATCTTGCATCATGTACGGCACAACAACAAAACACGGCAGCGACACCAGGCGTAAGGAAGCCACGCCAGCACGATGGGGGTACATCAGGATGCATCAAAAGCAGCTGACTTGCGAGCTTAGCTACAGGTATTGGTTGAAGGGTGCAAGGGTTCTCTACGGCTAGAGCTAAGGCGGGTGCAGCCCTTGGGCTGCCTGGCTCCATCCAACGGCAGCAACCGCAGGCTCACCAGTGTTTTGAAGCCGGAAGCAATGGGCAAGCGAGGCAGTCCATATCCGCCAAGCACGCTGTTCAGGAGGGTTGTCGGATCGTCTAGGGAGGAAGGAATGCGTTCAGGCAGGCAGGCAGGCAGCGCGGAGCCATGTTGGCCAATAAACCAATCGTCTTGACCGTTGCTCATCTCATAGCGTCCAAAACCCCCAATAAACGGCATTGTCTAATGGTAAAGTACCTGAGCCAATTGTAAGGCTTGCCAAGAGGGCAGGTAAAGCGTAGGAATGCAACACCACTCGCCGTTGGATAAGCACCGGCTCGTGCCCACACTCTCGAAGCCCATAAGCTTTGAAACCCAGATGAGTTTTCCAGGATTGTTGCGCTTTGCCAGCGTCCTTGATGTCATTTGCTTGCATCATGCCAACTGCCGCTTGTCCATCCCCGTGGACCGCGTTCTTAGGGGCTGCATATCTGTATGTTAGTCTTTGCCGTGAACGTAAAAGCGCACGCTGTGTGTCAAGCTTCGTGGCTTGCGAAGCATTGCCGCACCCAGCGCATGCACAAAGTCGATGCTCGTGGGCAGAAAGCATGGGCGCCTAGTATTTTATGCATATGTTGTTGTAAGGGTAAAGAGTGGCCGCGACAGGTTGGGTATCGAATATGTAACGACAGCTGGTCGTACATAACCCAAACATCCAGCGCCAACATCTCTGGCAGGTGTCCGAAGTCAAGGGAGCTTTTCCAGATTGGGTGATGACTCTACATTACATATTTGTCCCGGCCTGAATTTGGAAGTGGCAACTAGAACCGCGGGACAGCCATACTGGAGGCACTGTATGTTTTCCCTGCCCGTCCCCTGTCCGCATGCATGGCTCCGTGCGGCCCACTGGCCGGCACGGGGACGCTTGTGAGAGATTAGAAAATTCCAAAGGAGAGGCATCACGAAGGTCGCGAGCCCTTGGCTATACTGCTGCATCCCACCACAGCAGCTTACTGCCGCTGCGCGCTGCTCTTGAGAGCAGTGCAATGCACTGCCATGACACTTTGGCTAGCGTACCACTGTAGCCCCCTGCAGATCATGGTGCTATACTGCTGCACGCCATTGTTGTGCGCCAGTGCCCCGGTGACGTGAGTTCACGCCTGTACAGTTGGGTTCAGTCTAGCAAACCTTGCTGCACCGCTTATTGTACGTTTGCTGACTGGGGTTATATTAATGTTTTGGTTTATCGGATGCTCCACTGAACCATATACGAAAACAGACACTCTTGCCTCTGACAGTTGGTGTTGCTCGTGCGACACGAGGCTTGTTCAAACCGGTGACTGCGGATGTCCCTGTACCATGCTACAAGCGGTGGACGCGGTGAGTGCGCACAGTAAGAGCCAGGACTCTGCGCCCATGGCTACAATCAAGGACCCAACTTTGCTGAAGCAACTGTATATACTAATATGCATAAAGGCCATCTTCCTTTGTACAGCCACCAAACAGTGCCGTTCGACTAATACCGGTACTTTATGGCAACGAGTTGTGCGCCCGCCGAGACGAGCAAACGTTGGACCAACTACCAACGTAGGGTTCAGGCACTGCGCAGATTTGAAGCCTTGAAGTACCAATGAATGGGAAGAAGAGAGCCTTTATGCACTGTGACGCGTTACCAAAGTCGTCCATTTTCCGTACGTGCGGGCGGGGGGGGTGTGAGTTGACATCCATCGTCACCCCTGGCTCGTTTGGGTTCTTTTTGCACGCAGGTCGTCCAGAGGGCTCCATTCTACCATAGCTGCTTCTCTCACTAGCACTTACTCGACTCTCGTTTTCGACGATCCTTTCCTAGCAAACATCTCCTTGCTCCTTGAACTGGCACGCTTACTTGGATGGTCGTAATGTATAGAGTATATTGAAAAATAGAAGGTCGGGCTCTGGACCCGGAATCGTCGCTGGCAGTCGGGCGTGTGGGGTCCATCAGCAACGGACCACGCTCCCAGCTGCAAAGACGCCATGAGTAATACGACAAATAAGAGCCCTGCGCCATCGGCGCCTCCACCCCCTCGTCGGTGGCTAGGCATTCCAGCAACATATTGGCAGGCAGTCCTCCTTATAGCGCTTTCAGCATGTGCTACGGTTGTAGTTCTCTTCATGTGGATGCGATCTTCTTCGGGAACAGCTGTAGTGTTGCTGGTGCGTCCGCTGAGCTCCGCGGCTGCCACATCCGTATATAAGACGTGCGCTAGCAGCGGGAGCGGAGTCGGGAATCGCTACCTCGTAACCGGTGCAGGTGAGGACTTCCCGCTTCTTGCATGCTAGGCGCACTTGCGACTCCTGGCTATGAGCCTCAGCGTCGCGCGCGCAAGTTACCGTACTCCCCGCTAACAACAGGCCTCCTTGTGCCGCACCCACACCTGCTTTCCCGCAGCCGGCTTCATTGGGTTTCATGCTGCACAGGAACTTAAAGTTCGCGGCGACGTCGTAGTAGGACTGGGTGAGTATACTGGGTGCAAGGGCACGATGTCCCATTTGTCGCGAACCCCATGCTGCTGAGCTTAAGGAAGCCATGGCGGAGTACCTGCATGCTACTTACGCCAATGCCACATGCTTCGCCCTCACCCCTCCTCCGTTCACCCTCCACTTCTAATGCGGCCACCTTATCGCAATTCCTGCATCGGGACTGTAGTCTTCTTCGGGGCTTCTTTGCCACCCTTTCCTTCACTACCGCCCCGCATCTCCCGCACCAAACCGCACCGTCACCTGCGCTCCCCTACACCCACCCACCCGCACCCGCATGCAGACAACTTCAACGACTACTACCCCGTCTCCCTCAAGCGCGCTCGCGCGGAGGTCCTCAGCAAAAAGGGCGTCCCAGTGGTTGAGCTCGACCTGAACGACCAGGAGGGCCTGGCGGAGCTCTTCCGGCTGTGCTCCTTTACGCACGTGCTGCACCTGGCCGCACAGGCGGGTGTGCGCTACGCCGCACGCAACCCCTTCGCCTACGTGCAGTCCAACATCGCGGCCAGCGTGACGCTGATGGAGACCATGCGGCTGCACAAGCCCATGCCGGTGCTGGTGTACGCCTCCTCCAGCTCCGTGTACGGGCTGTCCAAGCGCTTCCCCTTCACGGAGGACGACCGGGCGGACCAGCCGGCCAGCTTGTACGCAGCGACGAAGCGCAGCCTGGAGATGTTGGCGCACTCGTACTTTAACATCTACAAGATGTCTGTAACAGGTGTGTTAGGGTTGGGGTTGGGGGTTTGGAAGGAGGCGCTTGGCTGGTATGGGCCTTCTGAGGCCAAGGCGAAATATGAGGATTAGATCGTAATTTGGCTCGTCAGTGAACCGTACGAGGGCAGGTTGGCGCTTGCAGGATAGCCATGTTGGGGGTGACAAAGCTGGAAACGGGTCGCGGATTAGCACGAGGCGTGGATGGAGACCGGCTTGGGTGGGTGTGGAAGGAGGAGCCACGTTCAATCACACGCCAGCACGACCCCACATCGGAGTGAGGTTCTTCCTTAGAGCTTCTGCGCCAGGCGAAAAGTGGCTCGGGTTTCTCCCGTGCTTATCCGTTACGGGCGCTTCAAGTTCCTGCCCGTTCTGCACCCTTAGCATTTCCCTCCGACCCAATTATCTCAATCGCAAGACTGGCTGATTAGCTCCTGAGCCGCCACCACACAGCCCACAGCCGAAGACATCCGGCTCACCCCCCACCTCACCGCCCCGTAATCCACCTCACCGCCCCGCCACCCTCCCCACCTCCCTCCCCGCGCAGGCCTGCGGTTCTTCACGGTGTACGGCCCCTGGGGTCGCCCCGACATGAGCGTCATGTCCTTCTCGCGCAACATCGTGGACGGCAAGCCCATCCGCGTGTTCCAGGTGGGGGGACGGAGGGGAGGGGGGCAGCAGGGGAGCAGGCAAGGGGCGGAGGACAGCAGGATAACAGGGCAGAACGGGGTATGTGGACAACAGGAGGGCTCTTTCACCCTGCCGCTTCCATGTTAGAAAGCACGGGTGCGGGTGTGGGAGCGCAACACCCATCGGCGGCTATGCCGTTGGGTCGAGGCGGAATAGGTTAGATACCCACCAAAGGCCTGCACGTCGCGTCACCCTTCACCTCGAGCAGCCCACCTGCTTGAGGGCACAGGTCAAGCCGGTCATGCACGCATGTATGTGTTTTCTTAACACATACGTACGTACGTTCCTACTCGCGGCCAGTTTTCTTAACACACACCCTGCCTGCCTGCGCGCCTCCCCGCAGGGCCCTAACCGCACGGAGCTGGCCCGCGACTTCACGTTCGTGGGCGACATCGTGAGCGGCATTGTGGGCTCCCTGGACACCTCGCCGCCCTCCGCGGACCCCGAGGTGCGGGGCCGGGGGGTCCAGCCGGGTGTCCTGCAGTACTGAGCCGCACGGCTGCTACATAGCGTGTAGGCCGGGGTACCATGCCCTCCTCACCCGCCTCCACAAGCCGGCTGTCCACGATTCCTCTCGTTATAGCTGCGTGAGCAGCAGGAAGCATGCGCACCACCCCTCCTCCACCTCTTTCAACTTCCTCTCCTCCCTGCCCTTCCCCTGCGCACCAACCGCCCTCACCCTCCCTCCCCCGCAGACCCCGCCCGCCTACCGCATCTACAACCTGGGTAACACGCGCGTGCACACCGTCACGGAGCTGGTGACCAGTCTGGAGGAGCTGCTGCGGGTGAAGGCGCAGGTCAAGTACCAGCCGCTGGGGCCCACGGGGGACGTGCTGCGGACCAACGCCAACATCACGCACGCGCACGAGGACCTGGGCTACACGCCCAAGACCAACCTGCGGGAGGGGCTACAGGAGTTTGTGAGCTGGTTCTTTGAGTATTATGGTCCGGATGGGAAGAACCGGCCGGCGGATGAGATTGGCTATGTGCCGGACTGAGGAGGCTGCAGAGGAAGAGGGGTGTGGTGTGCCTGCACATGTGCGTAGGCAGCGCATCACACTGACCCACATCGGTGAGTAGCGGTGGCAGCGCCCAGGTAAGGATCTCGTATGGTTGGCGGGGTTAGGGTATAGGAAGGCTCCGAAACCTTGGAAGCGATGGGGATGGGGTGTCGTGGGTAGGGTTGTGGCGAGGAAGGTGGTGCTATGGTTATTGGCGTGCGGGTGTGGTAAGTTATTGATCTGCGTGTATTCGCGTGTGTGTGTTAGGGTGCTGACGGGCATTCAGGGTATGGTGAGGCAGAAACATGTCTCCTACGTTGGATTGAACTTGCTGGTGTGGTACCATTTGCTGGTCGGTGGATGGTGGTGGGTGGGAGCTTGGGCTGTTGGTGCCGAATCGGCGTACAGGACAGGAGTGACTGTCCTCGGCCGGCCCATCCTGCCCGAGACTAGGAAGAGGGTTGTATTAGGACTGTTGATATGGCGAGGGCACAGCCTCACAGTCCTCAGTACTTGGTCTTGATTTTAGTATAATCTGCTTACGTGGAAAGTGGGTTGTAGTTAGGTATGTTCAGCATATGGACCAGAAATTCACGCCTGCGCTCTGTATTCATGTCTCCTCAGTTGCTTCATTCGGTTTCTCGTGCCTTCGGCTTGACGAGTGGCTATATGCACCCCGGTATTGAGGAGCCAATGGCCCGGGTTTATCCCCTTCCTCTTCATTATTGCTGTGGCCGCACCTGCCGTAGGATGTATGGGTGTGACCTATGAATGCTGTGCCTACACCTGAGGTGGTTGTTTTGGAGCATATGAGCGGATGACCTGAGCTCTTTAGCCCTTCATTGTGTAGAGGTGTAAGCTACATGGACAGTAGACAGGGTTCATGGCGCATCGTGTTGCCCAGCAGTCCTCTACAGCTAGCTCGTGCAGCAGCGGATGTGCCGGGAACTGTACACGATTGCAGAATGCGGTGGACTAGGAGAGGGCTGTTTTGAGAACTGTGGTGTGAAGGTTGCTTGTGATACTTCTTTAAGGAGGACTCGGTGGCCGTATCCGGTCAAGTCGCATTAAGGGGTTTATATGGACGGCCAGTGTCTGGGGTGTCCATGTCACCTGTCCGCCCATGGACAGAGGGTCTGCTTTGCATGCAACTACCGGTACGCACCATAGCTGTGGTGCAGTACACAGAGAGCCTCGACCACCCGTCTTGAACTAGCGCACCTTCCAATCGCAAAACGGTTTGAGCACCGGTATAATGGTAAAATCATCACGTTCGTGCGCAGGTCCTACTTAAAGCCGGGAAAATCTGCCGTATAGCTTTCGTGGTCCTCCTGAATCCAAGCCGCCCGACAGTTAGCAGGATGCGCCATGGCATGCATACAATTCCTAGGATTGAACATCGACCATAATTGGGCATCGGTAGTAGGCTTTAAGTAAGCAAGGGCAATTGTTCGACGGCGCGACGCAAGCGCGTTTCTTGTGCATCCCCCACACCACCTAATCCTGTGGCACTAGAGTTTCCTAGAAATGCAAATCCTTTCACGAGGTCTAGCTCCGCTGCCTACTGGCCCCAGGAGGCGACAAGTCCATTGCCTAGCCGCGACGACACAGACACCCGTGCCAATTTCTGATAAGCAGTCCCCGCAACCGGCTGCTAGGAAGGTTTCCCTGGTATCCCTTGGCTGCCCGAAGAACGTCGTCGACGGTAAGGTCAAGCGTGACGCCTCGGCCTGCCAACGGTCCATGCCATGTAGCTATCGGTCTACATGGCTCACATAACCGCCATTTCCATTCCCTGTGTCTCCCCTCCTCTACGTCCCCGTCATCACCCATATTATATCACCCCAGGCGAGGTGTTGTTGGGTGACCTCACCCGCGCCGGCTTCTCCATCACCGAGGACCATGAGGAGGCGGACGCCATCATCGTCAACACCTGCGCCTTTGTGGAGGACGCCAAGAGCGAATCCCTGGAGGTAAGGACCGAAGGGGACGTGCTTGCGGGGTTGGGGATGCCTGGATGGACGAGCCGCTGCCCTGTGCGCGTCCAACTGCTAACCGCGTGGCAACATACAGCGTTGGAAGGCCAAAAAGCGAGCGAGCCAGGCTGGAAGCCTGCTGCTATGCTCCTTCAGGACACATCATGCTCTGAAACCATGCTCCGAACCTCACACCCCCCGGGCAGGCCATCGTAGAGGCTGCTTCCCTCAATGAGGACGGCCGCAAACGCAAGCTGGTGGTCACTGGCTGCCTGGCGCAGAGGTACTCTCAACAGGTACGACAGGGTGACGATGCGTGTACGACATCTGCAGCCCCTGCACTGCTGCGTACTAGCCCCTCCAACTTATAAACAATACTACAACTCCCCAGCCGCATGGGCGCGCACACTGTGGCCGCGGGACTCTCCCCCCGGTCTCACCCTGGGGCCCCGCGGCGCAGTGGCTTTACTCCCGCCCTTCCCACGCGACCCAGGTCTCACTCCTTCCCGCCCCACACCTCTCACACGTCATACCGGGTACCTCCTTCCCCTCACACCTCCCTGCCCCCCGCGCACCCGCAGCTCGCCGCCGACCTGCCCGAGGCGGACCTGGTGGTTGGCTTCCAGAGCTACGGCAACCTGGCGGCCTCGCTGCAGCGCTCGCTGGGGCTGGAGCCCTCGCGCGAGGCGCTGCAGATCGCGCAGGAGGCGGCAGCGGCGGCGGCGGCAGCAGCTGGGGAGTCAGCAGCCGGGGCGCCAGGGGCTGACGGGCACCAGCAGGACCCCCAGCAGCAGCAACAAGGGGGGCAAGAGCAGCAGGAGGGGTTGCGGGTGAGGGCAGCGGCGGGAGGGGAGGTGGAGGAGGCGAGCACCTCAGCGCGCGTGCAGGTGGGCGCTGCCACGGTTCCCTTCCGCCCCGAGTGGCGGCGGCACCGCCTGACGCCGCCCCACACCGCCTACCTGCGGGTGGCGGAGGGGTGCAACCACGCATGCACCTTCTGCGCCATCCCGGGCTTCAGGTGGGGCGGGGCGGGGCGGGGTCGGGGGTGGGTTGGAGCGTGTGGGGGGTATATAGGGCATGTGGGGTGGGTTTTTCCAGGTGGGGTGGGGCGGATGTGAGCGAGGTAGGGCGAGGCAGGGGTAGAGTCCGTCCTCGGCTTGAGTGTGCGGATCCCCTGGCCGCCACGCCGCAGCAGACTGGACATGCACTGTCCTCTCGACACCCCCGAAGCGCGCGAGCCCCGTCTACGGCAGTTCGCACCTCATCTGCTCACGCGCCTACGCCTACCATCTTTCTCTGCCCCCGCTTTACCCCCATTCCCACCCACCCCTCCGCGTCCCCAGGGGCAAGTTCCGCTCCAAGCCCTGGGGTGCGCTGCTGGCTGAGGCGGCGCATCTGGTGGCGGGCGGCGTGAAGGAGCTGTGCCTGATCGCGGAGGACACCAACCAGTACGGCATGGACAGGTGGGGAGGGGGCGGGGAAAAAAATTATATAAGTGAAATAACGAATCCCAATCCGGGAGGGGCGGGGGAGGGGCGGGGCGGGTGGGGCGGGGCTGCCACTACCGTATCGTGACCATCCTGGTCATTCAACGCATGGGTACTTCTTCTTTGTTCCGTACCCATCCCATCTCTCCCCGGCCTGCAGACGTGACGGTCGGGACCTGGCCCAGCTACTGCGCGAGCTGTCCCGGCTGGAGGGGCTGGCGTGGATCCGCATCCTGTACGCCTACCCCTCCTACTTCAATGACGCGCTCATTGACGAGATCGCAAACAACCCCAAGGTGGGGTGGGGTGGGGAATAGATGGACTGAGCCCCGGAAACACTGACCCTGACCGCGATATACCGATGGGTAAGGCTTGTGTTAAGGAGCCGAAGAAACCAGAAAGGGGCAGGCGCACAAGCCGTCCGTGTCTTGTCCCAGTCCCGCCCGCGCCCTACACTCCACTTCACTGTCCACCATTCCGTACACCCAGCGCTCCCCGCCTGCCCTCGCTCCCCCCCCCCTCCCCTCCCCATTGTTTTGCCCTAACTTTGTGGTTTGGTTTATTCTACCCCCCCCCCAGGTGTGCAAGTACCTGGACATGCCGCTGCAGCACATCTCCAACCTCACGCTGCTGGCCATGAACCGCCCGCCGGCGCAGCACACCCGCGGACTGCTGGCCCGCCTGCGCAGCCGCATCCCGCGCCTGGCGCTGCGCACCACCTTCATCAGCGGCTTCCCCGGGGAGAGCGAGGAGGCGCACCGGGAGCTGGTGGGCTTCGTGAAGGAGTTCAAGTGAGGGGGGGGAAAGAGGCGGGGGAGGGAAGAGGGGGGAGGGAGGGGCCTGCCCGTCTGCATGCCCTGCCCGCCTCTCCTGTATCCCACTTGGCTCGCATGATGCCCACATCCCGCCACATCTCACATCCCGCCGCACCCCATGGCCCCCATGCACCCCCAGGTTTGAGCGCATGGGTTGCTTTGCGTTCAGCCCCGAGGACGGCACCCCTGCTGCCTCCCTGCCGCAGCAGCTGCCACAGCGGTTGCGGGAGCGGCGGCGGGACGAGCTGATCAGCCTGCAGCAGCGTATTGGAGAGGAGTGGGCGGAGGGGCGCGTGGGGGAGGAGATGGAGGTGCTCGTGGAGGGGTGAGCGGAGGAGGAGAGTGAAGGGGTGTAACAATGCGGGCGGGGTGGGGTGGGGTGGGGAGTCAGAGGGGTTGGGCGGTTGGGAAGCTTGGGAGGCATACCGGTAGTCGGAAGCCGGACTTGAGGGGGCGGAGCCAAGCACAGATCTCTGTCCCCATCACACAATTTGCAGCTTTCTGAACTGAGCTTTCATGGTTTGGGAAATCCCCTCCTCGCTGGTTCGCGGTTGTACAGGTACAACGACGACGGTTGGCTGATTGGTCGTACACAGTACGACGCACCTGACGTGGATCCGCTGGTGTTCCTTACAGAATCCGATGACCCTGCCGTACCCCGGCTAGAGGTACGTTCAAAGGGACTGCTGTATACTGGTTGTTACGCTTGGTTAGGATATCTGTAGCAGCGGAAGAAGGCTTACGCCCGATCACAGAAACCCCTTCGGTTCGCCCTTGTACATTCTTGGTGTCTGGGGCTATTCCAAATATTCCCAGCGCAAGGGGAGGAGGCCCCTTCTGAGGTGGAGGTCCACTTGAGATGACCTTATTTCTCAACGCCTCCTTAACCCCTGCCCTTTTTCTGCATATGTTCCCTGCCCCGTTCTGTCTTGCAGGCGGGTCAGATCCGGCGCTGCGTGGTGACCTCAAACTCGCTGTTTGACCTCGAGGCAACTCCCGTGGCTTAGTACGCGACGCGACATGGCACATGACACATGACTACATGGCATCTGACTGCTTGGCGGTTTGGCCTTGACCGAATGTGATCATGTTTAATTGGCAGCGACGTCAGATGCATTGGGTGCAATGATGGGTAACTTGACTCATTTGGTGGATAGATGAGATACCGCAACACCGTCCTTTTGGCGGGAATACCGGTTATGAGGACGGTCGCTTCATGTACTTGGCTGTCTGCCTCTCACAGCTGGGGATGTGGGGGAGATACTAACCGACAGTAAACGGACATGCAGGGGAAGTGTATGCGGTCCGTTACCCGGGCGTCTGGACAGCATCCCGATGCAACCGTACCCATGTACCCATTGAGGCACGACTGTTGTTGCTTAGCTATTAGCTTCGCAGGCCTACGCATTAGAGCGGACGCGATGATAAGCTTCGAGTCTGTTGTGCGTTCGTTTAATTAGCTTTGGATTTTGGAGAAAACCCTCCGAAAGTCTGCAGCCTACGGATTGTTAACAACGCAAGACTATATCGGTCTCCTATGATGGTACTTAACTTCCCTCACGCTGTACGTGGACTGTCAAATGTAAATGACTGTCAAGACGAAGCGCTCCGAAGCCGCTCGTAAGCGGTTGGGCTGGTTTAGCCCTTTGACCTTGTGAGGTGAAGGCGTAACGTTTCCAATCATCCTGAGGGTTCGCTTTTTGCTGATACAGTTGGCTTATGAAGTATTTCACTCGTAGGCTGCAAGTGACTGCAGAAATGCCAGTCACCTGGCAAGCGTTTCGGGTGGATAGCATTGCCCTTGAGCTGTAATTAGTCGGACTAGCTAGGCATGATGCCTCCGCCTGGGCGACGGCCTACGGCCGAAGTGTTACCCGGCATGTCGTTACGAACTGCGATCGCTCTAGTGCTAGGCGTTTGGGTAACCTGCACGTTAGTTATGTTTCACCAGCACTCTTTCGTGGCCGTATCTCGTTTCGACTACAGCGACCATGTACTAGCTTTGACACCACCGCAGCTGCAAATCAGCCATTTAGCCGCAATTGACACAAACGCTGCTCAGGGGGCAGCGATGATGCCCATAGAGGATGATCCGAAGCACCCTTACGCTCTGGTCCTGGTCGCCAACTACTACAACTCCAGCGGCCTCTTCCTCTTGCGACCCGACAGCAAGCAACCCATGCAACCGCTCGCAGTGTTGCAGGTAGGCCCAACTTACAAAGGCTTATGTCTGTCTATGTCTCCTCCCAACCAACTACCCCTTTCCCCTGCATCCCCTCCCTTACCCATTCCCTCTCTTTATCCCTTGCACGCCCAACCCCTTCCCACTCCTTCCCTTCCCTCCCCTCCTTTCCCTTCCCAAATCCCCCCCTCCCACAACTCCCTTTCTCCCCGCTTTCCTCCTCCTCCTCCTCCTCCCACACCCAGACCGAGTGCGGCCACAGCTGGTCCGTCTGGCGCCAGGCCGGCCGGCGCTGGGCGGCAGTCGCCAACTACTGCAGCCGGCAGCCGCACACCGGCGTGCTGCTGTACGAGCTGGAGCCCCTGGCCGCCGCCAGCCCGCAGCAGCCCGACTGGGGCTTCCGAGCGGAGGCGGCGCTGGCGGCAGCGGGCGCCTCACACGCGCTGCACATGAGGCTGCCGTACAGCGGGGGAGCGGGGGCGGCGGCAGGGGGCAGCGGGGGGGAGGGGGGGAATGGGGGAGAGGGAAGGGGGATGGAGGGGGAGGAGGAGGGGGGGCAGCATGTGTTGGCGGTGGCGGAGTATGGGAAAGGGGAGATAGCGGTGTATGGGTTGACGTACCAGGGGGGGGAGAAGGGCGACAAGGGGGAGGGTGCAAAGGGAGGAAGAGGGGGAGGGAATAGCGGTAGTAGCCGCAGTAGCAGTAGTCGGTTGGTGGTTTCGGAGCTGCAGCGGTTGCAATGGCCTGGAGTATCTGCGCTCGTGGAGTGTCGGTACAGTAGCAGCAGCAGCAGCAGTAGCGGTGGTGCCAGCGACAGCGAGGGACATGAGGAAGGAGGACAGCAGCAGCAAGAGGAGCACGTGCTCCTGGTTGGCTTGTCGTACAATGTCAACGGCTCGTTCGCCGCAAAATCTGCGGTGTTCAAGTGAGTGCGGTAGTTGCGCTGCACATGGGTTGACGGGAGGACTGAGAGCGTATAATTTTAAACCCTGCGGGCCACCACTTCTCCTCGAGCGCTCCCTTGTCCCTCGTTCCGCTTTCCCTCTTCGATAACAGGCTGGCCTTGCTCTCAACACCGTACCCTTATTCCAACCCCCTCTCCCCTCCCTTCCTCTCCCCCCTCGCCCGCAGGTGGGACTCTTCCAAGCGGCAGTTCACGTTGTGGCAGATGCTGGGCACCAGCGGGGCGCACGGCGGGCGCTGCTTCACAGTGGGGCACACGCAGCAGCAGCACCCCGCAAGCTCAGGCAGGGGTGGCAGCAGCGGCAGCGGCAGCAGCCGTCATGGCAACGGTGTCAAAAGTTCGGCCGGCGGGGCCGTGGCTGCCAGCAAAACCAGTGGAGAGGGCGGAGCAGCAACGCTGTTCCTAGCGATCGCCGAGAGTCGTTCGGTCAACTCGAGCGTGTGGCGGTTAGACCCAACCGACGACTTGTTCGTGTTGCACCAGAACGTCCCAACGGTTGGAGCACATGATGTGCAACACATGGGTTTGGCCGTACCTTCCGCCTCCTCCTCTTCCCACTCCTTTTCCGCCGCCATCGCCTCGGGCACTGCTGCGGGCACTGCTAACCAACATTCGGGCAGCATGTGGGGCAGCGCGGTGGATGTGTTGGTGTTTGCAAACCGCGGGGCGGACGAGCTCTGCAGTCCCTCCCAGTCCAGTCCAGTGCTGGTGTGGCACCCGCAGCGTCGTCGGTTCGAATCCAGCTCCGCGCATTTGGCGGGCATGCAGTGCGCCACGGGGCTCGCAACTGGGACGCTGAGGGTGGGGGGAGGTGGTGGTGGTAGAGGTAGAGGTGGGGGTGGTGGAGGCGGCGCCAGTGGGCGTGAGGTGACGTATTTGATAGCTACGGGGGATAGGAGCGCGGAGGGGTCGTATTCGGGTCCGCTAACGCATGTGTGGCAGCTGGAAGTTGAGGGGCAGGGGGGCGGTGCTGGCGGGGGCAGGGGCGGGGGCGGGGGTGCTGGGACTGGGATGGCACGGAGGTTGGGGTGGGGCGGTTGAGGTGGGGGTGATGGTGGATGCTAGTGCCCTGGGTTGGGAGGCTTCTCTTGGGTACGGGTACCTTGCCTTGGGTGGATGGAAGGAGACATTCGAAGCCGTGTCCTGCCCTCGTTCTGCGGGAGGAGGCACTCCCAAGCCGCTATGACGCTGCCGGTTGCCTCACTCGCGCACATGCGGGACAACCTAGGGGCAAGCCACAAGTTGGGCCTCCACCATACGGGGCAGCATGAGGTAGAATCGCATGCAATGGCGATGATGGATGTTGGCGTTGGTAATTGTGGAGGTGTTTTGCCGTAGACCGCCAGCTGTGTTAAAATAACTGGCCGCGAGGCGAAACGTACTGTGATTGCCGAAAGATGAAGTCCTCCCACCGAAACGCCACTTGTGTGTGTGAAGGCCGCATACCCGTCCTTACGTTGAGAAAACACACCGAGCAGAGTTAGGTTAGCCACGCACATATGCTGCGCTACCCATTACACGTGCTGCCACCACCATCACCCCCCATATACCGGTACCTCGTCCCGTTGCTGGCTCAGGCGTAAGAGTTGAACAAGACACCGTTTGCAGGTTACTGCCGTATTCCTCACCACCGTACGGCCTCTGTAATGATCTGCTGTCGTACGTTATGATGCCGTACGGTCTTCGCGACTGGGCCACGTGTAGTCCACTCACAGTGGCACCATCATAATCACTTCGCTGCAGTACAGTACGTATGTCGCCCTCGCCTCGAGTGAGCCTTGCAACGTTACAACAGCCAGCGGGGTCAGCTGCTGCTGGTCTACATCCACGCCTCCTGCCGCGCTCAGCATCGGGGCGTTGCGCACGCAAGACAGCGCGAAGACAGCTCCGCTTGCTGCTGCGCAAGGACAGTACTGGTAAAACACTCCACAGCGGCTATTGAGCCTAGTTAGTGCCATTCCCGTCACTTCCTGGCAAGGGAAGCCATAAGCCCTTGTGCCTTTACTACAATAGCCTCCAATGCGCGCACGCATAAACACTCCTGCGCCCGCAGCCCCCGGAATACGGTTGTAGCAGGCCGCAGCAATAAACACAGACACGCACATAATGCAAGGTCATGGTTCCTCACGGCCCCATCGCACGCTGCCAAACTGACCTCACTCATCACGCAGTACCTACGACTATCCATACAAAGCCCGCAACCTGCCAAACACATCGGCTGCCCCGCAAACATTCACGTTCTCACACGTCCCCACATCCCACACAACCCTCCCCACTCACAAAGTCTCATTACACATCACACAGTGCACCCCTCCCCCCACCCCGCACAGCAACCCCCCACTCATCACGCCCCCTTCTTAAACACCAGCACTCCGTACTCTGCCGAGCCCAGCGCCATGGCATACGCCGTCATGGCAACCGACACGAAGTTCGCGCCCGTCTCCCCGTGCTTGGCGCTGCTGGCAATGTAGGTCCGGAGCAACCAGGGCACGCAAGCCAGCAGCACGTGTGCGAGCTTCCAGCCCTTGGCCCAGAAAGCCAGCGCCTCCGTTGTCAGGTCGGTGTCGTCGAGGAGGGTGAGGCCGGCGGTGCTGGTCGCGAGGGAGCGCCAGGCGGGTTTGGAGGTCATGGTGCGGATGCGGAAGCCACTTTCCGCGAGCATCATGGCCTGCTGGATCTCCTTGGGCTGCTGGTCAAAGTTGCTTGACCGGTAGCCGTCTACGATGACTAGCCTGTGGGAGGGAAGGAACAGTGAAGACGATCGGGAAGGGCTTCATCATTTGCATGGCTGAAGGTGTTTGCTTGCTGGATGGCATGACAAAATTTACGCACCTGCCGTTGGGCTTCAGGGCCTTGGCTGCGAATCGAAGGAAGCCAGCTAACCGTTCAGGTGTGTCGACATGGCAAAAGCTCTCAATGCCGAAAATGACATCGAATGGCCCTGCAGCCTTCGTGGTGCCGGATGGGTTGGACGCGTCATCTGCCGCAAACCGCACGTTCCCCAGGCCGCGCATCTGGGCATAGTTCGTTGCATAATCCACGTGGTCCGGTACTAGATCGACGCCCAGAAACTGGGCATTTGGGAAGAGGTCGGCCAGGTACATGGAGTTGGAACCCTTACCAAACCCAACCTCCAGCACCTTGCCGCCGCTGACTGCATCGCCCATTTGGCCAATAACGTACAGCAACTGCTTTAAGTGACCGCATCGGTAGGGCAGAGAGCGGGCTGGCTTAAGGCAGCTGTGCATTGCATTGCTGCCTGTCGCTGCAGCAAGCAACTTGTAGTCACGAAACGTTGTGCTCGCATAGTACTGGACAACATTGGTCGCCGCGTAGTCCTTTCGAAGATACTCATCGACAGGAACGACACTTGCAAGGCGGTTTAAGTCCTTTTCAAGTCGGCATCGCGTGGGCTTAAGGCTTTTGACGTAAACGTAAATAGCTGTGATCGAAGTCCCTAGAATTATGATCGTGATAGGAAGGTAGCCGTAGACAGCAGAGAGAACCAGCAAGCCAATGATGAGACTTAGCAAGGATGCCAACAGCAATACTGCTTGTAGCAGCATGGTGCAATGATTGTCGGTATTTGATTAGCGTTGATCATGCACCCATGTCTACATTTAGCAAATTGCAAGGCGGCATACACCGCCGTGCAGTTGTCGTGCACAGGGTGTTTATTGTACAGGCTTGCCCCGGCCTTCGGACCTTGGCGCGTACCCGGTAATGTCCTTCGCTGCCATGCAGGCGCCTCCTGAACAAATCACTTGTATCCTTAGCCCAGCAACTAACCACACGCTGCCACATGCTTGCCAACAACAACAACAATGGTGATCTGTCAACGGCGGCATAGGTGTGGAAATGTCACGGCATATACACCTAAGGTCAAAGGGGCCACAATTCCCCGTCTCTGCGCCATACAGAACCCACTCAAGGGTTCCCTAAGGCTTGCGGAATGGGTAATGACGGCCGCTGGGGAATGCACAACCAATGTCTCATAATGCGGATGCAGTTGGATACGGGCAAAGGCAATATTCCATACCTGGCGCCTAGGGGATGGGCCGCTAGGGGGTTTCCAGCAAGTCTGCAAGAGCATGCCGATCACGCTTCACTCGCAGACAGGCTGCGGTACGACTTTCCGCCTCTCCGAGCCTACCGGCAGGTGAAGCAAGAGGCGACAGGATGAGGAGCTTAGGCTTTGTTCCATTGCCCTGTAGTACCATAGTAGCCATGCCCTGCTGGCTTTGGCGCATGTCCATCACACGCAGGGTTGAGGCACGTGGAGAGCCTGCGTGCTAAAATGGATGGGCGGTTGCTTACTGAAGGCGCCAGCCGTTATAGAGTAAAGAAAGCGGACATTGGTTGCACTGCTAAATGGTTGCACTGCTCTCGGCTCGGGAGCCACAAAAGCCCCTCCGAGTTTGCTGCAGCAGTAGCATTTGCTTGCACCTGCCGTACAGCGTGCAATGCATTGCGAAGAGAATTGTTGAAAGATGTGTCAGTAAAAAATGCGTAATGGCATTTACAGAGCTTTCCTATTTCTTACAACGACAGAGTGTCTTTAGCTTCCCCCGAGGATGGCATTAGCAACCGTCGTTCCGGGGGAAGCACGCCTTCTTAAAGACGAAAGTACGCCTTACGTGGTGTGGTTATGGCGACGATTATTCACGTCGCTCTATCTGGACTGGCGGTATCTATTTCTCCAGTCCATCCTAGTGAACTTGGTTCGGGCACTGGCTCCACAGCGAACAGACGCACTAAACAGCTATTTTGTCAGTAATGACAGGGCTTCGGTCAGCACTTTTCGTGCAAGCATGTGGGTCATCCGGGACATTTTACTCCAAGTACAGATGTTCATCGTGCTGGCGCTGGTATGCATTCGCTGGGCCGCATCGCAAACAGCATACGTCAAGAACAGAACTAAGGTTATTGCTAGCGGTGGCGAGGACACCTTGGCCTCCTTCTTATTCAGCATGTCGTGCAGCTCCTTGTTCTTCGCGGGAGCTGCAGTCCTAGGCCTCGTTATCTTCGAACCACTCCTACTCTTCGTGGACTTCAAACGGCACGGGGATAACTTCCTATCTTTCTTTGCCACCAAGCAAGCCGACCAATGGGACATCGTCTTGGTTTCCTTGCATTTCTTCATGGCGTTGGGGTCGACGGCAGAGCATCTCAGCCGATGCGAAATCATCGCCGAGGACGTGTTATACCGCACCGACATCGGCAGGAATATCACCATGTATTTCCGTCTCAAACGTCAGCTGTCAGTTGCCGCGACCTTCACCTGGGTGGCCTTCTTCTTCGTCCGCAAAAGCAGCTTCAGTATCCGTTTGGCTCTACGGGTGGTAGCGGCTGTTTTTGTCTTGGCGCTAGCTTGCCTCCATGCGCTAGCATCGTACTACGGCTTGCGTCATCTCATCCGTACAGTCGACGCCCTGGATGCAGACCTCCGCATAGACTACACGAGGCACGGCTGGGTCCCTGGCTTCCTGCTTAAGTGGACACCCCGTCGTAAAACTGAACGCCGTACAACGTACCGCAATCTGCTTAGGGTGGCCAGGCAGTTCTTCCCAATCTTCCTGTGGCATGTGTCCGGCCGCACGGTTTCCGCCCAGATTGCCATGTTCATATCCCTGTGCAACTGGTTGCCGCTTGTGCCTGCCGTACAAGTGGAGCTATACTCCTGCATTGCAGTTCTCACGGCGATCTGCCTCTTCCTATTCCGGCTGACGATGTACATGAACCCCGCATGCGTGAACACCTCCGGAAATGAGATACCCACCCTGCACGTGGGCTTCGGCATGTTGGTGATTAAGAGCCAGCTGCTGTCCTGCGGTCCCAACAACCCAGACTTCCGACTTAAGATGGTCCCTGCAAGCATCGAACGGCTGTTTGAGGCGGTCACCATCAGCTACAGATGGGAGCCCACCACCTCCTTCCCGGTCCACGTGTGGAACCGAGATGCCCCCATGACCGTCCAATTCCGGCTGGACATCCTGCAACGAGCGTTCAACCTGCTACAAGCCAGGGGAATCGACCTGGGCTGGAGCACCCTCGTCTGGTTCGACCAGGCGTCCATCGACCAAGAAAGCGAGCAGTTCAAGTCCCTGCTGGTTCCCCGCATGACCGCCTGCTACGCGCTCTCCGCCATGACGCTGGTGCTGGACAACACGGACACCTACCCCTACGGACACCAGGACAACTACTACAGCCGGATCTGGACCTTCCAGGAGTACTGCCTGCCCCCCTGCATCTCCGTGGTGTCCAGCTCACCGCTCCTGACACCCGCGGCGGTGGAGGCCAACCGACGACACATCCAGAACCGCTACTGGAGCAGCAGCAGCGGTGGCAACAACAACAACAACAGCAGTGGCCACAAACCTGGCAAGGGAACGGCGGTGGCGGCGGCGGAGGGTTACCCCAACGGGGAAAAGCAGTTCTTCTTGGTCGTAGGTCTGGACACCACAGACACCATTGACAAGTGGCTTCACGCCAATCCCGAACTCATTTCCGAGTACCTAGCCACCATTGACTCCCGGGTGGGCTTCAAGAGCTCCGATCGCTTCGCAGCCATCATGCAAGTCATCGCCGGCGTCATCTGCTTCACGCCAGCTGCCGTACTGCAGCTGAAACGTGCCGTACTTTCCACCATGGCACACAAACAGAGCTCCCTGCGCGGCTGCACCATCATTGACAACATGTCGTCAGCTGCAGCCTCCTCCGCCGTGGCTGGCGGGTGGCTGTCAACAGCACCAGCATCCGCAGCGGCAGCAGGGCCACCTAGCCACTTGGTGGGTACGGCGGATGTGGAGAGAATCCTGGCGGGAAAGCCCTGCCCGGGTGACCATGGCGGCAGGGCGTGCCTCACGTTCTCAGAGATTGACGCGGTCCAAGAAGCCACATCAAGACCGGCATCAGCATCAGCAGCACCACCAACAGCAGCCGCAGGAACTGTAACTGTTGGAGAGGGGGTAGCAGCGGGCAGGGGAACCGGCCTGCTGGAGATCCTGGGCAGCTTTGTGCCGTACGGCAACCACGACCTCCCAGCCATTGAGGTGAAGGCGCTGGTGGACCCCTCCACTCGCATCCTGAGGCAGCTGCTGGTCTGGCCGCACAGCCGCGGCGGTGGTGGTGGGGGTGGCGGGGATGGGTGCAGCCACCAACACCACCTGCAGCGTGTTTGCGATGGTGCCTCTCAACAGCAGCAGGGGCAGCAACAGAGGGGCGTGTCTGGTATAGGCGGCAGCAGCGGCAGCGGCCGGCAGGGGCAGGGGCAGCAGCAGCCCGGCGAGAGCGCGGAGGGGGACCCGGTGGGTCGGTTGCGGTTGAGAGGCGGCCTGCTGCAGATGATCCCGGTGGAGATGGAGGACAAGCAGGAGTGGGCGATTGTGCTGGAATGAGTGGCTTCGTGGCCTCGCACTGTCCTTTGAGGGCGGAGGGCTGGCGGGTTGGTTTTCGTGTTGTTGATACCGGTACTGTGAGAAGGGTTGAGTTGGTGAGTGTTGGTGGACGGCACAGGTGGACGAAATGTTGAGCTGGGGTAGCGGACTGCTGCGTGCCGCTTTCAGTGATCCGCCGATGCTGATGGTGCTTGTCCAGTTATTGAGCGGGTTCCGAGGTGTGATCACATGCATGCATGTGTATGGGCAATGTGCGTAGAAATGTGGGGATCTGTGACCGCCGATTGGGTTTGGTCCGCAGCTCCAGCAGACACGCAAGCCACGGCAAGTCATGGAGATAGGGCAGTAGAGATTGTTAAACGGTTATCTAATAACTGCATAGAAGACGCGATGGTTGGTGGCACCGTTGCGCATGAGAGGGGGGGAGACCAAACTGCGGCTGGGCAACAGGCAGTTGTACGTGGTGACGACTTTGCTGTTTACTGCCGCATTTCAGTTGATTGAACACTCGTTGTGTTGTGGATCGAAGGATTTGCACCCGGTCACAATGAGCCAAGTTGCCAAGTTGTTGTCTGTTGTCTTCTGATTGATGACGTGTTGATGACGTGTTGCGGCTGCCGGGTATGCTTAAGGCCCAGGATCCCGGAGTAGTGAGCCATTGGCTGCACATGGGGGCGGGGAAGTCCAAGGTGAGCTGCTTGTTGGGTTGGGTGGCAGGGTGGGATCAGTTAGGAGGCAGGCGGTGGGTTAGGTGGGCTGACACCTAAAACAAAATATAAAACAATACGGGCCTGGTTGCTAGTTGTGGGCAGCTGTTGCAACGGACGAGTTAAACGAGTCAAACGAATGCCGCAACGCTGTAAGCTGGCTGGGTCACAAATTTTCAGCTGGCTGGGCAGACAATGGCTGCCGTTTTTTCCTTCATGAAGAAGCCAAACAAGCGGAGGAGTGCTGTGCCGTGAGGCAGGGCAACCTGGTGGTGACCCGTGCTGGCCTGCTGAGGGGCACTCAGTGAGTTGCTTTGTTCGAACTAACGTACGCAGTGTGTGTTGTATTGAGGGGCACACCAGCCGGGTATGCGTGTGTACGGCTCGGCGCAGGCATGTACTGGCGCACTACCATGTTGAACGGAGAACTGTACAAGTGGCTTGGTGCAGGCACAGGTTGACTTGCACACATTAGGATGGATGCTGGAGAAGGCGTCAGGACTGGAATATCAATAAACGTAGTATCGTTGGTCCTAAAGAGCACTGACATCCATCATGAGTCCCTTACCACCAGTAGTGAATTGTGACTGTCACTTAACACGTCATCCTGGGCATCTTAACATGAATGCGTAAGTGCACTCTACACAATCCTGTCCGTGCCGTACAAGCGTTGGTCGTACGATAATGGGTGACGTACATCATAATAATGGGTGACGCTACCCCCGTCAGTGCATCCCAGCCCAGCAAGTAGCAGCAGCCGCAACCCACACCCACCGGCTCCAGCGGGGGGTGGCGAGCTGCCGGGTCGGGTACCCGCACCTGCACCTGCACCCCAGCCCAGTACCGCACATACATGCCTCCCCCTCCTCCCCACGCTGCCTGCCCACACGCAACTCCTCCTCCCTCCAACAGCCGACCACAGCAACCTCGCAACGTGACACCATAACACCCACGACCCAACCCCTCCCATATCAACTTACATCTCCCATTCCCTCCTTCCCTCCTCCGTTCCCTCCTTCCCTTCCCTCCTCCCTTCTATCCCTCCTTTTACTTGTCCCTTCCCTCCTCCCTTTACTTCGCCCCTTCCGCCTTCTGCGGCTTCTTCACCGCCACCGCCCCCCGCGGCAGCTCCGTGGGCTGGCGGGTGGGGTACATGGCCCCGCTCAGCGCCAGCACCTCCCCCTCGTCCGGCACCCCCGCCACCAGCGGCCCCAGCTTCTCAGCCAGCAGCCACGAGTCGGTGGGATCCAACACCACCAGGTCGCCGTACACCTCGGGCAGACCCGCCTTCTCGGCCTCCAGGCCCCCCCGGGCGGCCTCCATGAGGCCCCGCAGCTCCCCCACCAGAACCAGCGCGGCGGGGGGCGCGGAGTCGGATGAGGCGGCTGCAACAGCGGAGGAGGAGGCGGCGTCAGGGGCGGCTACGCCGCCCTCGGCAGGAGCAGCCGCTGCCTTGCCGGCAGTGCTGCCGGTGCTGCTCTTGCCGCCTCCCGCCAGCGCCAGAGCAATGGCCTGCTGAGCCGCCAGGATAGCGCCGTACAGTACGGCATTGTGTTTCGCCGCCACCACCGCCCCCTTCTCCGCGAATAGCTTGGCCGCTGCGAGCTGCTGGAACTGCAGGCAGGTGCGCACGTAGTAGGCGTAGCCCTGGGGGGGGGGGGGGGTAGGGGGGGGGATAGGCTTATTGGAAGAGCGAAGGAACGACCCATGGGTCACAACCACTATCCATCTCCCTCTCCTCCTTCTCCTCAAGCTATACCCTAGTTCTTACACCTCCGCTCCACCTTGACCACTCCAACAACACACCTCTCGACCGCATCTTTCGCCCCTTCCGCTGCCCCCCTTCCCACTGCCTCTCCCCCTCCTCCCCCTTCACTTCTATACTTCCCCACTCCCCCTCCCCCCTTCCCCTCCCCCCCCTCACCGCGGGGTTCTCCGGCACCGCCTTTATGAGCCCCAGCAGGTCCGCCTGCTGCGCCACCAGCTGCCGCGAGTGCTGCTGCGTGTCACCCAGAGACAGGAACACGGAGCCGCCCAGAGAGGACAGCTGGGGGGGGAGGGGGAAGGGAGGGGGGAAAATTATAAATAAATGCAACAACGCAAAAAAGGGAGGGGGAGGGGGAAGGGAGGGGGAGGGGGAAGGGAGGGGGAGGGGGAAGGGAAGACGTCGGGATCCGAATTCCATGGCCCGACTCATGCAGCGAGCGTCCAGATGACGGACACGTTAGGGAGAGGAGGGGTTGCGAGGTGGGGTGGAGGAAGGACAGGGTCGGGGCGGAGGGGTCGGGGTCAAGCCGCAGCGGTTAGCTCCGCTCTGGGGCCCCAGGGGGCGCAGGCAGGCGGGCAAGCCGCGCAGGAGCCTGCTGAGGCGGAAGAGGAGCGGCAGCTGACTGGACGAGGGGAAGATGCGGGGGTGGGTGCATGGCCCATGATGCCATTGCACCCTCGTACCCTCCACCCAACTCCTTGCAACCCCTGAATGTCTGTATGGAGACTGCTGCCACCCCCTCCCTACCGCCCCCTCCCTACCACCCCCTGCCTACCACCCCCTCTCTTCAACACACACACACCCGCCCCCCCCCCCCCCCCGCCCAAACCCCCCGCCCCCCCCCCCCGCCTCACCTGCGCCCTGAAGTAGTGCATCAGCCAGCGCACCTCCCGCAGCGCCACCACCCCACCCCCCGCCCCCGCCAGCTGCTCCTCCAGCGCCGCCACCGCCCCCGCGCCGCCCGGCCGACCCGGCTGGCAGCTGGCGAGTGCCAGGGAGGAGAAGAGCAGCGCGGCGTCGTCGGAGGGGAAGAAGTCGGGGTGGGCTGGGGGGAGGGAGAGAGGGAGGGAGGGAGGAAACAGCATGGTGGGTCAGGATGCTTGCGCGGGGGTGCATGCCATACCGCACACAAAACCCAACACTCCAGCCACCTCCTGCTTCACCATGCGGCGGTACGGGCGGTACGGCGCTCGCCCCTACGGGCTTGTCAGCTAGTTTACCACTATCACACCACACATTGGAATTTCTTTTTCCCCCGGCAGGTAGCAGTGTCTTGGCCAGCTCCCACCAGCCCAGCTGCTGCATGCCGCCGCTGCCTGCCCCTCTCCCGCAGGCCCCTGCCCCGCTACACGCTCCTCCCTGCCCCCTGCCCCCTTTCCCCCTCCCCCCCCCCCCGTCCTACCCGGGTAGTTGGTGTAGTGGTAGAAGCACACGATGGCGGTGGCGGCAACACGGATGAGCTCCTGAAGGGGGGGGGTAGGGGGCGTAGGGGGGGAGGGTTGCGAGGAGGGAGGCAGGGAGGGGGCCGAGCTACCAATGGCAGGTGTGCGAGGGGCGCCAGGTGGGTAGTGGGCAGTGCGAGGAGGCCCCTCCCCGCCCCCCAACCCCCGACCTCAGCTTACGTACGGTGTCAACACCATTGCGGTCAATCCCATACACATTACCCCCCTCCCCCCACCCACCCCACCACCACCCCACCCACGTGTATGTTGTCGCACAGCTGCTCCTTGGAGGGCAGCCCCAACTGCAACACCACCGTCTGGTCCAGCTGGGGGGGCGGGAGGGGGGGAGAGGGGGCGGAGAGGTGGGGAGCGGGGGGGAGGAGTTCAGGACGAGGAGGGCCAGTTGGGGGGTTTGCCAGGGGGAGGCAGGAAGGGGTCGGGAGGAGTTAATGGAGATTGGAGCAGCTGGAGCCCCAATCCCGTGCCTCGACTCATGCGCCACACCTCTGAAATACGCCCCATTCACAGCCCCTACCAGGTCCTCTCCCAGCCAGAGGACGCGTCTGGGCTTGAAATCAAAACCTCCCATCCTTATAAGTGCAATTGCTGTTTTGCCATAGACGTGCCACATTTGTCTGTTTACCATCGCTGGCATCGCACTCCCAGATCCTGCATCTGCTCGGACCCATGGGTCACTCTCCATCTGCTCCTCTCTCCCTCTCGAGCCCCCTGCCCACCGTCACCCTGTTTCCCCTCCCTCCCGCCCGCCCCCCTCCCTGCCGCTCCCCTCCCGCCCGCCCCACCAGCCGCATGCCGTTCACGAAGGGCAGCAGGATGCCCGACCGCGCCATCAGGTCCTCCAGCGCGTCGAACTGCAGCGCGCCAGGCAGGCCCGACACCTGGGGAGGGGGAAGAGCAGGAGGGGCAGGAGAGGGGAAAATTAATGACAAGGGGAAGGAGGGGGGGGGAGCAGCGCAGCGTGGGGAAGGCAGTCGGGAGGGGCAGCCGTTTGCGGGGGAAAGTTGGGGGGGGGGAGAAGAAGTCAGGATGAGCGATGTATTGTTGTTGCCCGGCAACCCGGAAGAGGGGAGATAGGGACGAGGAGCAGGGGAGGAGGGGTAGGAGGGTGGGTGTTGGCGGTGTGTGGGGATGTGGGTCGGGAAGAAAAGTGACGCCTGATGGGGGCGCGGCTGGTCAACCGCGGTCGGGTCAACAAGCTGGTCAACATCGGCATGGGAAGCACCAGGTGTTGGTAGCTATGCGGCATCATTTAGTTTGCGGTTATAGCAAAAACATTTGCGCTAATACCTTCGACCTGTTTTCAAGCAAATTCTAGGGCGTGTTTCCTTCGGCAAGCCGCACGCCCGAGATGAATCCCGCGACCCACCACCGACCCAAAGCCATCTTAGCGCAATCGTGTACGCACCAGGTTGTACATGTTCTTCAGAAAAAGCAGAATCACCATGTCGTGGTCTGCCAGTGTTGCAGCTTCGCCCTTTTCTTGCAACGCCCGAACGGCACCGCAGCAATCACGCTGCGCCGACAAGCAGGTGAGAAGCCTCGAGGCTGAGAATGTCCGCTTATCTTCCGGAATGTCTTCCAACTGCTTCAGCACTTCCTCGGGAGAGTACTGCTTCCGCGGAGTGGCATCTTCTTCGGGAGCCGCCATTCTGGCTTAATTAAGTGCTCTGCTGTCGATAAAGCTTCTGTTTCCTTGTAAGTATCGAATAGGCAATGCTACCACAAACTCGGCGTTTTCGGAAAAGGCTTAAGCGAATGAGGAGTTCAAGAAGCGACGGCTTTGCGCATAAGCTGCACTTGCGTAGTCCTACTACTAAGCGAGATGCATCAACGTCGTGCCAACAATGCAGACTCTCACTTGCGTCCTCCGTCCTGACCAACTAACTAACCGTCCTTGGCACGTGGACCGACGCATCATGCATGCAGTGCATGATCGAGCGCATAACTTAATGCGGCGGGAGACCTAATAAGCGGCCATATAGTTTCCAAGTGGGCTCCTCGGGGCCATTATAATTCAACGCACTTTGCCACTGCCACCGTGAGTTAAAGACGTGAGCTAGTATTTCATCATACCCAAACAGCGATCAGATAATTCGACGCGCCTAAGTGTTGCATCAGTTTCATTGGTCTTGATCAGCGCACCGAGGGGATCCTTCGGCTTGCCCCATGGCCGCCACCGAACAGGACACGCGGCTGCGCGTTGTGTCGATCTTACCTTCTGCAACTGAAATAGCACACCTTATCGGTGCCAACATCGTCGGGCGTAGCCATGAATGCGACTGGCCGGAATCGTTGCGTGATAGCGTCCCCGCTTTGACCGGCGCGACCAACAAATTTGAGGACTGTTTGCAAATGCACGAAGCAGTAACCGCGTCCCTCACCAGCGGCCAAGGCTTGTACTGGCTGGACTCAGAGCGCCTGGCATCGCTGCGCCCCGACGTCATCATCACCCAGTCGCTCTGCGCTGTGTGCGCCGTAGACTTCGACGTAGTAAAGCAAGCCGTTGCAGCCTTGGACCCACCGCCACGAATTATTGACACAAATCCGAAATGTCTGCAAGATGTCATTTCCGATGTGCGACGCCTTGGCGCGGAGCTTGGCCTTGCTGAGCGCGGAGCCGCAGAGGCCGACGCTCTGCAGGCCAGGGTGGACAAGGCGGTGGCCCTTGCCGCTCAGATGGCTGCGGAAGCACGAGCGGCAGCAGCTGCGAAGCCGGCTGTTGAGGCCGCTGATGGACAAGGACATGCCAACCCGACTGCACCGGGGGACCGAGCGGCACCGGCAGGATGGGGTCCTGCCTGGGCGGCGCAACCCAAAAAGGTAAGAGCGCTACTCCAACATAACCGAAAACGGAAAACCAGAGCCCTGTAAAGCACGCTCCGCGGGCCTTACCAGCCCTGGCTTTCTGCTGTCAGTCGGCCTTCATTACGTACAGTAAAACCCATCTCACCTTCACGTCCTCCACCTTCTCCTCCCCCCACTTCGTCTCCCCGCTTCGTCTCCCCCTTGCCCCCACTCTTCCCTTCCCAGGTTGCCTTCATCGAGTGGACGCGCCCCATCTTCCCCGGCGGCCACTGGACCCCTCAGATGATCGAACTGGCGGGCGGCATCTCCTCCCTCAACCCGCCCACAAGGTACGGGTACGGCAGCGGGGAGGGCCGCAGGGGTTGTGCCGCACTGGTGCGCCTCACCTCCCTGCGGGTGCTGCACCTCCTCACACCCTCGGACCCGCACCTCACCTCCTCCACCTCACCTGCCTCGCACCCATTTCATACGCATCTCCCCCCCCCCCCCGCCCGCAGTCCGGGCAGCGGCGCCCCCCCCTCCCGCGAGACCCCCTCCTCGGTCCTGGTGGCTGCCGACCCCGACCTCATCATCGTGGCCCCCTGCGGGCTGGACCTGGCCGCTGCGCGGAGGGAGGTGGGGCTGCTGGCGGAGGGGGAGGAGTGGTGGTGAGTTGGTGGGGTGGGGTGGGGAGGAGGATGGGAGGGAAAAACAAATTAAGTGAAACAACGAGTCCCAATCAGGGCAGGGAGGGGGAAAAGAGGGAAAGTCATGCGTTTCATGGTAGTGAGGAAGGGAGGGGCGGGGCGGGGTACGGACGGGGCGGGACTACCGGTAGGTTGAAAGAGGAAGGGGGCTGGAAGGGAGCGCAATTCGGGGACCTTTGGGGTTGTTCCTGATTCTCTTACCTTATTCCTTCTCTTCCTGTACCTCCCCCTATACCCCATACCTCTCCCTATACCTCTCCCTATACCCCATGCCTTCATCTCCCTCTGACCTTTTACCTCTCGCCCGGCTCCACTTGGCTGTCTCCGTTGGGATGCTTCCATTAAACCCACCTCTCACCCCCACCTCCCACCTCCCACCCCTCGTCACCCCCCACCCAGGCGCAACCTGCGCGCCGTGCGGTCGGGTGCGGTGGTGTTGGTCGACGGCAATCAGCACTTCAACCGGCCGGGTCCCCGCCTGGTGACCGCCCTGGAGTGGCTGGTGGGGCTGCTGGGGGGGCGGCAGGAGGCGCTGCCGGCGGGCTTCCCCTGGGAGTGGCTGGGAGGGGGGGTGGCGGGGGCGCGCTGCGAGGAGGGGGCAGAGGCGAAGGTGGAGGAGGCGAAGGTGGAGGAGGAGGAGGGGGCGGAGGTGGCTGCCGGTGTTGAAAAGTGAGTTGCGGGTTGGGCTGAGTGGTGGATGGGGGCGAGAGGTAGATGTGTTGGCTGGTTGGAGGGTGGAGGGTGGTACGAGGGCGGGCGGGGGGGGGGGTGGAGAGGGGGGAAACGACGTACTATTCGGAAAACCTCTCGCTCGGGGCTCTGGGTTGGTCCCTCATGGAACCGTGTGGCTGAGCGGTGTTGGCATCGTTATTGTTGCTCTTGTTGCTCCTCTTGTTGTTGCTGCTGCTGCTGCCCTGCTGCCCTGCTGCCTCGCATGCTGGTGCTGGCAGCAGCGTGCGCGCGAACACACTCGTTGTTATGATGTTCTAATGATGGGTATGGCATTGCATGATGCCATATACGGTGTATGTTTTCTTGATCTGAAGTAAGGACTGCAAAATCCGTTTCATGGCACCATCAAATGTTCACATTCGCATGTATTGAAGTATAACGACACTGGCCCTAGCCACTGCTAGGAGAGTACGGGCACTGTAAGGCTGCTTCATACACATTTAAACATTTTACACTGTACACTGTACACTGTACAGCAATGCATTGCATCCCCTCTCCGTGTCCCGCACCCTTCCAGGCCACCACAACGCTCCTCCCCTCCACCGTCCGACCTCCGCTGCCACACCGCTCCTGACAGCGCCCGCAGCAGTAGCAGCTACACCACCACCACCACTACCTGTTGTGGCAGCACCAGCAGCAGCACCAGCAGCAACAGCAGCAGTGATATTAACAGCGACTTACCGGTAAACGCGGCTGGGGGGTCACCAGCGGACGCTCCTCGAGTTCGGAAGCTCGGCACCTGCAACGAACACTCCCAGAACTCCCAACCGCCGCCGTCGCCGCAGCCGCAGCAGCACAGCAATGCCTGCTGTGGTCCGCAACAGCCCTCAAGCTGCTGCGACCCACCTGCCTTTGCCGCAATTGACGCCGCTGTGGTTCCCGCTACTGCTGCTGCTGCAGCTACAGCTGCCGTACTTGCTCCGGGAACTCCCCGACGAGCCGCCCTTGCCGTCCCTGCTACTGCTACCCCGCCACCAGTGGGGGCGGCAGCTACAACGGTTGCGGCGGTTGGAACGGCGATTGGAACGGTTACCAGACGAACTGCCGGGGCTTGCTGTGAGGGAAGAGAGCGGGAGAAGCAGGACAAGCGGGGGGCAACAGGAGCTGCTCATACCGCCAAACAAGGATGTGGTTGTGGAGGCGGCGGTGGTGGTGGCAGTAATGACCCATGGGTCGCTTCCGGCTCCCCTTGGAACGTCGCGCCGCAGCTGCCGCCTGACATTGAGGAGCTGCATGCGGCTGCTTGCGAGGAGGGCAGCTTGTCGTACAACGACCCGGAGACCGGCTACATGGTGCGACAGGCACATCTGTACTCCTGCGGACTTGAAGACCCTCTTATCAGCGTTGCGCCTAACTAATGTTTACATGCCCAGGTTTTATATCGCCACCGGTGATGTGTTAAAATAACTGGCCGCGAGGCGAAACGTACTGTGATTGCCGAAAGATGAAGTGATGTGTCTCCGACATCCTGAAGGTTTACCCTTCTGTTGCCCGACCGTTGCAGCACCTTCCCACCTACTAGGAGCTCAGAACATCGTACACTCGCAATCGTGGCGGTCTACATATTTTCAAGCTGTCTGTTAAAGCGCTCTCTCCCTCTCCCGCCCTCCTCCTCCCCCCAACCTCCCCCCCCTTCACTTATATAATTTTTCCCCCGCCCCGCAGGTCTTCACAGCAGTCTCCCTGGCCCAGCGCACCTCCTGCTGCTCCAACCGCTGCCGCCACTGCCCCTGGGGCCACTTCCAGGTGCGTGGCAAGGAGCGGCTCAACCGCATCACCCGCCCCATGCTGCTGCAGCCGCCGGGCTGCAAGCGCCGCACCACCACCACCACCACCGCCACCACCACCACCACCACCACCACCACCACCACCACCACCGCCACCACCACCACCACCACCGCCACCACCGCCACCGCCACCACCACCACCAACAACAACAGCAATAGCAACAACAACAACAACAGAAGTCGGACGGAGGGAGGCGAGCAGCAGCAGCAGCAGCAGCGCCCCGTATCCCGTGTTCGCAGCGGCCTGCGGACCTTGTTGTCGGCCTTCAGGACCACCGGCGGCGGCGGCGGCGCTGCGGGTGCCGCGGATACCGCAGCCACTCCTGCCGCCGTGACCTCACCCGCCACCCCCACCACCGCCACCACCACCACCGCCAGCACAGGGGTGACGCTCGTGTGGTACCGAAGGAGCGATGAGGCTGCGGATGCGCTCGCTGCGGCCGCGGCGGAGGCGGGGGCAGCAGGCGGCAGCAGCAGCCAGCGGTTAGCCCTGCTGGTGGCGTTCGACGTGGACAGCGGGGCGCTGTGGGGCGGAGCCGCCTCCACCTCCGCCACCGCCTCCGCTGGCTCGGTGCGCGTCCTGAGCCCCCATCAAGCCGCTGCCGCTGCCCCCGGTACCACACCGCCCTCTGACGGGACTCGGGGACTACCAGCCCCGCCTGCTACCCCGAAAGGCAACGGAAGCAGCAGCAGTGGTGCTGCTGTTGGTACGGCAGTAGCAGCAGCAGCGGGTGGTGATGGGGCCAGCAGCAGCAGCAGCGTGTACGGCGCCATGGAGTGCAGTTTGAGGCAGCGACTGGAGCTGGTGGCAGTGCCGCTGCAGGTGGGCAGGGGTGAGGGGGAGAAATGAGAGGTGGAGCACAGTCCCATGGTGGGTAGGGGCGGGGGCGGGGGCATGAGACTGTGGTAACCGCCCGGTAAGATCAAGGAGAGCAAAAGCCAGGCAAGGGTGTTGGGCAAGCAAGCCTGTTAGGTGGGGTGAACTGCAGGCGGCGCGGTGCGCTGTTGCATGCGGGGGAGCCAGGGGGCGGTTGGGGGATGCCAGGAGTGCGCCTGCTGTGTGTGCGAGCCTCTTGGCTGCATTGCATGCTTCGATCAATGCAAAACCCGCCATGCTGACAATCGCCCCCTTTCCACAGTTTGCCGGCCGTACATGGCACCAAGATCCCGCTGCCGTACAAGGGGCGGTGGATTACGTGCTGCGTACGGCAGCTGAGCTGCTTCAGGTGAGGACACGCGTGACACGTACGCGGGTTTGACGACATTGTGAGGCACAGTTTTCGACACTGCGCAATAGATCTGTTTGCATTGCCTGTCCAGGGTGACTCAGTTGACATGCGTGCACGTACTAACGGTGCTGCGTGTGCACCCCATGTTGCTGTCCGGCTGGTGGCCCCACACGCGGCAGGTGGACGCAGTAGCCAGGGTGCTGTGAGGGGGGCGGGGTGCTATGCTGGGGGCGGTGATGTGGGTGGGGCGGTGTGCCACCGTGGGATCATGGGGCGGGCTTGGAGAGGGTGTGTTAAGATAACTGGCCGCGAGGCGGAACGTACCGTGATTGCCGGAAGATGAAGTCCTCCGTGTGTGGGTGTGTGTGCGCTTCAAGGGAGCAGGGCGGAGGAAGTGCATGCCGACACCCTGACGGCGCGGCAACGCCGTTGCTGTGGCGGCATTAGCCGCGAAAGCACTAAGGAGCGAGACACCGGTGGGGCCATCCAGGAGGCTTGAGCGGTGAGGAGGCATGCAGGCGTGCAGTTCACGGAGCGGGCAGCAACCAGCAGAGGAGCGAGTTGGTTTGTAGCCGCAGCTGTGTGCGTGACCCATGGGCCATCACCTGCGTGCAGGGCAACGGCGGATGGGAGGGGTGGAACAGCGGTAGAGTGGGGTTGGTCGTGGCCTGGGCGGGAAAAGAGTTTATGTTGAGAGTGTAGCGTAGAAGGTCCGTTGAATGTGGGCGTGTGTATTACCGGTAGGTGTGACAGCTCGTTGTAACCCCTGGAGCTGAGCGCTACTTGGTTTTGCCCTTCCATTTGCCTGCCGTGAATGGGTAAGAACATGCTTTGTCGTGTTCATATCATGGCCTATGTTGTACAGAAGAAAAAAACTACAGAGTTTTTGGTACGAAACTACGGAGTTTTGAACAGGAGCCGCTTGGGCAGACCTGGGTGCTGCGTTTTGGATTAAATTAACTGGAAAGAGAGGCAACAAAGGGTAGCCAGACGACGCTACTAGGGAGTGAGCCGCTCCCTGCCTTCGTGGCTGTGCTATTGCTGAGGCAAAAAAGGAACTAATTCCAACGGTAAGACGAGGCTTCATTATGGGTTGCATTATTTTTGTGGTCAACAGCGGCCGTTCAGTGCCATCATCATCACCACTTCTGCCAAGTCATGGTTACACAGTCAGCACAGCATTCGTCTGCCATCATGCAAAGCTGTGTTTCGTTATATGATGGCAGGGTGGTTGGTAACAATGGAAGTAAAAATGAATCGTGCGAGCACTCTTCCGAGAAAGACACATCACATCAGAATCATCATCCCCGCCCAACATCCAGCACAAGCACTACCCATGCCGCAGCAACAGCAGCAGCACCAACAAGATTTCTGTCACTCCCTCTTTAGAAGGGACAAAATCACAAACCATCAACTCTCCAGAAACCTGAAATACGCAAAGATACGTCATTGTTACCCAGGGCTCCATAACATTGCAGTCAACCGCAGCCTCAAATAAACCTTACATTCTTTCAGTCTCAGGGATTGTTGTTCCTTTGTTAAATCCTATTCGTAACCGACCAGACATTCACTCTCAATCCAGCCACACTCGGATCGGGCACTCGGTGCATCAAAATCCGAGGTACAGCCCTAGTTTTGACGTTCACAATCGCCCGACTCATCAGCGACGTTTCCCTGCCAGCGCTCGGCCGACGCAAACAACAGAAATCATTCCCGTATACAGCAGCATATGACCCTTTACCAGACAACATTCCTTCCCTCCCCAGGACTCACCAAGCCACACCGGATACCCCGATACAAATACACAGAAGCAACGCGACACCTCAGACAAGAGGCATTGGTAACTTGAACAAACAATAGGCCTTGCCAAAATCCCATGAAGAGCGCATGTGAGCCAAACGCCGTTGCACACCCCGTTAAAAGAGTCCCCAACCAGTTCTCCTTGCTTCCCCATCAGGTGAAAGCAACTACTATTAATAACTTGCCCGGAACATACTACTGACCTCAAGGTCTCGTCTTGAAGCCCCAACCCATCGCGGAATGGGCCATGCACGGAGGCCAAGCATGAAGGACGTGTCCAGGACAGCCTAGCCGAAGAACAGACCCATGGGTCCGCACAGCTGACTGCACCCTCTTACTCCCCCCAGGCATCCACCATCACACCTTTTTTTGTCTCTCGTGTCGTCCGAGCCGGATCCCTCGCATGCTCTCTGTTTTTCTTGCTCCAGCAACCAGAAAATCTCAAATGCGCCTCAAACCTCATCAGCAATTCCATCATACCCTCAGCACATACACACTTACGAAGAATCGTGCTTCGCCCCTCCGCTCCACTCCTCGCGAGGCACTAGAATTGCCTTAAATTGATACAGGCTACACACAATACCATCCAATACATTGTCCCCCTAGACAAGGCCTCCTATTTGCAAGTACAGCTAAGCGCGACCGCACTTGACCTTCGCTAGTTAGTTCGCTCCTGCCTCCAGTATTCACAAGTCGTCTCTCGGTCATACCCCATCTCATAATTTCCTCTCGCACATAGCGATTAGACCGTAACCCCGGCAATTCATCGCAAGAACCCCCAACCCAACCCGAAACAGGGTTGTCTCCTTACATCCAGGAACAGATATGCGACCAATAAACCCGTATTGAACAAAACTCCAAATTTGAACACTCTTTAGGCTTCTAAAGCTGAGGGCAATAGCTCCCTTCCCTCGTTTTCCCTCTCCTCGCCGCATAGACTATCGGCACGCACATCGCTCCCTAATGACGCTCAACTCGCAGCACCTACATCCCTTCACCTGCTTTAGCCAGTAAAGGCACGCAGCATTCTCACGCTCTTCGCCAACACACACGCTACACAATAACGACAACTCAACTGCAACAGGGCCAGCCGGATGTATCCCGTCCCACTTGGGGTATTCGGCTGGGTAGCATACCCCAAACCGCATTTCAGACGCGTTTCCCATCCCAACAAGGGGACCCCCTCGTTGACCAGAATCAGCTGTTTCTTTTCCTAATACTCTCATCACCAACTAACCACCGCTTCCCTTAATTCTGTAAATAAAACACCATCTGGCGTCTCTTTCACGCTCCGACAGCATTACCAAAAACTATTCGCGGCCTCCACCAAGGGATGCTTGGCGGTTGCTGTTGCAAGCCGCATCACACCTCACACGCTTTCTCAAATGACACGACGTCTCCTCTCCTCGCATGGAACCCACTTAGTTACTTCTCCTCGCTTGATGGCTCTCCACGCAAAAACATCAAGCTATGCTGCGGCTCTCCTTATCAGGATATGCGTGTGCGTACATAAAAGGCATATGCGTACAAAAAACGCAGCCCTTGTACACGTGGGCTTAAAACTCGCCATCCAGAATGTCCGGAACAACGGCATCATCGCCTCCGTGCGCCGCCTTCCAAGCCTCAATCTCCTCCTTCCGCGCAAACCGACCCTTGATGCGCGGCCGGATCTCCGCATACGCCTTGCGCGATGCGTAGCGAATCGTCTTTTCAAACTTCCGGTTCTTGCGCTTCTCGCGGTACCTCGCGACGCGCTGCTCCCGAGTCAGGTTGAGACCGGCAGCCAACGCTGCCTGGTACGGCAGGGTCGCACTGTTCTTGGTACTTGCAGTGGCGGTTGCGCTTGGCGGTTGATGCTGGTGTACGGCAGTGGGCATGGGTACGGCGACTGCGGGCTGTTGTACAAAAGATGAGGAGGAGGACAGCAGTTGTTGCTGTGACGCGGCGGAGGGCATCGGGAAGAAGAGGGAGGAGGCGGTCTGGGGGAGTGGGTTCGCCAGGATGTGGTGGGGCTGGGCTGGCAGCAGGGGCTGGGGCTGCGGCAGCTGGGGCGGGGCCTCCTTGGACGGCAGGGTGGGGACCTGTCGCAGCATTGCAAACAAGGGGGATGAGAAAGAGGGTGAAGAGACATAAAGAGCAAAATGCAAGCTGGTGAGGTTTAAGCAAGGACGTGGGACAGCAAGGAAAACGGCATGGCAGGAGGGGCCACATGGGGACACGGACAGTTCGACTGGCACCTTCCCAGAGTTGCAAGTCAAAGACTCAAGAATAGGTCTATCTTGGGGCTAAACCCAGAAGCGCTGTTTGCGCTCGTACTGCCACTACCTTCGACGCTGGCTGCTCCTCGCTGGCATCCGCGGTACGTCGCTTCTTGCTGGGCTCTGCGGGAGCGATGGTCGCAGCTTCCGCGGTGGGGAAATCCTCAGTGAAGGATGGCACCAGCGCATCCGCGGCGGCATCAGCGGCGTCCGCGTCGAGGGTAGGCACAAGGCCAGCTGCAGAGAGTAACGGTTGTAAAGGTGTCAAAACGGAAGCAACTTTTTTCAATGAGACAGGTAAACATGTCTTTTTAACCTTTTGCTGATATTGAAATGGCTTACCGTCAGAAGGCGCGTCAGAAAGGATGTCCGAGAAGTCGAAGCCCATGTCAAGCCACGCATTGTCGAGCTCAAGGGACTGCAGCAAGCAATCAAGAGGCAAAAGTTCTAGGCAAACCATTTGAAGTATGTAAAAGGAAGAGCGCCAAAGCATAAGCTGAGCGCACCTCGAATGCCAGCTTGTCTTTTATCTCCTTGAAGGTGTCAGGCCCAGTAAACGCGTAGTCATCAATGGGAACAGACATGACAGGCACCACAGCCTCGCTGCCCGAAGGTGACAAGACTAGCGTCTCGTCAAAGGTCACCATGGGCTTATCATCATTCACAAACCAGGTCGGAGACGCAGCCGATTGCGCCACGGACTCGCAGGGACGTGCAGCAGCAACTGGGAGCGGGTCAAAAGGACTGAAGTCCTACACAAGCACAGCGTCAAGACGGTCAGCTTCAGGTCATGCACCGAACGTGAACTTAGCTCTTTGGACTGACCTGCTCCAGCGCCGGTAGCGGCGCCGCCGGCTCAACCTCGTGCGTTGCAGACAATGGGTTTGCGCCGTGGCAAGCGTCACACATGTAAGCATTGTCGCAGCGGCAGAAAAGCGATGCCCCCTTGGAGCAGCCACCCTCACAGGGCACGCGCCGAGTGTGCCGCGCAGCCACCTGCAAAGCGCAGGCAGTCGGCGCGTTTAATAGATTCTCTATTGCTTAAGACAGTCTGTACTGGGCGCCCTATCATGCGACCAAAAAGCGCCTTAGGGAACCTCCTACACTATCTTACCGCATTGCTTAAATGAATGCGCGTATCACAGTCCTTGCACAGTAGCGCCTTATCATTTTCACAATAAACCGCAGCTTGTGCCGCGCAAACCACGCAAGACATCTTCGTGCAGGAGCCAAAAGCTGAGGCGGAATGAAGAAGTATCAGAACCTTACTGAATAACAACTACAAACAACTTGAAAACTTGGTCTACGCGTACAAAGTGTCAGTATACCGATTTGGCGAGTGCAGGGGCTCTGCTGTGTGCTCGTAAAGGGCCAATCGCTGCCGTACATGACAAAGCGTTATATTCCCGTTATCAGGTTGTTACCGGAATTCTTACGGAGTACTGAGGTAAGCATCTCTGCTTGCTCGGCATGTACGCTCGTTAGTTAGCTGCGGGGCCTTTGCCCTATTCGCCTGCGGGGTTTTCCGGCACAGGCGATGCTCACTGCCGCGTGTCTGTTGCTACTGTTATTTGTTAATGCATGGTGTCTGGTGCTGCTTGCTAGGGCGACGCAAGGTCCCAACAGCAACAGCCAGAATCACAATGCCAAATGCCAGCAGTGCATTGCTTGGCATCTTATACTGTGAGCAACCCCGATAAGGATATTTAGATGGAGACTAAGGTTACTGCGTAAGCCATGAGCTGGTCCTCCCTTGAAGCCCGTAGTCATGACCCCCGTGCCCTTGCAGTGTTTAGCGAGAAAGGGGGCTCGTCTGCTATCGGCGAGAGTGAAGGTTGCTTGCACCATATACCCAGACTGCATCTAAACCCTTGCAATGGGAGCCCTTGCAACCCCAAGCAGCGCATAGCGGATGGCACACGCATCATATGCATAACCGCGCAACGCAAGCAGTGGGGGGTATTCGCCTCCCGGTCAGCTAGCTTAGGCCCAACGCCAATGCACAGGAGGACCAGCAAACACTGACAGCATGTGGCACGGCAATTGGCGCCCGCATTGCGAGGGGTCCCTGGGGCCACGTTTGGGCTCGTCTCATAAGCGCTCTCTCACCCAATCCAATGAACATAGACCTTATGCTTCTGAAGCTCAACGGCAAACTAATACCGAACCTAGCATGGCTTCGCACCCTCGTAGGTTCTGTAGGACTGCGGCAGGGGGTACGTTTTCCCAACGGCCATCTCGCACGGTTTACCGGTGCCTCCACAAGCACGCTTCGTACATGCCAAAATGTCTACACGTCCACAAGCCCACAGACCAGACCACCAGACGTACTACAAAGGCCACCGCGCATGCTAATAAAGCCCCGCATGAAAGCCCTCGCAAAAGAGACTAAAGGTGGCATCAAGGCCTCGGGACTTACCAGACCTACAACGTCATGTCAAGGTCTACGTCGATATCGAGGCATAGCGTCGGAACGTGCCTTGCGAACGCCATATGAGCCGCTAGGGGGAGCGTACGGCCCACGTAGCTTGGCATCCTGCAACGCCGTACACACTAACCAACCCAGCCGGAGGACGCTGTGCCGACGCTCGTGGTGCGGTTCTTCGCATCGACCAATGGCAGCTACTCAACCCATCTAGCTGAGGCACTATGTCAGGAACCTGAGTCCGCCGTCCTCACGACAACACCAGGAAGGAACAACGACGGCGATACTCCCAGGACGCCCAAGAAGCCAAAACAGGTCCCAGCACAGCTCCAACCTAAATGCCTGCAACCCAAACCCGAAAGCAAAAGCATGGTAGAATTCTGGTCACAGCCTATCTGCAGCCTTGCTATCGTCCACAGTACCGGTACAATTGTTGAAGTCCAAACATTGGGACCGGGGGTCATGAACTCATGATAATGAACCACCTGCTGTCCCAAGATGTCAACGTACGCCTCCTGCATCTCAGCAGAACCAACGCAACGAGGTAAGGAAACGCAACGCCATAGCCGTGGGGGAGAGGTGCAAACCGGTACATCCGTACACACATGCACACAAACCGCAGACCAAACCCACAGGACCCCTTGATCCCGCAAATCCAAAGCCATGATCCCGCAAATAGCGCCGCATCTGTACAAATTCCCAGCTGGCTACCCCAGCACCTCACTACTGCTTAACACAGCCGAGCATCCCGTACAAACACACCAGCGTCATACATCGCGAGCAACGTCACAGCAACCACTGCAGTCTTGCGGTTTCGGACCCTTCTGGCACTCCTTGCAGCCAGGACGAGATCCACCCGTACAACAACCTCACACCCGATCACGGACGAGCGCCCAAACCAGGCCCAAGAGCCCCTGTGTCAGCCAGAGGCTCCTACGTCGGTTCCAGTAGGGGTCAGAGGAAAACCAAACCACAATATCCCACTAGACGTTCCAATAGGGGGCTCAACACTATACAAACCATCTAGGATAGTAGCTCAACAATATACAAACCATTTAGGATAGTAAACACGCAGGGGTAACACATCACTGGCTTGCGAGCGAACCCACCCGCCTGCCATTCCAGTCGCAGCACACCCCCGGGACATCCATCACGCACCCAGACCCAGACACCCAGCAGCACACCCCGTTCCCCCTCACTTGCGCAATACGAGCGGTTGAGAGATCACCTGAATCGCGCCGAAAAATAGCACCATTGGGTGCACGGCTCCAAGCTTCAGGGACGATAGAAAGACACACAGGCATCATAGGGCATGTCAGTCAGGTCGTTCGTCATATCTACAGGTCGCCCCTGCATCTCGTCGACACTCCCGGAGCGGGCTTCCCAGTTACTCAAACCGTCAGCAGCAACCGTCAAGCAGCAGCAGCAGCAGTCCAAGGGCATATACGCGGTCGTGGGCCGTCTCACGGATGCCCAGAGAAAGAAGAAGGAGAAAAAGGAGGAGCGAGGAAGGAGAAGGAAGGTTGGAAGGAAGGATGAGGAGGCGGGCACCCAGGGGCGCCCCTCACTCATTAAGGCAGCGAACTTTCCTTCACAACTCCGGCATGTGCGTGCGTAGCCTCCGCCGCCGCCGGCGGCGAGAGGTCGAGCTGGCAAGCTTCGGGAACACGTTATTGGCAAACTGTCCGGCGTAGTTGCCTGTAGCGGAGTGGCGGAGGCAGCAGCACAGAAGGTTGGCAGTGGTCAGTGGCGGGCTATGAGGAAGAGGCCATCTCGTAGAGGGAAACCGGTGCTGGCTACGCGTAAAGAGCCGAACAGGGAACAAGGGCCGACGACTGAGACAAGTCCTAGGAGTACGAAGACGGCACTGCTGTTTACTAGGACGGCAACAACCACATCTGACACCGCGCCAACAAGCACCATGGCACCGCTGTCCCATACCCCACTGACGCACCGGGAGTTGCCCCCACGCAACGCGGCTCAGTTTATCTAATCCCCCACTGACACCCGCGCACACGCCACCCGCATGCCCGCCCCACAACAAACCCCGTTGAAACCACCGCGTTCGCTCGCGTCAGCCCCCCACCCACCTGGCAGCCAGTACATGCAGACGTAGAGCTTGCCGACCCACTGCCCTCCCGCGTACGACACCCCGTCCGGACACACTCCGATGGCGCACCCAACCAGGTAGGTGCGGTACCACACCAGCTGCGTGAAGTGACCCGTCAGGGAGTTGAACTGCAGGGAGGGGAGTTGGGGGCGCTGGTCAAACCGAGAAAGACTTAGGGGCGGGGAGCGGGCATGGAGGGTGTAGGAGAGTAAGGCGCATGGTGCATGGGCGCATGAAGTGTGGCGTACATGCACGCGAGCATGGCAAGGCAGGAGTTGAAGTTTGGAGGGGCGGGCGAGGAAGGGGTGTCATGAGGGAACGGCGGCAGAGTGGCTGGTTTGCGGAGGAGGATGGATGACGGGCTCACGCCGAGCTGTTAGGCCGGCTGAATCCTCCCGGATATCCTTCCTTTCGTCCGGGCCACCAATACGCGTCATTGTTGCAACAAGAGCCGCTCGCCCCCTCGCCGCAAGTCCATCCTCCCATGATGCCACTATCCACCCGAACTCCTGTCCCTAAGCGTATGGCATGCCTCCGCAGCCCTGAATGCACCCACACTAACTGCCGTCTGGCCCCCCCCCGTCTGACAGCCCCGCACCTACCCCTGGGCTGCTGAAATCGTATTTGTCGACCTCCGAGTACCTACATGTGAGCGACCGGGCGAGAGGGGTTGATGGCGGCAGCAGCGGAGGTAGGGGTGGGGCCCGCTGGGCACAACGGCAACATGTCCCGTGGGTCTTTTCTTTGCATGCGCTGCTCCTCATCATGTAGCAAGAGGGGGATGCAGCGGGAGACCGACCGACCCATGGGTCACAACACCACAGGGTCGCTGTGGGTCCGTACAATGTGAGTGCGCCTCCCGCATACCGGGCCGTGGCTGAGCATACCGTACTTACCAACCATCAACGGCTGCTACGATGTTCGGGTGGCCCAGCGCAAGGTTTTCACCATAGGATGTGGAGCTGTGCTCAAACCTGCGTCGCGCGTGGGTGAAGAGTGCATCCGGGGCACGTACACGGGGAGTAAATTGTTTGCTCGGACGCAGATGTATGGGTCGTGGTAAAGCCCTGTTCACACCAAGGCGCGCCATGCATTCTACGCGCGACACACTCAGCGGCCCAAAAGCGACGGCAAACGAGCGACTTCATACACTCCCTCAGCTGGTCTACCTCACACCCTCTCCGCTCCTCAGCTTGCTCGGGGCACACCGCTGCGGAAGTAAACGCACCACACTTCCCTTCCTCCCTACCACATCCCTGGCTCCCCCCTTCCGCCCCCCCCTCCCGCCTCACCAGCAGTTGTCCGCCCAGTCCTGCGCCGCCTGCTGCAGCCGTGCGCTCCAGGCCAGCGCGGGCGCCTGGTGCCAGCCGCGGTACATGTTGTGACGCGCCAGCGTGGAGTTGATGTCAACGTACCTGGCAGCAGGCAGGCAGGCAGAGGGGCACAGCAGAGGGAAAGGGCAGGTGAGCAGAGTAGACCAGGCGAGGGCAGGGGGCATGTTTATGACGTCATGGCTCATGAGAGGTTATGTGACGGTGTGTTCTGTCGCCAGCCCTAGGTTGGGTCAAGGGCATACTTTGACGTCAGCTTGCTTGCTTACCAGGGACTTGTCGGAACGCTCGGATCATTGGCGGCATCGAGAGGTGCTGGCGGCGGCGGCGGCGGGGGTGGGGAAGGTGGAGGGGGCCTTGGGGGTGGGGAGGACACGACAGTGGGAGGCGGTGGTGACGGCGGCGGTGGAAAGGATGGTGGCGGCGGAGTTGGAGGAGGAGACGGCGGTGGTGGCGAAGGTGGAGGGGGCCGTGGCGGTGGAGGGCGCGGCGGCGGCGGCCGTGGCGGCGGCGGGCGCGGTGGCGGCGGACGCGGCGGCGGAGGCCGTGGTGGCGGAGGTCGCCGTGTTGGCGGCGGCGGATCAGATCGCAATAAGTCCTCCGGCGGCTGCACGGACAGTGATGACTCCTTGGTGGTCTCCACCGGTGGCGGAGGCCTTGGCGGCGGAGGCGGCGGCTGGGGTGGCGACAATGGGGGCGTCGAGGGCGGATTTGAGGGCCCCAACGGTGACGTGAAGCCGTCATCTGGCGGAGGCGCATCGGGGTTCAGTGGTGGCGGTGGTGGTTTGGGATTCCTGATTCTCTTAGGCGGCGGACGTGGCGGCGGCGGCAAAGGCGGTGGTGATGGTATTGGTGGAGACGGTGATGATGGCGGCAGAGGCGGTGGCGGCCGCGGCGGCGATGATGGTAGCGGGGGCGGTGGCGGGGACACAGGCGGCGGGGGTGAGGGCGGTGGCGGTGACAGAGGCGGCGGCGGCGGCGAGGGTGGGGACGGTGAGGGTGGGGGCCTTGATTCTGGGGCAGCTGGCGGCTGCTCAGGGGTTTTCGTGGGCGGCGGCCTGGGGTTCCTCCACCTGATGGGCGGTGGCGGCGACGGATCCCGGGGTGCAGCCGGGGCAGGTACCGGCGGTGGTTCGGCTGGGCGGGCCGGCGGTGGCGGGGAAGGAGGTGAAGGGGAGGGACGGGGCGGGGAAGGAGGTGGAGGGGAGGGACGGGGCGGGGAAGGAGGTGGAGGGAACGGCGGTGGAGGGGAAGGAGGTGGAGGGGAGGGACGGGGCGGCGGCTGCGAGGGAGGCTGTGGTGGTGGCGGCGGTGGCATGGGGGGTGGTGGTGGTAGCGGAGGTGGTGTCATAGGCCCAGCCGGCGGTTGCATTGCCGGCGGCGGTGGAGACAACTTCAAACGAACGGGCCGGAGCGGCGCATAGGGGATTTGAGGAGGTGAGGTTGGGGGTTGCGGGGGCTGTGACGGGGGCGAAGGTGGCAGGGGTGCTGCAGTACATAAGGAGCAGCCTTCCGGGACGTTCCACGTGCAGTCGATGCCTGGGTTGAAGGCCCTGAGCTGGGCGAGGGTGATGTTGGCGCTCTTAGCCGCCCGTGCACAAGTCATAGACTTGGGGGTTGGGGTGAAGACAGTACAACTATCGGTGTGCGGTGGACATGCTGTAGGTGGCTCTGCTGGAGTTGCTGGTGGTAGGGGCGCCTGCTGTGGGGGGGGTGGTCGCTTTGCTGATTCTGTTGTTGCTGCCAGCGCTAGCAGGAGCAGCATTACTCGCATGCTGGGGAAAGCCCAATGCGGTGGCCATGCACACATGGCGAGGTCCGGCCCCGGCGCCCGGTATAGAGCCCGGGCGCCTAGGGCTTTCCGTCCTGCAGCCCGCAGCTGCAGCTGCGTGGGCGCAACCTCGCGCTTTGTAAACGCCAGACAGGGGGGCCTTTGTAACGCTGCTGAGCGTCGAAGTCCTCGTCACCAGACACACCCCGACTGTAAGGCTTGCCCAGACTGTAAAGCTTGTCCAGCCTTATGGCATATCGAATGCGGCAGTCCGCTTCGTCACGGGGTGCAGCGCTTACCGAAAATAGCAATCCACCATTCCTGATAGGCGATGGACGTATGCCACCTACAGGAAAACCTCATTTAGCAATATGCACTTTGCAACTAAGGGCCGAGAGTGTAGCTACAAGTAAGAAAGCCATGAAGGTGCAGCTAAGTAGTTTTCTGAGGAGGGAAGCGTCCACCGTAGCACATGGCTATAGCTGTTTATGTCATTATATTACTGTCCTGATAAAAGGGATAGTAGACCTCAGCCCGTCCAGCTGCCCCGGCGGCAATGGTGGGCGACAACAACGTCCGCAAGCCTACCTTGCAACTATCCAGCGAGGTAGCCCTCATAAGCCCTTGTGCAGACGCCAAGCCGGTTACGCTGTACGTTAAGTATGCACGAGGCTTAACCGAACAAGCGCTACCCATGCAAGCGCGCCAGAAAGGAAGTGGGATCCAGTGACAGGTACAATTCTTATATTAACTATATAGGTATAAGCATCTTCATAGTAGCTACATAGGAAAGAGCACCACTGGCAATGTAAACTTGCATGCCGCACAAGTGCATCAAGGCACGCGTCCAGCCGATGGAGGTTCATGCCACAGATAGGACAGGTGGTTCCGACCTTACTATTCGCGCGTATCAACAAGTGCAAGTTTTGCAGCCAGATGAATGACCTCGTCACGACCCGCGGGCCCATTCTCCAGTTCATCCCACCATCGCCGCGGCAACCAAGATACGCCGTGCAGCGCTCCAGCCATTGCACCTGCGAGGCAGAAAATAATAATGACAATCCGCAAGTAACTCCCAGCGTAGGGGCAAAACAAGCAGCCAGCTTCGCCCAGGTGTTTTTCACAAACCCCGACGGCCGAACGCCAACTGGGTGCGACTGCAAACCAATCCCCGATTACCATTAGCGTGGCCTCCCATGGAACCAGGGAAGGCGTCCTTCAACGACTATTCCTTCCATGAACACAAATGTCGGCAAGACGTCGGCAAGACACTCAGTCTCAAGTCTTCTCCACCAACACCACCACCACTCACCGGTGATCGCGGCAACCGTGTCCGTATCGCCGCCGTAGTGCACCGCCGCCACAACCGCATCCTCGGGGCAGTCCCAGTGCCAGCACAGCGCCGACAGCGCGGCTGCTGCCGCCTCATTCGCGCGAATTTGGAAGGGCTCCGAAACCGCCGCCTGCAGCCCCAGCTCCGTCGCCCAGCCGGAGGAATCAAAGTAGGTGGACCAGGGCTCGCCTTGCCGCTTGAAAGACGGTGCCTGCGGGAAAAGGAGAAGAAGGCAACAGTTGCTAGCCAGGGAAGGCATTGTTCCGAGTCGTTCTGCATAGGCAAAATTCTGGCCTTCAGGCTGAAAGGAACCCAACCTCCACCCCAAAATCCCCAACCCCTGGCGCATGGCTCCCCGCTTCCCGCCTTCTGTAAGCCTTGGCCTCTCCGCGCCGTCTCCCACACACACCTGCACCCAAGCAGCCCGCACCGCCAGCAGCTTCGCCAGCATTTCCTCCGTCTCCAGCAGCCCCCGCTGCAGCAGCAAGTGGTCGAACAGACCCACGGGACTGCACACACTCGCATCAGACTCCTCTGCCGCTGCCGCTGGCCCAGTCACCGGCGCACCAGCAGCAGCGTCGCCACTGTCACCGCCGACCCACGGGTCAGCTACGCCGTCAGCGCTCTCCGGGGAGCGCTCGGAGGCTGCCCCAGTCCTTGTTGCGGCTACGCCCGCTGTGGCGGAGGCGCCTGGAGGCAGCGGCTGAGGGCTTGGGACGCGAGCAGCCACAGGGCTCGGATCGTGGGTTGCTAGGTAGCGCACGGCGAGTGCGATGACGAAAGCGCCGTCAATGGCGGTTGGGTGCACGTGGGTGCAGCGGAGGGCGGCGGCGACGGCGACGCGGAGGACGGTGGGAGGCGCATGCCTGCGAGGGATAGGGTTGAGGAAGAGGGATGTGTGACCAGGTAACCGGGGAGGGGTAGCGAGGAGGGTATGATAGAAGGCTGGTGTAGGTACGGCATGGTAGGGAATGTGTCTGCCGTGCAAGCGCAGGTACGGTATAGGACACGGTAGCATGGATTGGGTTCACGTTTGGAACGCACGAGGAAGGCCCAGTAGTGAGGTGTATTTGGGCAGCCGGCGCTGAGCAGCGCCTGCAGAGGCACATTGTCAGAAGGAACACCGCCAGCGGCAACAGAAGCAGAGGTAAAGAAGGTGAGAGGCCCAGCAGCGGCCATGGCGGAGGCGGGTGCGGGCCGGGAGACACACCACCCCCACCTGTAGGCCAGCGCCAGCGGCGCAATGCGCATGGCGCCTCCATTGCCGAAGGAGCCACCGGGGATGTACTTGGTGCCGATCGTCTTGAGCGACTCCGCATCGATGCCCTCCACTTGGAGGCTCGCTAGCAGCTGCGAGCAGGTACGGCAGGGGGGGTGTCCCTGGTGTCCTGAAACGACCCTGCCCGCTAGAGACCTGGGTGCTGCTGTACGATTACCGTAGCTAGCTGCTCGTTGTTGTTGTTGCTACCACAGGTCCAACAGCCGCTGTGTAAGCTCACCTTGTATGCAGTACCGCCGTACCCCCGCGTGGGCTGGAACTCCGCTGCGTAGCTGCGTGCGGCGTGCAGGTCATCGCAGCGACCGCCGCACGCCAGCAGGCTGCGGGTGAGCGCTATGGCCATCTGGGTGTCGTCTGCCGGGCGGGGGGGGGTCTCGGGGCAGGGTTAAGCAAGAGCAGCGAAATCCTGAGCCGGAGCACGATCCGAGCTGGAGCAGGATGGCAGGACGGGCGCAAGCGGCAGCAAACGCGGGGGGCGGCAGGCCGGCTCTTTAGTGGCCGTGTCAAAGTAGTCGGTCGCACAGCATCAGAAGACGCAAGTAATAATCACTGTCTTACGGAACGGGTAGGTCCAACGATGCTAAGAAGACTCCGCTCCAGAAACCTAGAGATTGCTGCAGTTGTTAGGCCGCTAGGAAGGCTCAGCGCTAACCGCGACTGCACCCTCGCACCTGTGTAGCAACCGTAGCTATCCAGGGCGAAGCCACGAGTCGTTAAGCCGTTGTCGTTTTAGGTTCGGCATTGTCGGTTAGGGGGCCGAATGTCACCCAGCATGGCGTCCCCGACATCCGGCAGCAGCGTCAGGACACCGAAACGTCGCAGGATTGTGATCGTAGCGCATTGGAGTAGGCCCGGGTTAGCATTCCATCACTGACAAGACATGTACGAGGCATGTTCAAGAAAGGCATAAATCGACTGTATCGCGGGTATGAAGTTCGGGCCAGAGGTGATGGAGCGACCCATGGGTCATTGCAGCGAAGCGGTGCGGTCACTGGCCGTAGAAGACCAAAGATGCAGGCAAAAAGGACGAGGGTTAGGTGCAGACGACATGTTGCATGCTACTAAGGTTCATGCTTAGTGCCCCTAATCAGTACAATTATTACAGCCTTGGCGACCGCCCATCACCCTGCCACCCACGCCCAAGTGCCGCTCTACACGGCCACAACAGGTGAACGGCTCGCATCGAAGGCCCTGACGCATATCGCAACCATGCTTATCGTTACAGCGCACTCACCCTCGCTCCGTGGGCAGGAAAGAGGTGAGCCCCGCCGCGTTGCGCCGCCGCACCTCCTCCGCACTCCAGCCCTCCACCTGCACAGGTACGGCACACACGCAGGGATCCCAATGCTTCTTCAGGCTCATCCAGCAGCAGTCGCAGCTAGGAACATGGACATGCCAGTTTCCTGAACATACGTCTGGGTCTGGTTACTCTGGTATACATACACTCTGTACAGGAGCTCATGGCATGGAATATGGGCCCACGCGAGGATGGGGTCACACGCGGCGACGACCTTACCGGCGCTCCTAGCACGTCCCCGCACATCTTGCCGAGCAGGCAACCCGCCACTCGGGCTGGATAGCCTGACAGCGTCGCCAGTTGCGCAGGTGGGACGTTGCCGTGCTCCGCGCAAACAGCCGCAGCAGGTGGGTTTGACGCGGGGCCTGACATTGCAACCCCTCTGAAAGGGACGTACGACGAAGGGTTGAGTGACTTGAGAACGAGCGGGCGCAGATGCTTGGGACTTGCTCCCTTGGCGCCGCTATCGCCGCTGGCAGCAGCAATAGCACCACGGTCGCGATTCGTGAAGGAGGCGTCCAGAAACTCTGCTGTGGCAACGCAGGTTACCAGGCAGCAACACAGCAAAATGATTTGCTGTTAGGTGGGTGGCTTTTATTGCCATCGGTAGGACATACGAGCTTAGCAGCTTTTCACATGCTGCGAGAATGGGCAGATTGGTCACTGGGAACGACTCAAAGCGCAGGGCTCAACACGATTGCCAGCACCCTTGACCCGTTCCCTATCTTATCTACCGATTTTGAGACGATGGTGGCGCCAGCCGTGTGCGCTGCTGCCTGCTCTACGAAAGGTATGGCGGATGGCGCGGGAGCCCTCGGAACAGACGCACCTACTCTCGCACCCAGTCAATTTCGCCCAAACGCTAAATGCTTGCTTGGGGTTGTAAGGGATCGGGACCCGATAAGCAAGACGCATTTCATCAACGTGGCTCTTCGTCGCACCTTTAGTAGGAAAGCCCACTAAAAGCCTTTTCCACAACTTTTCCCTTGCAAACTACGCCGGTTGTACTAGGAAGACAAATTCATTTGTATATTAGACGTGGAGAGCTTTTCCAACCACTGCCACCGACTATTTCAACCACTGCCACCGAAACCAATGATCTGGTGTACGTCACTCTGTTATTTATGAGCTGCGACAATTAAGAGATTGGGAGAGCGGCGTTATCGTCCCATAGAATGTGCGCCGAGGGGGTTGCTGGACACTAATCTAGGACTGAATTCATCGAAACATCTTTCGGGTCACTTATGAGGAAGCACTGTACCACTCGAAGGGGTGATGCTCACAGCCGAATTCGCTTGAAATTTCAGCCAGTATGTTGCCAGGGCTGCCTTCTTGCCGGGCATCGGTTTGAATGGGACACCTCCTTTGCACGCTGGAGTCACCTGCAATAGCACAGCCAAACAGACGCGTTTATAATTTGCCACGCTGCTTGCAGCCTAATTATGTGTTACCACAACATTTCGCCTTTGCATGTGTAACAGCCTCCTAAAGCCCCAAGATGTTATTATTAGCTCCATTCGTCTTTTATTAGCACTGCTGCAAAATCAGCACGTTGTGTAACTTCGCTGCGTGTCTACTTTATGTGTCAGGCTTCTCTCTGCAGAACATGCTAGCTATGGTTCTAACCTTCAACACAAAGTTGTTGGAGAGCACTGAGTTGCCACATAGCGAACAAGTGCTTCTTTATAAAGCAGTAGAGCGCAACTGATACCAAGCTTAGCATTTTCACACCCGCCCGCAAAACTACAACGAACACATCGACGACGGTGGGCGAGTGCCCACCAGAGGCCCGCCAATCTTAAAGATTATGTTGACAGCGTGCCACCATTGCATATTTTTTGCTGTGTCTTGAAGGGAGAAACAGAGGCTTTCAGGTTGACCAGCATACGTTGATAACTCTGTCGCATTGGACTAGTAGCTACACCTTCACTTGGCAACAGTGGGGCGAGACCCACTGTGGGGCGAGACATGGCCTCAGTGCGGCTTCGGCTGCTAACCATTGCATACTCACTCGAGGAATGCGCTACTGTGTTCGAGCAGGAAAAAAGACACTGCCAGTATCTGAACAAGGCGCGAAAAGTTTAGTCCATGACAGGGACAGGTACTAGATACTGATAAGTAGATGGTTACGCAAGCACGGAAGGTTTCGTAGTGCAACGAATATACTTGGTCATACCGGAGTTTGAGCGAGTGACGTTGCAGGCCCCTCAGCAACAAGGGCCTCGCTCTTGTCAAGTATACTTTCCTTCAAGTTCAAGGACTGCATGCTTGTCATAAGACCGCAGACTCCAGATAGAGAGATAGGTATGAATTTGAAGGGCCATGGTACCAGGCCAGCACGACACTCGTACATTCCCAATTTCGGCGGCTTGATGGCGAACGTGGGCGTCAGTGTTTTTTTACTTGTGCACGAGTATGTGACAGGCTTCTCGCGGTGATCCCGCTAGTTCCTTCGATCTACTTGGTGCCAAGCAACCTGAACTAGGCTACGCCTTGTTCGCCGAACGGACCTAGACAGCAACGAGCTTATACCTTGCCCGTTTGTGTCGCTTTACCTTTACACTTATTGTCTTCACCGGAACAATCGCGCCTCTGTAAACTGGAACTAGGCATTCAGCTACAACCGATCCTCTCCATACTGGGCGCGCTTTTGCCATGACGCCGTCCTCCTGACATCATCTCGGACAATCTTCAAAAGCACTGCCCGAAATCCCTCTCGCCGGCAATGCGGCTACCCGGGTTGCCAGCTTTTATATGCATGTTGGGTAAGCAAGAGCTATACCTTTGCATTGCATTGGTATTGTAGGCTTTTCTACAAAATGTAGTTAGACCATCAAAAAGACGTTGCTAATGGTGTGAAACGTTTCTGTCCCTGCAGCTGCCATATGGCTGGTTAGTGCAGCAGAGCTCAGGTAGGCAAAGTATGCTATGCTTCATAATTAGTATTGCCGCATGCTTTTTACGGTAGTAACATGCGTTCCTTGGCCTTGACAGGGTCTCGCCGCATGACAGCTTGCCGAAAGCGCGCCATTCGCGCAACCTCGCCTCCAGGCATAGGCGTTTACTAGCCCAGAAGTCTGTTACGGCTTCCACCAATAGCATTAAGGAGCAGCAGCCGGATTTTCTGGTGGACACGGACGGCTCAGACACCCGCAACGGTGCTCGCTCCTTAATTGACTCCTGGAACGACTTCTTCTGGAACCCGGATTTTTCTGGAGTACATTTACCACCTCCGCCTCCAACGCAATCTCCTCCACCACCTCCAAGGTCGCGAGTCCCACCGCCTTTACCTCCTCCACCACGCTTGCCGCCTCCTTCCCGGTCGCCTCCTCCGCCCCCGTCGCCACCCCCACCTCGACTGCCTCCCCCGCCCCGATTGCCGCCCAAAGTCCCTCCTCCCCCGCCTCCGTCAGTCCCGCCCCCCTCGCCACGCCCCCCTCCACCGGCAACAGGCACTCCCCGAAATCGCAGGAGCCCCCCGCCTCCTCCACCCCAGTTTCCACCCGATGTGCCAGACTCCCCATCCCCTCCGAGCCCCCCGGAACTACCTTCAACGCCCCTCCCCTCACCTCCGTCCCCCCCATTAGCGCCCCCGTCGCCGCCCCTACCGCCCCCGTCACCTCCTTTGCCGCCTCGACCTCCGCCTTCTCCACCTGCACCACCCGCGCCTCCGTCGCCTAATCCCTCTCCACCCCCTCCCCCGCCACGCCCTCCACGCCCACCCCGACCCCCACCTTCACCGCCGACCCCACCTGCACCGCCCGCGCCTCCCTCCCCACCTTCAGTACCCCCATCGCCTTCCCCACCTTCTTCCCCACCGTCAGTTCCCTCATCCCCACCCGCGCCTCCTTGCCCACCCTCACCACCTCCTTCACCGCCCTCCCCACTTCCACCACCCCCGTCGCCACCAACGCCTCCCTCTCCTCCATCCCCGCCTCCCGCACCTCCTACCTCGCCCGCACCTCCTTCCTCACCCTCACCGCCTTCCTCACCCTTCCCACCTGACGTGCCCATGCCACCCGACCTACCGCCACCACCACCTCCACTGCTGCCCTCGCCACCTCCGCCAAAGCTTCTACCACCGTCGCCGCGGCCCCCGCCTCTACCCAAACCGCCTCCTGTGAGGCGCTCCACCAGCAGCAGCATAGGCAAGTACCTTGTTCCCGCGCACGTTCCAATGTTCACACGTTAGAACCCATTGGGTGTTAGGACGCAAGCGTCCTCTAGCCAACCTAGCCCAGTCCTGCCTTGTCACGTACCCTATATTCCGTATCCACGCTCACCCCGTTGCCCCCACTGCCCCTCACTCCTTCCCTCCCTAGATGCCGGCAAGGAGGCTCCACCCCCGGTGCGGTCCCCGTCGCCCCCGCCACCCCCGTCGCCGCCGCCGCCATCACCACCACCACCGCCGCCGCCACCCTCCCCACGCCCTAGCCCTCCACCATCAATTCCTCCGCCGCCTGCGCCCTACTGGTCTGGTTCCTCTCTCGTGAACCCCACGCTGATGAGTGAGTTGTCAGGGTTGCAGTCAGGGTTACGGCAGGGTTAGGATTTCCGAGCTGCCATGGAGGGAGTATCTGGGGCAGAACGACCGAACAGAAGTTGGGGACATCCTTGTGGGTCCGCAGTTACAGTCCCTTGCACGCACTACAATTGAAGCATCCCTGCATTTGGCCAGGGAGGGGCTGTCTGTCTCTCGTCATGGGTAATCCAACTTGTCGGCCAGTCTGTTCGGTTCTAGTACCCTGCTTTGGTGCCCTGGCACTTTGTAGTTGACCCTGCTGCCCACGCCCGCGTGCAAACCCTGACCCCGGTCCCTGCAGTGAACGCTCACAACTATTATCGCATGCAATCCGGAGTTCCCAACATGACCTGGGATAACTCGCTGGCGCATTCCGCCCAGTCGTATGCGGACAAGTGCGTGTTTGAACACTCGACCCTGTTTATGGGAGAAAACCTTGGTAAGTCTACATCGCTCTTGTGCAACGGTGTGTGCACCTGACGACTGGCGAATGTCAGTTGTTGTTGGGTGCCAGGGACTTTAGAAGTCCCTGGGTTACCATGATTCCATGTCCTGGCCTGGGCATGTCGTGTAAACTGTCGTGGCTAGCCGTGGGAAATTACCGACTTCTCACTCGCTTCTTTCTCCTGGTATGCTGTCCCTACCGACTATGCAGGTGGGGGTCTGTACGAGACTCCCCAGGAGGTAACGATTCCGGTAGCCCGTTGGGCTAACGAGATTTGCGCCTACGACTTCAATAACCCCGGATTTACGGCCGGACACTACACAGCATTGGTAAGACGGAAGCTGTGTGAGAGGGGCACGCGGTGTGTCAAAATGCCGGGCACTATGTGCAGCGTATACGGCTGCCATCAAATAATCACCCCTCACCACCCCTAGTTGTCTGGCCCCTGAGGTGGCACCACCCCTCACCCTCCCTTTGTCCCCTTGCGTACTAAGTTGCTTATGTTTAAATGCACACAAAGCAAATTGCCACATTGTGAGCATATCAATGCGCCGTGTTTCCTGACTTCCTGCTTCTGCGCCTCTGTGTAGGTCTGGAAGGACTCGACCCACATGGGGTGCGGATACCGGATATGCAAGGACCCCGATGACACCATTTGGGGCATGCTGGTTTGCCATTATTTCCCGCCAGGTGAGTTGAATGCAAGCTGCAGGCCGGCCTAAGCAGGGATCCAAAGTACCGAGCACCAAGCTGCTCCTAGACGCCTGTCCATTGCATGCCTTGCTTTTACGGCTTCCGTTTCTTGGCGGCAGAGGTCGGCTGTCCTCTCATGCGTGCCTCCCACAATGCATGTTGTCCTTTGCTGTCCTCCGATGCGCTTCCCCACCAACATCCCGACACCCGGCCTTTTTCGCATGCTGCAGGGAACATTGTTGGTGCAGATTGGAAGCAGCAAGTTATTCCCCCGAAGGTGATTCCCACTTCTTGTCCCCCAGTTCAGGCGTCTTGGGGCTAATGGCTAATGGTTCATTGAAATTTTGGGAGGCAGTCATATCCCACCTATAGCTTAGCCATAGATTCTAGGATAGATCTCTAGCGGTTACGATTGCAATATAGGGAGAGGTTTCATTAGTCGTTAGTACTATTGACCTTTGCGTGTCTCAGTTCTACGATACCGTACGGCACGTGCTGTGAACTTGATGAAATAGGAGATTTAACATTACTGCAGTTTACTGGGCAGCTTTGGCAAACAGGACACAAATCGCCGGTCCATTGGTTAGGTTGTGGTAGGGGGCACTGTCTGTCTCCACTCTCAATTAGCGCTGGGGATGCCTTCGAGGCTCGTGATCATATTGACGTGGGTGTGATGATATGACTGAAGAACGCCATCATGTTTTAGCGTGTTTGTCGAGTTCTGACTTTTTGACGCGGGATGACACAGGTGTGGAAGAGTATGATGACGTGCCTTCCCAAGCTTGCATTTCTCACGTGCGAGTTACATCACTGCCAGATGCAGAGGTGTATAGGAACGTGGAAACAGCGTGCGATAAACCTATAGTGACATGCACACGCGTGAACCAGCAAGGCTGGTGATTGTATTATTCGGTACGTTTTGGTGTATGTCGATTGCATTATGATCTTGTGTCTATGTGTTTTCTTCTTCGTCTGCGTGCGGTTTGACGCCCCTTCGAATCATCGGGTTGGAACCAGTATCACCTAACATTGTCCAAGGGTGAAGCATGTCGGGTGGTTTACGGTCGCACAACAGCGGCACGGATGGCGTGAGTTATGGTGAGCCGAAGAATCGTGGTCAGGAAGTGTGCATTGTTTTCGTGTATCAGCGTAAAACCCTTTTGCCGAGAGAGTTGCAATGAATAATTGGCATTGTCACTTATTTAAGAGCTGCAGCCATCAGGGCAGGTGCAGGCGTGCTGTCAGCACCCTACGCCCTGTGTGGTTGCATGCGGAATTAGAGTTGTAGGATATAGCTTTGCCCTCTCAATGGCCTTGTAAGATGTTACAGTTAAAGTCTGTACGCGTGTACAGTGTGTGCGTACGAGCCAGGGGTGCGAAACGAAGTTAGTCTGGGTCAGGGTCCCCTACAGGCCTCCGTTCAGGGGCTCTGCGCAGGTGGTTTCTGACAAACATGCGGGTCTCCCATACGCGGCTGAGGTAGCTAGCCAGAGCCTCGGGAGGGGCAGAGGTCATGATCTCCCTCTTGGACCTACTGCTAAAGCTCAGGGAACCCTCGTACTCACGACGTGGCTCGTCGTAGCAATATGCATCTCATCCTCAATGGCGTTATTCTCGTTGCAACACTTGCAAACTCGCTCAGACCTAGGGCGGTTCCCGTGCGAGTTCATCTCAATATCCCAACACCCTAGCCTAAATCGCATGAGCAGTTGATGCTTGCCGCGGGGGATAAGCGTACAGGCGTGGGCTAGCCAGGCCACGGACTCACCTCCTTTAAACGCTAGTCCCATCCACTGGGCATAGCGGCACGACTTAACACCCCTGGACTCTTCATACTCCCGTGGGGGCACCCCTACCTCAGGGATTAACCATTTAGCGTCCAGGCGTTCCCTATACTCCTTAAGTAAATCATTAACGGGTAAGATGTATTTCAGAGATTCTTTCGTGAGGCTTGCTGTTACGGTTCTTGCCGGCAGGACAGGAGTTACACCATGCAGGGTCATGCACGCTGTGCTTCTAGAATGCATGCCCATGAACCAACGTGGCACAAGAGCACTTTCATTACAAGTTTGGGTCCATGTTTCAGGACCCACAAAGCAGCTATACATACCCTGTTCCCCTCAGGAATCTGCCTTCTGGCAAGTACCGAAAGTCCTTCAGCGGAGTTACGTGGCAGGTATAAGATCGTATCCTGTCCATTTGACGGTTCTCCAGCTAGGGCATGGATGGCTTCCCATCCAACACGTGGATGTGCCAATCAGCACGTGGATGTGTCACAGGGCCCCTGAACATGGTCACTACTATTGCAGAACTACCCCAGGGAATGGGCCACATTTAGCGAGGCACGCCCCTTGCGCACTGCAGACATACAGACACATACCACCGCACGTCGCACGCCACCGGCAAACATACAGGCAGTGCACATTTTGAAAAGCCACAACTTCACCTTCCGCGCAATGGCGCTTCGAGTAAGGATGACACTGCGCTGGCCCTCGTAGGCCCGGATCCCTCGCCAAGCTTCAATCTAACAGGCAGCCCCATCCGCCCTCTCCACGACAACCATTGGGCGCACTGACACATGTGGCTCCTGCATACTACAGTAAGTCCGGTGCCCGATTCTAAGCGTCCCATTAGAGCCTGGAAGGCTATCACCTATCAAGCTAATGGCCACAGCCGTGCCAAAGTACTTAACTCACACCTGCTTCGTGTGCATGAATCTAAGAATGCAAACTCCTAAACGTGAAAACGCAAACTCGGACAAGAGCACCAAAAGACGCTTGCCGTTGCCTTCCGGTTTGGGATCACTGTAACGGTTACTCAACCACCAACAACGTGGCCTGGGCCCCAGAGCCACCCAAAGGAAGCGCTGCAGCCAACTCAACATTGAACTCTCAGCTTAACAGCAGCGTGCCAAACTGGTAGGGTTGACGCATTGTGCTGTTCCCCCCAGCGCACCGCTAACCGTCACGGCCTTTGACCCAGGGACGTTTGCAACAACAGGCAATCCGGAGCTGCACATACTGTGAAAGCCTTTTGTAAACAACAATACACAACGCATGCACGCCACATGTTGGCCGCATGGGCCTCGTCCGAGCAGCACTCCTGCATATCCTATAACACGTACGAGCGCGTGAAGAAGAAAACCCTCCTCTACCCTGTCTAAGCTGCTGCTGCTTCGTCTTTTTTCCTGCTATCCTGCTAATGGATAATGCATGCACAGTGTTCCTGCCTAGCGACACAGCCCTCCTACGTGAAACCGCCTAGCAGCATAGCTATTCCTCAATAGCACACACTTAAGCACACAACGCTTGCATCAACAAGCATCCGCTGCAAGACTGCGCAAAATACCTATCCTTCGCCTGGACAACAATTAACCTCGTATGACTGATCTCTTCCACGAGCCGTCATCTAGCTACCGTGACGGGGTGGGTAATAGCAGCAACCTGCAGCTCTCTTCACACAGCATAGGAAGGTACCGAACTTATAATCCTAGAATCGGGTGCATCCGTAACTCAGTACTGCAGTATCCTCCTCCTTGTACAACATTCGGTGTCTTAAAGCTCGCCATTCTCATGTGCGCGTCTGCGGTTTCCGCCGCTCGCTGTCTTGCCGGTCCGTGGGAACACGTTATTCACAAAGTCCCCGATGTAGTTACCTGACGGGGCAGAGACACAGCAGCGCAGCAGGTGCAAGATAGGTCCCTCTTCTGCTTGTCAGCAAACAAAGAGACGGAGGTATGGGAAGTGCCGGTAGCTAGCACCTTCACACGACCAGGACAAATGTCGTGAAGGAAGAGTTCCCAGGGCACCGCTGTCCAATTAAACCCTTTATCCCTGAAGACGCCCTCACCCGGGTCTTAACCTGTACGGTCCTTAGACAAAGGCTGCAAGGCAGTTTTGACAGTCTTACCTGGTGTCCAATACATGCACACGTACAGCTTGCCCAGCCAGATGCCGCCGCCGAACGACACCCCGTCCGGACACACTCCGATGGCGCACCCAACCAGGTAGGTGCGGTACCACACCAGCTGCGTGAAGTGACCCGCATTGAACTGAGGGGCGGGCAGCCAGCGTGGGAATCCCAGGGAATGGATCAGTTGGGTTAGTTGGGTTGGCTGGTAATTGGGTCGGTTGATTGTTGGGTCTGTTGGTGGTTGGGTTGGTAAAGATGAGGCGCCAGACGCGTTATGTGGAGGCTTGTGCGAGGGTGAAACCCAGGGGTCGTGGAAGGGCGTCGAGCGCTTCATGACGACCTACAGGGAGCGAGGGCGGGTGCAGGGTGCTCCTTGCGTGGAGCAACTGGGCGTGGGCAACGTACATACCTGGGGGCTTGTGAAATTATACACTGCTACCTCAGAGTACCTGGTGGGTTGTCAAAGGTAGGGCGACCAAACCTCAGGAACCCACAAGTTAGGGCGCAGCAATGGGGATAGGAGGCGGCAGGGTGCCACAAAACAAGTGAGGGTAAGCGGCCCCTGATGGGGTGGGTAGGTGACATGCAAGTCAAGTCATCCTTTTACATAGCTGCGACCGTTCCTAGGAGCATGCGTAACTTCAGTGTATTAGTGTGGCACGTAGCTCGGGGCATGCAACGAGCGGCATCGAAGCGACAGGTTTATGACCAACTGCCACTCCCCGCAGCCCTGCCGCCTAGCCACAGCTCGGACCCGGTAGTAGGACGACCCACATGCACCACAAGGCGCTCGGGGATTGATCCCCACGCACCCGACCTACCAGGAGTCGATAGCGTTGACAAAGCTCGAGTGTCCCAAGCCCAAGTTCTCTCCGTAGGGGGCGCTGCTGTGCTCAAACCTGCGGTGAAGCAACCCGGGTATATGTAGGTACTTTGGTAGCATGCTCTTAGGTTGTCTGCCGGCACGCTCCTCCCAGCTCCCTTCCTGCACTCCCCCCGTCCCCCCCTCCCGCCTCACCAGCAGTTGTCCGCCCAGTCCTGCGCCGCCTGCTGCAGCCGTGCGCTCCAGGCCAGCGCGGGCGCCTGGTGCCAGCCGCGGTACATGTTGTGACGCGCCAGCGTGGAGTTGATGTCAACGTACCTGGCAGCAGGCAGGCAGGCAGAGGGGCACAGCAGAGGGAAAGGGCAGGTGAGCAGAGTAGCCCAGGCGAGGGCAGGGGGCATGGATCAGCAGGAGCAGCGCAGAGGTGCCCAAGGGGTACGCCGGAGTCGGGGCCCGGAGGCCAGGGCAAGGGAGGTGAGGCAGCAGTCAGGCGTGTGGGGTGGCATACACACAGCGACCAGGGCAAACCCTTTCCGCGACTTACCACCAGCTGTCGGGATTGGAGGGGTCGTTGAGGCCGACCAGGGACACAGAAAACTTTGGGGGCGGCGGTTTGGGAGGTGGCGGCAGCGGTGACGTTTGCACCGACACCGCTGATGAGGGCTGGCCTCCTGGGGTTGGCGGTGGGGGGCTGGGAGGCGGATTCCCGGGCGGTGGCGGTGGCCTGGGAGGTGGTGGTGGCGTCGGCGGAGGCGGCGGTGTCGGCGTCGAGGGCGAGTCTGGGGAGTCCGGTGGCGTGCTTGGGGGAGGCGGCGGAGAGGGATTACGAGGGGGCGGCGGCGGCGGTTTGCGCTTTTTGGGAGGTGGCGAGGGGTGAGTTGGTGTAGGGGGAGAAGGCAGCAAGGGTGGCGGCGGCGACAAGGGCGGTGGCGGTGGCGGGGGTGGAGGTGGCGGCGGTGGAGGGAAAAGGGTGGGAGGCGGTGGCGGTGGCTTGCGTTTGCGTACAGGTGGTGATGGTGGTGCAGAGGACGGAGGAGGCGGAGGGGCTGGCGGCGGAAGGGATGGTGATGCGGGCGGGGACGAGGGAGGAGGGGGTGGAGGCGTTGGGGATGGAGGTGGTGGAGATGGTGGGGGTGGGGATGGAGGTGGTGGCGGTGGGGACGGAGGGGGCGGGGATGGTGGCGGTGGAGGTGGAGGGCGTGGAGATGGAGGAGGTGAGAGGACAAGCGGCGGCGGTTGCGGTGACGGTGGTGGAGGCGACGGCGGTGGGGATGGTTGCGGCGGCGGTGGAGACAGGAGAGGGCGTTCGTCGGGTTCAGGCATGCCACGGGCCGTTATGTTTCGGTCGGCATCAAGCGGGGTGGAAGGCGGAGGCAAGTCCAGCACAGGCGGCGGAGGGGATTTGCGCTTGCCCTTGGGGGCCGGTGGCGGCTGCTTTGCAGGAGGCGCCGGCGGCTCTGGAGAGCTGGGCACCCCTGGAGGCGGGGGCCTCGGGGGTGGGGGCCTCGGGAAGCCCGGAGGAGGACTACGGCGGTAGGGAGGCGGGGGGCTGGGGACGTCGGGTTCCCCAGGCAGGCCGGGAGGCGGGGGGCGGTAGCGGCTGGGGCGCACTGGGCGAGGAGGGGGAACGGAAGGGTCCGAAGGTGGGGGCGACTGGGGCGGGGGTGGGCTTTCCGCAAGGCTTAGGCAGACGGTGCAGCCTGCTGGAATGCGCTTCTGGCAATTGATGTCTGGATTGTAGCGCGCCAGCTGCTCAGCTGTGAGATTAAAGGAATTGCAAAACTTGGTGCAGAGGATGGAGCTGGTAGTCTGGGCGAAGGAGGCGCAGGCGGGTAAGTACGTCGGGCATGACTGAGCCCAAGCTGGTGAAGGCATTGCCACAATAAGCGTTGCCAACGCGTAAGCGAATAGCTGGAGGCAGGCGCTCCATTCGAGCATGGCACGTCGTGCAGCCAGCCGGGGCTTCTCGTTGGTGCTTTTTAGTTCCCGGAACAACAAAGTTATGAAACCAAAGGATTGGGCCATGTAACCAAGGTAGGTTTAGATTATAGGGAAAGGCCTTTCGTCGACACCAAAGTTTGCAGTATTCGGCTACCAGGCGCCATGGAATTTACATGATATATTGCTTGCTGGTGACAATATTCCTGCAAAGCCTTATATTCAATCCAAGGTGTGCGACTAAAGCCTTGGCTGATGGGGAGTAAAACAGGACTCCAAGCAGGAAGGGCGACTAAAAGCCGTTGCAAACAACGTTTCCTGACTGTCACGAACGTAAGCTCGAATAGCCAAGCTCCGTTCAACTCCCCGCAAGCCTAACGCTCAATCTGGATGGTGAGACAACCTAAGATTGCGCAAAGGACGACCTCATGGCATTCGGCGCCGCTGCTACAGTCAGAACAGTCCGTCAGGCTTATTTTCATGGGGTGGGCATGTACGGCGAGCTTATTTTCACTTCCGTACTCCTTGGCTTCTTAGCATCACGCGTTCAACTTAGCGGAATTGCATTCCGCTAAAATTATACTACTGGACTAGGTTACATGCCATTAGAGATGGCGTAGTCGGCCTTGTCGACCCGAACTTTGCGTAGAAGTGACAGCTTGCACAGCAGTTCAAACCTGCTTGCTCTGGAAGATAGCGTCTGTTGTGTTAGCGTTGTTGTGAATAACTATCTGCAATTTGCCTGACTGCCGGACAACATGCTTCACTCATTTATGCAAGGCTGCGCTGCCTTATCTCGCTCTTTCCGCGATAATGGTTCTCTGGCCACTCTCAGTTCAACTATGTCTCGTTTGAGCTGCCTCGGTGTCGTCAGTGGGGGATCATCAGCCAACTGCGACAGCTACAGCTAGGTCAACTGTAAGTTCGTGGCCTTTGCAGCACGCCATGGAGCAACGTCTGCGCCGCGGTCAGGAAAGTCTTCTTCGCGGACATCTGCTATCTGGCGACAGATGACCATGCAAGCGCATGGCACTCGATGAGGAGAGGGCGGTCCTAGCTAGGGGAGGAAGGGAAACCCTTCGTCTGGCAGGAGGGGCTGGGGTTCAGCTTCTTGGTTGCATGATTCCGGAATTGCTGCTCTCTCGATGGCCATGCTGTCCCCCAGCCATCAGGCGGGTTCACAGCCTGGGGAGCTAGTGGGAACGGGAAGTAGGAGGGACGTGCGCACGGTTGTGCGGACGGCAGTAGAGAGTTAGGTTTGCGGACGGCATGAGAAAGTTGGGTTCAGGGCGAAACTTTCGCCCTCTTCCTTGTCGTCGGGGTCTTGCCCTCACCTTCTCCCTCTGCCGCCCTCTCCCTCACTTAGCAGCCGTACCCCCGCCCTTTGGTGCCACCCACGCTATGTGAGCTGCCTCGCTGTTCCGCTGCTGCTGGGCTTAGGCCACGCACGCCATGTGAGCTGCCCACGCGGCTCCCCCCCGTGGATGGGAGGGAGCCGCATGAGGGTACGTCGCTGCCGCTGCGTATCGTGTGGCGCGCCAGGTCGGGAGCCGGGCCAAATCGCCTCATGTCCTCCGGCATTTGGTGGTGTGTGTAGCTGCGTGGGTAGGAGGGGCGCTGCCGGTGGGAGGGCAAGCGGCCGAGAGGGAGGGGGGAGGGAGCGAGGTCGATGTATGGGAGCGAGAGGGGCATGCGAGGCGGGTGGACTCGGGGAGGGCAGAAGAGCAGTGGCGTTCAGTGACCTGAACGGGACATGACAGGTGCAGGGATGTGCATCTCGCAAATAAGCTGGGCTGGCTGCAGTTCTGAACTTGGGGTTAGGAGTGAAGGACATCCTCCCATGTTGCGTGCAAGTCGCGACGGCACCCGATGAGGTTGTAAGCGTTGCGTCCCCTCTTCTCGCCGTACTGTCGCAAGCCCCCCCCCTCCCTCCTTCCCCCTCCCTCCTTCCTCGCCTAGTTTCAGTCCACCTCCCCCCTTGCCGCAGAGTAACAGCGGAGGTCAACGGTGAGGTGTAGGCAGCCGGGCAGCTGCGGGCGGGCAAGCAGTGGACAAATAAATGCGATGAGGAGGACAAGGAGCGAGAGGAGCAGCAGCCGTAGGGGGAGGAGGTACGGCAGACGGTAGGGGCGGTTGTGGGGGCGGGAGGGCAGTGGTTGTTGGCATGCGTCCATTTCGGTAATGACACCGGCAGCAGCACGCAGCCGGCAGCTCCACTCAGAGGGGTGGCTGGGGGGGCGGCTGCCAGCGCATCCACCCCTGCCTCTCCAACACGACACGCTGTGCAGGGTGCGAGGGGGGGCAGGGGATGGTGAACGGGCACCACAGGGTGATGCACGGCAGAGTAGTTTGGGTTGCTGGCCTGGCTGTGCGTTGCGTCGGGTCGGGGAAGCAGGAGGGGCAACATTAGGTGCAGGGAAGTGCCCCTCGTCGTGAGCTGGTGAAGTCGGCTCGTCCTGGGCTGCCTTCGCCTCACATGACCCCCGCACACCCCAACGCCGTTGCTGGTGGCGATGGACGTCGGCTCGTGATTGGTGAAGAGAAAAGCAGCTGCGATGACACCGGATCCGGGGTGGTTTGGTGCTGGGGACTGGTGCGCGGACTGCGATAAGGAATGTGGGTTAACATTATTTGTGCCGGCAAGGATTGGTGAGGTTTCATGCGTAGTGGCTCCGAACCCAAGCTATAGTGCCGGGTTACAGGTTTCTGCGCTTACGTGGGGTTGCGATTGGGTGAACTGCGGGCTGCTCATGACACCCTCCTCATTCCACCAGTTGCTTGCATTCGTTTCGTGACACGCCGTTTCTGTACCACATCAGCGCGGTTTCGGTGCGGTTTGGGTAAGGGCTGTTAGCTCTTGTTTTGTGGCACCTCCTCTCGCTATTGCCTTGCCCTTGCTTGTGGTCTAGGTCTTCCCTGGCCCGCGCTGGCCCGCGCGACTGCATTCGTGAACGCCCGAGGGGCCGTACCCCCTCCTCACCCCATGGTTGTTGGCCGGGATGGGTTCGTTGGCGTATGGCGACAGTTGTCATGCGTGGCTGTAAGCGTATGGCGACAGTTGTCATGCGTGGCGGTGCAGCCAGCAGGGGCCGGCCGGCAGAGCCAGCAGCTGGGTGTCAGGAGCACGGGGTGTCAATCGGTTTTGGGATCTAGCTTGGTGTGCACTGTCTGTGCTCAGCGGAGGAGCTGCTCGGGGTGGTGACATGACACCTTTCTCCTGTCTTTGCCGTGTCTATCACCTCCAGGCCCGTGCTTGCCTTACTCTAGGCGTGCTGCACCGTCTCTTGTCTCGGTGCGGGGAAGTGCTTAACCACCTCGTTCCTGTAAGCCAGCTTCAGATAACCTTTGGTGGCACAGCCAAGTAACCCACTCCGCTCAGCAGCCAGGCGGCTGTGAAGTAAACCCCAGGAGTCCACCCCCGTGCACGACGCATTCCTAAAAACTGTCGTGTCGGTACGGTGTATACCGGCACATGTCATGCAACCTTGCAAAAGGAACTAATCGGACAACGTGAACAGTGCAGCACGGCCAGGTAAGGATACGTACAAGCGCATGCCTTCTGTTAACATGATGTCAAGCATTGCGCACCCCTACACGTGGCAATGGCTGTTAAGTTAGGTACAAAGAGATGCGCACGGTTGTACGGCTGGTAATGGGTAAGGGAGTTTGCAGGAATCAGGTAGGGGGTGGTTCCTCAGCATGCATGTACGTAGATGAATGAAACCCATATGAAGTAAATTGCATTGTCGACCACTGCACGTGATCAATATTCTAATTTGGTTTATCCGACAGCAGATAGTGGCCGTGGGTAAGGGAGTTTGTAGGATCAAGGGTCACTTGGGGAGTTGCATGCATGCATGCAGCAGTCAAGGATACCGGTGTGTTGTGCTGACTTGCAGACGCATCCTCTGCCTACTGCCTACATCACGCATGCGCATATTGCGAGTTACACGTACCGTACGGAGGGGTGTTGCCGTTCAAGGATTTGCAGGACTTGGTGAAGGGCTGGGAAGGGCAGTAGCTTACGTAGCTGGTGGTTTCATGTTTCCCAGTTTGCTTGCATATGCTAGGTGGTGCTAACGCACTGCGGATGCATGCAGCCTCTCAACTGCACTGCTGTATGGTCGGCAAGCGTGCATGCGGGGAACTGGGGAACAGCTCAGCCAAGCAATGCGCGTACAGATAGCACTTCACCAACATGTTCCTGGTATACATATCACTAATATGCCTGCTCTGGGTTGTACGCGGCAGAGCACTTTGCGCTTAGTGCCAATGTTAGACCATTGAGCCGACCATGGCCGTCAAACCGGTAGCCTTTTCAAATTCCTATGCTACCGCCCTTGCCTTGGGTCATATCAATCTCAATAATGGTATTTTCAAGGCAGGTTCCAAATGCCCAAACCGCGACGATGGACCCCAAAAAGTATAAGAATTTGATTATTTTCGTTTGCTGAATCGCAAAAATCGCGCGGCCTCCGGCCGCGTTCTTTCTGAGACATGCCCATCCTATCGAAAATTTGCCACCTACGAAGATCCAGTGAAGGCGGGGGCAAATGTACGACGTTGTTGCGCCGTACTTCAACTGTCAGGTAGCAGGTATTCTTACCGCAAAATCTCAATTGACAAGGGTAAAACAGGAGTTACTCGCGAGTTCGAATAAACTTTTGGATGTCACAATAACGCGTTTCTTGTGGCTCACGCAGGATACTCCTAGCTACATTCAATGATCATCAGATTGATTCAATCTGAGGCGATTGGCCGCTTGGACAAATTGCTGAATCTTTAAGCCATATCGGAAACTGGCCGCAGTGAGTATGGCTACGGGTTTTATTGCGTGTAAGGAGGCGTGCTGCTGAGGGTTGTGTAATGGAGCCCCAATCTGCAGCAGATCTGCATGGCATCAGGCAGCAACGACACACTTCCCATACCGTTACAACTTGAGCGAGGCCATGGAAGCCAACAAAGACGTCGTACATCGTCGCAACAGTCCTCTCCCCAATCAGTCCGGCGCCCATAGGGTTAACATGCAGGTCACACGCAACCGACCAAACGTCGCACGGACAGACAAAAAGCAACCAGCGTGCTGCAACGCTCTTAAGCATGCTCTCTCGTCAGATGCGCGGACACCCCTGCTGCGAACAACCGGTCTAAACATTGTCCTTAATCGCAGGACTGCAATCCAAGCATCCAATCTGGAGCAAGATGGACGGCACCGTTGTCACGTTGGTTGAGATGCAACTTGGTGACTTGGTGAGACAGCAGGTGCAGGTCAATGCACGCTGTGCGCGTACAAATCATGTTCACACAAGGCAACACATATTAACCAGTAGTTCCCTAAGCTGCAGGGAACACCTGCGACAGGCAACCTGCATAGCTTCCCTTTTGGGGCGCTTCGCTCACGATGAAGCGTACGGTCATATCATCACTGCTGCAACCATCGCCGCAAAGACTTCGAGGTCTTCAAACATAAATTCCAGGACAAACCCCTGCGCGAAAGTTTGTCATATGCACGTACAAACCAACTTCTGTTATTTATCAAGATGTGAAGGAGAGCAAAGGAGCTACCAAGGAAAGCTACCGCATCAATTAAACCGCACGCTCCACCCTTATAGCACCGGGAAACCGTACGTTTCCCATAAAACCCTGCACCCTTTCACCACCACCCCTCAAACCCGCGCCTATGCATTTATACGTTCCAACACAATTCATAAGAACTTTCTGTCACCAAATTAATGCTGTGTCAAAAGACAACGCTTTCCATCACGCGCGCGCAACTTAATCAGTCACCATGTTCAAAACCAATTACACGGTAAGGGTAACCTTGGGGCAGCAGTTGTTGCCCGGGGGGTTGAAGACCGCAGCCAGGCAAGAGCCGCCGGGGCAGAGCTGCGACAGCTTGGTGCAACCAGGGCCCTTGAGCGAGAAGCACATCGCGCCGCCGGTAACGCCCGTAGCGTACGGCAGGTTGATGTTGGTGAACTTGAGGACGGGGCGGGTGGAGTCCCAGAGGAAGGAGGACTTGATGTCGGTGGTGCCGGTGAGGGTAAAGGGGGTGATGGAGCCCTTGCAGGCGCCGTCTGCGGGGTAGGAGAGGGGCGGGGGGCGGGGGCAGCGGCGAGTGAGGAATGCAGGATGTGTGCCACGAGACGCGCATGAGCCATGTAGAGGAGGAGGAGGCTAAGGCTCATGAGGGTCATGACAGAAAGGAGGGAGGAGCTAGCCCGGCCAGGGCAGCCCACGACATGCAACGCGGGAGCAAAGGCACGCTGCATCCCCTTGCATGCATGCACGCATGCACAACCAGCAAGCTCACAACCAGCAACCCCAGCACCCAACCCCAGCAGCCACACACACCCCCTCACTCACTGGCCAGCAGCTCGAAGCGCTGCAGGTCCTGCTTGCAGCAGCCCCACTGGTTGTTGCAGGCGGCGGCGGCGTTGGCGTCCACGTAGAGCTTCAGGCAGATGCGCTCGGCGGCCACACCGTTGATGGTGATGGCGGTCTTGTTAAGCACGCTCATGCGCCAGGGGAAGGAGCTGGTGGAGAAGGTGTCGCAGCTGCGGGAGGAGGGCGGGGCGGGAGGAGGGCGATGTCAGAACGGAGAAGAACGGAACGGAACGGAGGAGAGGGAAAAGATGGAGAGGTGCAGGCAGGCAGGCTGGAAGTGAAGCTCAGGCAAGCCGCCACAGCAGCGACCCGGTGTGCCCCTAAAGATAACGGTTGCCAAACACAACCGAGGAAAGGGAAGCTGCAGTGGCATTGGGGTGGCATTACCGGTGACCCGCCCTACTGGTGGCTACTTACTTGCAGTAAGGGAAGGCGGTGGGAGGGGGGCGAAGGGGCGACTTAGGCGAAGGGGGCGAGGGCTTGGTGACTGGGGTAGGAGGAGAAGGCTTGTTGCCGCCGGGGGGGGAGGGCGGGGGAGGAGAGGGCGGCGGGACGCTGGGGGGAGGAGGCGACGGGGGAGAAGGAGACGGGGGAGGAGGCGACGGGGGAAGAGGAGACGGGGGAGGAGACGCGGGGGGCGGGGGAGAAGGAGGAGGGGGAGGAGGCGGCGGGGGAGGGGGAGGGGGAGGGGGGGGAGGAGGGCTGGGCGGCGGAGGAGGCGGCGGTGGGGGAGGAGGAGGCGGCGGAGGAGGAGGCGAGGGAGACGGCGGCGGGGGCGAAGGCGGCGGGGGCGAGGGCGACGGGGGCGGCGGGGACCTCTTGCCAGCCATGGGAGACGGAGAAGGAGGCTCGGGAGAAGGAGGCAGGGGAGCAGCAGGAGGAGAAGGGTAGGTGTTGGGCTTGGGTTGGTCGGGAGGGTTGAGGGGGCCAGCCAGTCCGCTGGGGCAGCAGTTCTTGTTGGTGTTGAAGAGGGCGTAGGTAGCGGAGTCGGGCGACATGAAGAGCTGGGTGGTGGTGCAAAAGCCGGGCTTGCGGTTGAAGCACACAGGCAGACCGGCTGCAAGCAGGGACAGGAGGAACGACAATAAGGAGGTTGAGCGGCTATGTGTCAAACGGCGAGGAAAAGGGACACATTTTGGAGCAAGCTCGCCGTACTTCAAGTAGCTTGTGAAGAAGTTTACGACGTATGCTGGCTACCGACAAGTACCAACCAACAGCATATCTTTTGTTATAGTATACCACACGCTCGAGTGCGAAGCTTGACAAGTATTAATGACTTACAGGAGAAACTTGCAAGGACGGCCTGGGGCATCTCGAGGCCCTTAGAAATGCGCAGGACGGCGGCAGCAGGGGTCCTGTCGAGGACCTCGATGCTAATCGTCTTCACGGTCTCCTGGATGGTCACGCCATCAACGACGGTGTTGTAGCCCTTGAACAGCAGAGCCAAGTCAGAGGTGCCCTTGCAGGCGGGGTCTGCGATTTACGAAAACAATGTTTAAGTGATGTTTGCGCGGCGAAGTTGGTAAAGCGGTGCAGCCATGACGGAGCTTGGTGCATGAAGCGTCGCGTACTGGTTGCCATCTAGCTGCTACCGGAATGTTGCCGCTACCCCGCAAATGAGAAGAAATCATTTCAGGAGTAGGCTTTAATCTGGGCAAATCATGTCGGCACTTACCAACGTCGAACTCAAGCTTGTACAGGTTGGCATCGCAGCAAGCAGGGCGCGAGCCCGCAGGCAGAGAGCAGCTAGTTCCGGTGGCGTTCAGGTACAGGGTGAAGCACATCCAAGTCTGGCCCATATAGGAAACAGAGGGGGCCGTGGTAAGACGGTAAGGGCTGTGCTTCGCCTTGTTGTCGCAAGCGCAGTAGGGGAAGCCAGTCGCTAGCAGTGACCTGCATACAATGAATCATGATAGACGGGTTATATACCAGGAATTCGATTGTCGCCGCTGAGCAACCCAAGCATGGCACATTAATCAGACGAGGCCCGCCTCCTGGCGACTAAGCCAGAAAACACGTAATGTAGAAACGCACCTGCCGGAAGTGCTGAGCTCCTCTGCTTAGAGCAGAAACCAAGGTGCGAGTAGAGGAGTGAAAACGGTGAGCGTGAGCATCAGCCGGAAAATGCGACGAGGAACGCGCCTGCGACTTACCGGCGGTCACGCCAAGGACTGCCACGGCGCCAAGCAGCGCCAGCAGCAGAGCCTTGGACGCCATTGCTGTGACGTTAGCTACTTGCTGTACCTCTCACTGCAAGCGCGGAGCAAGCGATGTGCCAGCTATTAGCCGCCCGACAGCGACAAGCGCTTTATACGATGCAAAATAGCTATTTGAGGTATGCTATTAAAGATAATGACCGAGAAGTTGGAAACTCACGTTGCTGTGTTGTGCGTCTTTCGACAGAACTGATTTGGGTCGACCCGGAAAGTTCCGGGGAGGTAACGTAAAGGGCGCGCGCGAACTAACGCTGCTGCTACCCTGTAGGCTCTTAAGCTCCAACCTATGTGGGAATATGTGCATTGACAGGTACTAAAGCCAGGTGTGCGCGTGCAAGCGGCCCTCCCTGGCGAGATGTACGGCGCTTTTACAGGTGGGCGGACCTCCATGAATAGTACGAAAGATGCCAGCTATTCTAATGGCGCACCTATACATCGTTCAATTCTTGCACTGCAATGACCATGGCCCCAGGGAAGAAGTTCGGTGAGGGTATGCAAGTCATCGTTCGCAATTGCCGAGGCTCATAGTACGTGCATACTTAAGAACTATAGTTTGCATGTATGGATTGTATACTTTGCATGAAGGGACATTTCCTGGAGGTATGTGCGCTTGCCACGTTTGCTTCGCTTGCACTGTTTGCATCTTGCAACGGTTACAACTGGCACAGTCTCGAGAAAAAGCAAACTTACATCTGTCGAACAGGTATTTATGTATCTGTGAAATTGCCAAGTATTTCCGTAGGTGGGCGACTGCAGACCTGCTGGGAAGCTGGTCTGCCTAGGCCTTTCCTGGACACATTGGAAGCTAGCCAGCGAAGGTATTCATAGGAGACGCAAGATAACATTTTTTTGTCGGGCGTTGTAGAAAGGGTGGCGTGCGTGTGGTTTTACAGGTTTCGGCTAAACCTGGAATCAGGCATGCAAGAAAGCATGGTGTTGCGAATAAGGAAGTCCTGCGCGACCATAAAGGGAGATAAACTGCATTGCATTAAACACTGGAGTTCGCAGTTACTGGTGTAGAATTTCCAGCGGGAATTCACAAGTACTGGTAGGAAGATGCAAGTTCGCAGTCTTTCATCATGGCGCATGTGAGGAGTCCGCGGGGATAAGCTCGCAAATTCCTGTCAAGTTTATCAGTTGGTCTGGGGTTGCTGGACCACCGCACTGGCCTTGCATCGGTTTTCCAGACGCATTAGGCTGGCGATCGGGGTACAGCTGTCCAATACAATATTTCCGGTAAGGGCTGGGTAAGGGCCCACACAGCCTCGTCACCATTCCAGCCTAAACAAGTCTATGCTATTGGGGGCAGGATGTGAGTCTTACAGGGGAGTCAGAACGACTCAAGCGCGACACACAACCCTATGGGCCTTATAGGCCATGCCACAAACGTAATTCATTGGGATCAATAGTCCGTCTTCAAGTAGGGATAAAAGTTTATTCATTTGGTGGTGCTCTGTATAGCACTGATCCATCATCGTTAGCCGCTAGGAAAGGGTGGTATCTAGGTACCATACCCCAACCTATTCTCGGCGGAATAATCAAATTGGCAAAAGAACGAATGCGTGCCCAATAATCCGCTATAACCTCAACACCAATGCAATTAATCTCTTGCCTTGTAACTGTTACTCCTCTTCCTTCCCCAAGTCCTGTTCTTTACATCAACTTCCCACCTCAAGAGCACTCAGAGCTGCGAGACATACTATACCCCACGCAAGGGTATGTACGCCCAATGGTGCTGTCCCTACCATAAGTTCACCTTTGTCAGTTCAGTGCCTTCCCCAAACCGAATGATGTCATGCAACGCTCGTGCCACCGTACAATCCTGTCTCCCCTGATCATTGAAGCCGAGCATGGGCATCTTGCCACCTTATTCCCCCTAATCCTTTGTGCCTCATGCATTGGAGAAGCGGGAAAACCATTCACTGCTAATCGCCATAAAGCCTCCTCATGTTCATTAGTCCAGTATAAAGCCCATAACCTTTTCACGTGACCTCGATACTCTGTTGTAGGTATTGGGGGCAGGGCCGTTAGGCCTTGTTATACGACCGCGGGTACTACAGTGCGATGCTGAGTCGCTGGGTCACGAGGTGCCTAGGGTATGTTGGCGCTGAGCAGTCTGCGCATGGCTAGAGGGCACTGCTCCGGGTTCTGACATCCTCGACGTACCAAATAGCAAGCACTCTCGGGAAGGCGGCCTCACCCCTGCGCCCCAAACCTTGCACGGCATGAGCTGGCATGAGCATGCATTTCCTCCCTGAGCCCGGTGAGATGTAGTCATGGTGAGCGTGGGTGTTGAAGTCGTAACACCCTAATCTATCCAACGCTGCCCCTTCACTCGTGCACGTTAAAACGCATTCTGACTTGCCTGAATCCGTATCGTGATACAAAAAAATTCGTTGCTGGTTCAGCAAGTTAAAGTGCCGTGCCGGCGACACTCTGCTTCCATTGAGCGTAAGCCTGACCCGCGGGAGGAGCGGGACTACTTACCCTTTATTTAAAAGATCTGGATAGAGGCTGAAGCAGGCTTGCTGACACACCACACGAAAAGCAACACCTGAGAAAGGACTGACATCAAGTTGGTGTTGGGTCATAAGTTGTACGGAGTCACGTGACACCTTTCCCCTCTCTTGTAAAGTGAATTACGTGTCTCGCATTACACATCCTTTTTATCAAGCAAGGCCGGACGACGTAGCCATACAATCTGGGTCCCTTTTGGTACGTAACCTTGCAGACGGCTGGGAATCATCAGCGACACCTTCCCTTTTTGCACCTCGATTCCAATGTCAAGCATAGGGAAGATGTTCTATGCGGCCTTCGGTTGATGACCGTTTGGTTATTACGAAGGAATCGCGATGGTGGCCCTAGGGCTTTAAAGCGCCCGAATTGCGGGTGGAGACAATACCCGAGCAATGAAGATCAATATAAAACATGCATTGCTTACTTGTCGTCCGTGCCCTTGCCGGCTTCAGGTTTCTCGGCGGACAATGGTGCAGCTTCAACATAGGCAGGCGCAGGCCACCGGGGCGCGTGCATCACGCTTCCGATGTGTAGTACCGCTAGCTACCGCGACGCTCAGCCCATCAAACGCCATAAAAAGCGTTGCTAAGGCCCCAGCTGTGCGCGATGCTGAATACACGAAGAAGGTCATTGGGGAGGAGCAGAAGTACGTGCTGCAGACGTATGCCCGTGCTCCTGTTGTCATCTCACACGGGAAGGGAGCCAAGATGTGGGACATAGAGGGCAAGGAGTACATTGATATGGCAGCCGGCATCGCCGTGAATGCGCTCGGCCACAGCGATGCGCAGTGGTTCGCGGCGCTTGCTGAGCAAGCCGAGAAGCTCGCCCACACCAGCAACCTTTACCACACGGAGCCCCAGGTAGAGCTGGCGAAGCGGCTGGTGGAGAACTCCTTTGCTGATAAGGCGTTCTTCTGCAACACCGGCACGGAGGCCAACGAGGGCGCCATCAAATTCGCCCGCAAGTGGGCTCGCGTTCAGGCTGGCGTTGACCCTTACTCAGCCGAGGCCACGGCGCCTTACGAGCTGGTTTCCTTCACATCTTGCTTCCACGGCCGTACCATGGGCGCCCTTGCGCTCACGTACAAGGAGCAGTACAAGACGCCCTTCTATCCCATGATGCCCGGACACCGGCTTGCAGAATATAACAAACTGGACTCTGCTCGTGCTGTCATCGAGAAGGGGAAGACCGCAGCAGTCTTTGTGGAGCCGGTTCAGGGCGAGGGCGGCATCACGCCCTCCGAGATTGAGTTCCTGAAGGGGCTACGGCAGCTGTGCGATGAGGCAGGGGCGCTGCTGGTGTTTGACGAGGTGCAGTGCGGCCTCGGACGGACAGGTGCGCGGTGGTGCGTGGTCCGCTTGTGGGGAAAAGGAAGGAGGATGCCATGTTGTGAATGGACGTGACAATCCGCTTGGGGAGAGGGGAAAGGAAGGGCGGGGCCAGGAGGGGTGAGAAGAAAAAATTTTGGACAGTAAGAGCAAAAAATCCGGCGACCCCCCCTTGACCACCCACCCACCCCAAAAGTAGCAAAAAATGGGAATTTCGTGTACGACACTGTTTAAATAGCTTTCTTATAGTGTAAATAGTACCCCTAGCAGTCTTTATTGAGGCCGGAGGTCATGCTTGTCGTGCCTGGCGGAAAGAACTTAGAGCAGGTCGGGCACGATTGCCCGGCTGTGCCGATATCTGCTTCTGAGGCGTCTTGGGTGCTAGTAGCAATTGTTCCAGAAGATATGTCAACGCTAGTTGCAGAAGCAGAAGCAGCCTTCGACCGAGTGGTCACCATTGCCAGGTCTGGGATGGCATCGACAACTATGAGCTCGTGTAATACTTGTTTGTGAAGAATAGGTGCGTAAATCAATAGAACTATGTAAGCCGAGCTTAATTATAGCAAATTTACAAAGAAATTCGCAGCCAGAAAAAAGTTGGAAAAAAGTTGACCGGCCCCGGGACCACCCCACACCCCACACCCCAAAGCCACCCTTGAAATCGACGGGAAATAGATTAAAAGGGCTATTTTCCACCTTCTCTATACATCTAGCTATGTTTGGGACCAGTTTACCTCATACCCCCAAAAGCTGAAATTTTTCACCCCTCCTGGCGGGGCAGCCATTTTTGTACTTTAGCGACGGGCGCACGCACCGTGTGACGTAGGGGAAATGGTGATGCGATAGGGCAGGCAGGTTTTGGGGTTCTCGGAGCGGCATGTGGCTTACTGTGCTAAACAGTTGCTGCTTCTTTTCATCCTCTGAGGGCATGCACCAGAAACTCAGAGTGGGTAGACGTTTTCCCTGTTGAGCTTTTCGAAAAAGCACCACCCCTCCCCCAAGCTGTGCCGGTGTAGCTCACAAGCCGCACACCTGCCATGCCACAGTCATGCCACATGCCAACCTGCCTTTCCAGCGCACCCCCACATCGGCGCTGCTGCTGTGTTTGCGATAGGACGTGGCCGTCCGAAAAGCGACTGCCCATGCCGCTCCGCTACTTGCATGCACGGTCATCTAGCACACAAGCAACACCTCCCGTTTCCCCCCGCATGCATGGTGTTGTACGACATGCAGGCAAGCTCTGGGGGCACGAGCTGTACGGCGTTGAGCCCGACATGATGACGCTGGCCAAGCCCCTGGCGGGCGGGTTGCCCATTGGGGCGGTGCTGCTGAAGCAGCATGTGGCTGACGCCATGAAGCCAGGTGGGTTAGCCAGCAGCATAGCCATAAGACAAAAGGCACGAGGTAACAGCTGGTACATGCAACAAACGAAGATAGGCGGTTGGGGCATGTAATGACAGGGTGGGAGTGGTGAGGTGATTGCGCGGACCAAGGCAAGTACGCACGTCTTAGCCCATCTTTAGGCACACCACCTCCTCCTCGTGCCGTTGTGTCACAGTCCCAATCCCCTCCTCCTCCTGCCTGCCGCCGCGGCTGTTGTTGCTCGCACTCCACTGTCCCACTCCTCCTGCTTCCCACCTCTTCCGCTGTCCCATCCTTCTGCTGCCCTCCGTCCCCTGTCCCGCTGCTGGCCTCCTCCTGCAGGCGACCACGGCTCCACCTTTGCCGGTAACCCGCTGGTGTGCCACGTGGCCTGCACCGTCTTTGACATTATCAACGACCCCGCATTCCTGGCAGCGGTGGAGCAGAAGGGCGACCGCCTGCGCGAGGGTGAGCTAAGTAGCAGGCGGGCCGGGGCGAGGTTAGACGTAATAATATTATCATACTGGGTGGACTTGGCAGTTTCCATGGTAGCGTGGGCAGGATGACGACCTGCCGGTGCAGTGAACAAGGACCCAGAAGCGGCGTCTAACTACCTCCTGGTTCTCCCTCCCTCTTGTCGTATTCATACGGGATCGCAGGCATCCCTTGGGGGCTCCCGTCGTACCCGCGACCTTGGCTCCTGTGCGACTCACCCGGACCAGGCACCCTTGCCCTGCATTGCGCATCAACCGCATCATTGAACTCGCAACCCTTTTCAAATGTTCCGCTCCCCCCTCAACCTCCGTTTCCCACCACCCTCAGGCCTGAAGCGCACCATGGGCAGCAACCCGCATGTGAAGGAGGTCCGCGGCGTGGGCTTGCTTGTGGGCGTGCAGCTGGACATGATGGCTGGCGGCGTGGTGGAGGCGGCGCGCGACATGGGCGTCATGGTCATCACCGCCGGCAAGGGCGACGTGGTGCGGCTGGTGCCGCCGCTGGTGATCACGGACGAGGAGATTGACAAGTGCTGCGAGGTGCTGGGCGCTGCGATTGCCAAGGTTGCGCCGCAGTGAGGGATTGCGATTGGAAAGCGGTCTGGCGATGTGCGGTGGAGGGAAGGCGGATGGATGAGATGGCATGTTGGCTGTCCTGCGGTTTTGCTTTGAGCAGGATGGGCTGGGGTGGTATTCCGGTATGGACTTGGCGTTGTTGTAGGGAGGGCACCGGAAAGGGGTGCAGCATTAGCAAGTAGCCCAAGAGGTTGTCAGTTGTTGCGAATTGCTTTTGGGGCGTGCCACTAGTACGCCGCCTCGCGATTAGTTTATTCATATGCGCGAAAAACCGCTGGCCTGGTCGGTGGGTCTACAGCAGTTACAGAGGGAATGGTGTGAAAGTTGTGGTGAGGAGAGAGGAGTGTCTGCATGCATGCACTGGCTAGTACGGCGCATAGGTGTGCGCTCTTGGTGTTTCCTTCTTGAGGCGGCGCTTACTTGCCTGGTGGGACGTCACACTCCATGGTTTCTGCCTTATCAGAGGGAGATGGGTTGGGCTGTCGACCTGGTACGGCCTGCAGTCCCAAATGAGGCCTGCTGAAAGGCCAGCACAGCGTTACAAAGGAAAGGCCTCGACCACTTTGTGCTGTTGCGTAGTGTTCCATTCGGAAGTGTGTTAAGTCCTAGCTTTAAGTTCGGTACGATGCTGGAAGCACTGCAGTGTGCAACAATGTGACATGTGCTGGCGGTTTCTTTATGGGTTGGCATCCCGTGGCCTACCTCCTGGCCCGCGTGCCAAAGAAAGGGTTCTCAATCATTCCCCCGTCCCAGTCAGGTGTAAGGGCCAGAGGTTCAGCATGAGCCTTCATTACCAGCAGCAGCGAGACTACGTTTTGATCTCCGAATTGGGGCGGCGCATGTGTATTTGATGTGAGGGTCAGACCATGGGCCTTTGGTAAGCCTACCCTACGCTCGCAACCTAGAGCTCCCTTAAGACGTAGACGGTATTAAAAGCTTTTACGGTCAGGACGCACGCTTGCTTGACTACACTAGATTACATGGGGTTACACAGAAGGTAACATAGGAACTAACAAGAAGGCTGAACGCCTGCATAGCATCCAGACACACTCGTGCTCAAGCAGTCCGATGACAGCAGAAGGCTTGTTCCATACACCCGATGACGCCATGCGTTTGCATGCCCGCCTGCCCCAGCGTCGCAGCCGGGTTCGGTCCGATTGCAATTTAAGCTGAAAACCTGGAAAGGAACGCCCCAATGCTGAACTTATGCCTTGCTAGTATGAGCCGCCGCTAACTATCGCTATACCGGTAGCTGTTGGTCAAGCAGGACTACCTACCAAGGTCAAGCAGAACTACCTACCAAGCACAAGCCTGCAATCCTAGGACGGCTATCAGCAGGCTCCGCGAACCCACATAACCGTCGCTCCTAACCGTCCGTCGCCACTCATGCATCAGCGCATGCAGCACACCCAGCCGCGAACCTGAATCATGTGCACCTAGAGTCACGCGTCTGTCCGCACTCCCCCATCTGGAAGCCTAGCCTCCTACGTCCTATCCGCCAGGCACATCCTGCGCTTCCATGCAGCCCCCTTGCGAGCTTCATAGCTGCCGTTGCAGCCATAACTTGCGCCCCCATGCAACCCTTCAAGCAGCTGCTAGCTGCAGCTTACGTCTACGTCTTGACCTCGCCGTCAAAACCCACCCAGCCTGCGAGCTTGAAGATATGGTAGTAGGACTTCTTCTCGAGCTTGCTGCACCAGTTCCAGGCGCTAGTGAGGCGGCCGTCGATGCAGGAGCCCGCGTCGAAGAAGTTGTCGGCGCCGCTGCCGTCAAAGGCGTGCCGGCAGAAGTCCACCAGAATGGCTTTGCGGCACTGCTCCACGCCGCCTGGATGGTTGAGCACGTAGGTACATGCAAATCAAACGGGAGATAATGGGCAAGCCACAACAGCGGGTGAGGCAGCCTCAGATTGCGACCGGCTTTGCTGCGACTTCAATTGGCTCTACATACGGAAACAAAGCTCTCTCATCAGGGATGTTCGTGAGGTCTTGCGCGCACTTACCGAAGGTGGAGTCGATATACTGCCGCAGGTTGGGGTCTCGGTACAGCTTGGGCAGCTCCTCGAGCACCGCCACCACGGGGTTCAGGATGCGGGGCACCTGGGCAGCGCATGGGGAGACCCAAAGTTACATGTTGCATCCAAGCCGCCTTTCGAACAGTATGAATCACGTCTCACAGGCGCTGACAGGTGCGCGTTTCAATCCTTACAACAGGCGGATGTCCTCCCTCATGGCTGGATGGCATCCTCACAGCATGGATTGAACTATGGCCGTGCGAGCGCAAACTGTCACCTCAAGAGTTCAATACAAGCCAGGCAAGTGACTTTAGGAAGGCCAACAAGCCCAGGTTACACCCACCCGCCACCTCGCCACCCACCTGCGTGTACTTGTCGATGAACATGAGCGCGTTGGGCACATTGTGGTCGCCCAGGTGCACCACGGAGGACCCCACCCACGATCCGATACAAGACTGCACCCTGCGAACGCAAGGATACGGTAAAGTAACGCAGCCATCATGCAACGTCAGCAACTGCATGACACAGACTCTACCCGCGACTGGCTGCCCCAAAACCCAGTACGCCGCTCATTACAGCACTTGAAGCGCGCAAGAGCCAATCATCATTCCAGCAAACATTCTCCATTCGGTCGTTCAGTTATTCCGTTCTGCTGCATTTGCAAACTGACCTGTGCAGAATCTGATGCATAGCGCGTCCGACCTGCGGCGCTGACTGCACGCGGTTAAGGCCCTGGCCCGTGTCGCACAGCCGGTAGCTGTTGCCCTCACGCAGCATGTCTGACTCCGCGAGGTACCACAGCTTGAACATCTCGGTGGAGATTTCGCGCCACAGCGTCAGCGACTGCAGCACGTAGTGGTACTGCCGCTCGTGGTTGTGGGTGAGGCGCGCGCCGTCGCGGCCGCCCTGGATGCCCAATGAGTAGCCCGGCTCGTGCGAGTCGGGCCGGAAGTAACGGTGGAAGAATTGGATGAATCGGTCGATGGGGTCACCTGCGAGCATAAAGGTTGGAAGACGTGGGTGAAAGGGAGAGCAGGATGCGTTCAACCGGGAAGCAGATTTGGATAGCGTTGATTAATATGTCGTATAGCTGCGCTGGCCATGTAACCAACAGTCCACGACCAAGACCGCATGCTCTGGTTCACTGTCAGGCTGAGTCAAATGATTTTGCCGTACAAGCTGCGGTGTTTTGGCCCAGTCACGCCGACGGCCACGGTGAATTTGTACAACTGAATTGGTTTCAACTCACGGTTGAAGAGGAGGTATGAGTTGTTGTCAGAGATGGAGTAGATGCACAGCAAGATCTCCTCCTCGCTCAGACGGGACGAGCGGTATCGCCGGCTCAGCGCCTCGCGCGCCCGCTCCTTGACCTTGATGTCCCGCTGGATTTCGTGCCGTGGCCGGTCGCCTGGTGGTACGGCAGCAACACGCGTAGACGCATGATGCGTACAGGCGCCACAATAACGGAGAGGACAACTTAGCTGCCAAAGCTCGCTACCACTGCTGTCTACTTGCCTCCTAGAGGCTTTATCGCAGCGCGGCGGCAATCTTCGCTTCACACAACATGCCCATCCCGCACCATGCAGCACAACAGCCCCACCTGCGACAATCTCAGCTGTGGCGGGTTGCATGAGGGGGTCGTCCAACATGGCTAGCCCGCCTCGCTCCTCCAGGAAGAGGTACACCGTACGGAGCTGTCGTACACACTGGAACTCGAGCAGCTCCTGGATGGCCGGCTCCGCGCTGTCCATCAGCAGGTACATCAGCTTGCCGTACTCGCTGCGCATCTTGTCAGGGTTGAGGATCTTGTAGCGCCGACCCAACTCGAAAATGTCCTGAAAGGTTGTGACGCGAGGTGGGTAGGATGAAGTCAGGAGATGCCACGGTGGCAAGGTATCCAAAGGCTTAGGCACAATGACATGCGAGGACCACGGTCCAGCAGCTGAGATGCTCGAGCGGCGGAGAGTACGATGATGCGGTCCGGTGCGGTGTGGCCTAGCGGGAAGCCTGCCTCCTCAAGGCAAGTTGTAGACAAAAAAACGGACTCCCCGCTGCCGCACCCCATGTCCATTGAATTGAGCTGGTTTCTCTGACCCCATGTCCCCGCTGCAGACCCCCCCACAACGCACTTGGAAGAACTCCGCGTTGTCGGCAAAGGAGCGGTCCCGGATGAGCTCCTGGCCCCGCTTGTAGTTGGCAGCGACCATGAGGCCCGACAAGATGGCGCAGAGGTCCTGCAGGGGGCGGAACATGCCAAGAGCGGGCATTGATGTTGCAAAGAGACGACGACATGGGGTGTCTACAATGACCGCGGTAATGGTGCTGATGGTGTTACCCTGCGTGCACAACACGCGCGCATGGACACTGCCACCTAAGTCACGACCGCCATATCCAGGTGCGACTGGGGCATGATGCCCTGCGTGAAAATCCAGCCACTGCCGACAGGACAAAACATGCACCTCGCGGCGGCAGCAAGGCTGTCTAACCTTACCCGGATCTGGGCATGTATGCGCTGGTTCTTGCTGCGCCACGTCAAGATGTCCACCTGTCAGCATTGCAGGGGCAGCGGGTAAACCCTTCAGGGAAACGATCCCGGCCCAAGTCAAAAGGGCACGGCTTCGATCAACCCAAGCAAAATCGGGCCCCAAGTTACACACACAGGACGCAGCCCAGTTGCCCTGGAGGCGCACCTTGTCCGTGTACTCGCTAACGTTCAGCGCAGACTCCAACAACCGCAACAGTTTTCGTTCGTCAGGGCTGAGGCGCAGTGGGATGTAGCGGGCGCGCTCCGCAAAGCTGGTGCTGGGTAGCCCCGCGGGCTGCGAGCTGATGGTGCCGCGAACTGGCTCATCGTCCGCATCGTCGTCCTGTGGATGCAAGGTGACCCCAATAAAGGTAGTGCAAAAGGCGCAGCGTTACATGAAAGCAGTGTGTGCCACTACACTGTACGCCCAAGGAGGTGGCGACGACAAGGTGGGAAATCGAGCTGGACGCATGTAGGAACGGGACCACTAGCTTCCTGGCGTATACATGTACCCGAATTGTTGCTAACCCCGGCGCCAGCATACCTCTCCCGAAGTGTCGACGTCCCCGTCCTGAGCGTCGTCAGAGGTTGACGTGGAATCGTCGCGTGCACGCTTCATGTCCACGTCATTAGGCAGGTCCGCCTACAGGCACAGCAATTTAGGTCGGGACCAAAATGCGCGGGTAAATCAAACCGAAGCAACCGGCTTCAGGGCGCATGTCATTACGTCGATACGGTGAAAGGAACCAATCGGCTTGCATGCCGTACCTAGCTTCTGGGCATTAGTACAGCTGCCGTCAACCCTCACGAGATCCCGAGGACAAAACCCGAGCCAGTAACAAGGACCTCGATGTTACCTGGGCGCTGGAGCGCTTGAGGGTCGCCAAGTCACTGGCCTGCTGCGCCGCAAAGGCATGCGCCTCCGTGGCTGCATCCACCAGCTTCTCCCTCAGCACGTTGAAGTGCTGAGCCACCTGCTGGAACTCCGCGGCAGTGCTGTCCGGGTGCTGCATGAGCCGCTCCAGGTCATCCCTGAGCCGGTCCGCTTCCTGTCGGCAACGTGAAGGGCGATTGGTTACCAGTAATCAGCAAATAAGGGGTATGCATCGATTTAACTTCCCGGTCATGCTAAAAGCCAATACATGACAGCATATCGGCCGGGCCGTCGTGTGACCCTTCTATTCCTGTGTGCATATCCCATGTGGGCGACTGGTGTTAAAACCCCGCCATTGAATGCTTTGCAAAATTGAAGGTGTAAACCCATGTGGGTCGGCGCCGTCGGGTGGGTCAGAGTTGGGCTTTAAACCGGGCGTCAAAATCCAGCATACAAATCCGACATACAGGTGCATCACAGGCTAGCCAACACACGGTACATGCATCCCCCCGTTTTTGGGGGGGGGGGATGACCCCGTTCTTGGGGTTCAGCAGGAATGGTTGCTGCGAAAGAAAACATCACGTTTCTGTTGGGGTTCTTCCAGAAAGAGCTACTTCGTTCGTTCCAACGGGCCAATGGACCAATGTCAGTTGCGCAGCTAAAGGGTAACGTGCTAAAACTCGTTACGCGTGCAGTCATATCCAACTAAAATGCTCCACTATGAGGGTCACACCTGCACAAGACCGTTGCAGTCGACCTCCTTTTGCGCTGCATACTCAGCCAGCTGCTCCTGCGCAACCCGAAGACGATTGGCGCAATCCTGGGCTTCAGCCTCAGCCTTCAGGCGCGCAACGTGTTCCTCTGCGCAAGGGGGCGGCGGAATCAGTTCGGACACAAAGAGATAAGAATCAGAACGCAGCCAGGGAAAATCGTATATAAGTTAACTATGTGAATGCAGGGTGCGGCATAGGAACATCCTATCCCACCGTATGAGGACGTGTTAGCTGCATCGCCAGCGTCCATCAATGCCTGTGTTTCCGGATCGTTCTCATCTAGCACAGCTCCAAGCTTAGCAGAGTTCATATTTGATTGCTGATTTGACGCTGCGCAAAGAGATACCGCTCGGAAAATTGAGAGCAACTTTAACATTAGAAACCCATCCGCGCCTTGAAAGTGTGCCCGAATAAGGGTGCGTTTGCCCTTGCAAAATCGCGCAATTAAGGGTAGGAAGACGGGGTACCAAACTATGCACTTCCAAGAACCCTATATACTTTAGGGTGCGGATCACGCTCTTATACTATTCGCTAAGACATGTACAAGGAGGTTAGTAGCTACGTGCCCGGACAATGGGAATTCAATTAACATGCGGAGCCGTACAACTCCCAGCCAACGGGCTTCGGCTTATATGAACGATGGTAACTAAGCGGCTGCGGCAAGATCACCTCAGATAAGCAAACATTAAAAAACGTTGCAGTCATTTCTGATGAATTGGAACTAAGCAAACTTAACTTTGTAGCTGTCAGGCTGGCTTAAATGGTATCCATTTACTTTGCGCACGTTTATGCAATGCAGGCATAGTTCCTTGAAAAAAAGTTAGATGCCTTGTGTTGCGGGACGGTTCCTGAGGGGCATAGTTTGACCAGGTTTAGTCCATGGACCGGCTAGTAGATATGCTTGCGGGGCTCCAGCCTCTGCCTCCTACTCGCTTCGTGAGTCATGAGGGTCACATTGAAACTGAGGACTGGCAGCGTCTCGTCGAAGTTCTTGGCACCAACAAGGAGGCTGTCGGCATCCGGTTGCGAGGCAGGTTAAGCATTGCTGCTGAATGTTAAACCCGTACGTCGATCATGCTTTTGGGTTACGCTTTTCACTTTGCACAGGCTGTGGGCTTACTTGTTTCCATGCAAGGCAACTTGCGGACGCTCTCGCCGGCAACACCAGCCTCGAATGCCTTGAGTTGCCAGGTAAGTCGCAAGACGGCGAATCCCTTCCGGGCTTTCCCTTTACCTGCTGTTCCGTAAATCAGTATCAGACTATTCCTCGCGCGCGGTGTCTAAGCTTTGCGACGCTGCCCTGTCACCAACAGACAACGGCATAGGCGAAGACGGCGTGAAGGCGCTGGTGAACATCTTGCAGGCCAACAACAGCACCCTCAAAAGCGTCGACCTTTCAGGTAAGCTGTGAAGTACCACCTGTCGAATGCAGCCCACCCAATGTGCAAATGCGCACGCGCTTTTGTTCGTGTATGCCGTTACAGTTATTGCTGTGTTGCCGCAGATAACCCATGCTCCACGGAGGCACTACAGGTACTCCAGGATTTGGACGCCCTGCTGAAGCGTAACCGCGTCATAAAGAAGTTACCCAAGACGCCACAACTATGGACGCCGCGAGAGTCGGGCGACGTGGGCAGCACGCCAGCACTCGGAGCCGCGCTTTTCTTCACGCCAGCGCAGGCGTTTCCATCGCCAACGCAACAAGTCAACGCTGACAGCTTTTGCAACCTCACCCCGCCAGGTACCATACTATGCAGTGCGCCTGCATGTATCGCCTTGCCAGCTACGGGCCCTTAGAGCAAAGCAGTCGCACGCACGTTGGAGTACACCGCATGTCCACCTGTCCTCCCTCTACTGGTCCATGGCAACCCATTCCGCGTTTCGGATTGCTGCTCCACGCCAGCAGGTCTCGCAATGTATGGCACCGCATTCAATGTGGAGCAGCGCCTGCAGCATTTGGAGGAGGCGGAGGCGACTATCCGGAGCGAGCTTGAGCACGCCCGCAGGTAGGTCCGTTCTACACCGGCGTCCTGCCTTGTGTTGACCTAAAGCTTCCAGGTCACGTTACGGGAATACCGGTGACCTGTAGCTATGACCGCCTCCACGGAACTATAACGCGCATGTTGTCGTCTTACCAGCATCTCGCTCGCTCCCAACCACAGTTTCAGCTCGCAATCCGAAATGTGGCAAAGGAAGATCGACATGGCGGGGCAGCAGATTGCGGCTATCCTATCCCTGGTGGACAGCCGCAACATGACTCTGGAGACGCGGCTGCACACCATGGAGCGGTGGCGGGCAGGCGCAGAGCAGGCGTGGGCTGACCAGTCCAAGGTAGGAAACGAGCGGGTGCAATGCGGGTTGCGGGACACGTATGGGTTGCTATGGCTCTCCCTTCGAGAGCTATGACATGCTGCCCTCGTGCTATGCGCATATACTCACACCCATCCGTTTGTCGTCCGCCAGGTGTTTGAGGGCATGGCTGCGCAGCTGCTGGGTTTGCAGGTTCGGGTGCAGTCGCTTGAGCGGCACATAGGTCGGCCGGACGCCAGCAAGGCGGCCAGCGATGCCCCTGCTGCAGCGTCCGCTCCCCTCGGCAGCGCGACCAGCCCGGTAGGCGCAGAGGCTCTGCAGCAGGAGGTACAGGCGCTGGCTGAGCGGCTGCGAAAACTGGAAGGGATCGTGGGCGACCGTAATAGCGAAGTGGAGCAACACGGTCCAGCTGCAAAGCCAGGTAAGCACTGATCCAGTTCAAATCTTTACAAATCATGTGCGCCCGTCATGCAAGGTTGCAAACCGCTCCTGCGTCGGGCATGTGCATCTGCCTAGCTGTCGCAACTCCTGGTGCTGCGAACAATATGCTTTGCGCACCGCCCTTCATTGCAGAGGCCTCTCCAGAAACGATGTGCACTCCCAAGCTGGCGCGGGGCACGGAACCGGGCTGCCGCAAGCCGGAGCCACCGGAACTCAGCTTCGGGCTACCCAATCACCGCTCGCTCAGCTCTGAGCTGGGTTCGGACGGCGTCACACCGGTGCTGAAAGGCACGGCTCTGGAGGCCGGGGCTGGTCGTGACTGTGGCAGCAACAACAGTCCTGTTGCTGTCGGCGCTGAGCAGCGCCATTCGGGTAAGGCGTCACCGCCGCCCCTACAGCCTCCACTGCGTGCTTCCGTCAGCCCTGTGCACGACAGGTGCAAGCGCTCGCCGCCAACGGTATCAGACCAGCGCGATCAGACATTCGGGCGCCTCAGCAGCAACAGTGCCACGGAGCGTGACAGCCATTCCCGGCGACGTGGGTCAAGCCCTGCACGTTCATACGACGTTGATGCGGGCCCATCGGGCCAGGATGAGCGTCCGCGCATGGCGCCCCTGGCCGTCCCAGTGGCCGCAGCGCAGCCGCACTCTACGGGTTTCACGTTGCACCGCCAGCCATGCCAGGAGGGTGCAAACGCAAAACACCATTCAGGATCCAAGCGCGCCGGGCCCGCAGCCGGCCCAATGACAACCCCTGAAGCCCTGACCGGCAGCGCCTTTTCCTCGGGCGCCGCAGCTACGCCGTACGGTGTCGACAGCCCCCGTGGCAGCTGCAGCTCGCCCGGCACCCCTCCGGGTAGTACATTCTCCGTAGACGCAGAGACTGTGTCCTTGTCGGTTGCGCTCGCCAACAGTGCAGCACGCCCGCGGGCACCGGGTGCTGCAACCACGACCCATGGGTCACCCCCGACTGCTGCTCAGCGCACCCGCGAGCCAGGCGAGGGGGACGGTTGCTGGGGCTCTGACCCTCCTCGCGGGCGGCGCCAAACCCAGGAGGAGTCCAGCGAATCAGAGTGCAGTACGCCATGCAGGCAGCAGCGGGCGGAGGGATGTGGCTTAGCGCAGCAGGCAACGTCCGGCCAGACAGAACGACACTCAGGCGCAGCCATCCATCCACTGCGGACATCGGCGACCTCTGATGCGGGGCAGACCCAGGCCTTTGCCGCTGCAGCGACAGCAACCCCTGATCCCTTCTCGGCACCATGCCTATCCGTCCGGGAATGGGTTGATGCAGCACATAAATGCGCTACGCCGCCGGGCGTCAGTGCGCCTGCCCGGCCATCGCTGGATGCGTCAACGCCAACCTCCAAGTTGTCTGCGCCCTCCGGCCCCATCTCAACTGGGGCTGCTGCAGGTGGACCCTCTCCGGCACATGCGCAGGAGGCAAGCGGGGCCACCCGGCACGGCCGTCCCTCGCGGCCGTTTAATAACAATGCGCCGCATTCGGCCACTAGCCTCACTGCCCTAGCTGCAAGCATGGAGGGCACTGAGCGGAGGTCCTCGCAATCTGCTAGCCGCGGCAAAGCCAGCCTTGTCCCGCCTCCGCAGCGGCCAACCGCAGCCGCCCCGTCAACGGCTTCCACTGCCAGCACTCGGCGTGTGGCGACGCGTGACAGCGAGCAAACCCATGACCAGGGCCCCGGGAATCTAACCAGGTGCGTCGGGGGCTTTCATCATCCTTCTGGCATTATAGATCCCGCTGCAAGCGGTTTCTCGTGAGGGGAGCCTAAATACCTTCTTTGTCTTGTACCCAGGTGTTCCCGGCCTTTCATCCCGTTGACGTTCTAATGTCCCAATCTTAATCGCAGGGCGGCTTCTCTCCGTGGTGGTGACGGTGCGGGATCTGGGGCAGCAGGTGGGACATGCGCCTCATGCTTCACTTTGCAATAGACTCTTGGCTGGTAACATCGGTTTGCTGCTTGGTTGTTAGCATGGACTTGCCTCAATCACCGCATTTTAATAAGACCATCTCTCAGCATGCTGCATGTGCCCCTCTTCCGGTTTGTCCCCACAGGCACAAAGGCCACTGCGACTGCCCCGTCGGTCCGTTCTTCCATTCCATCCCTTAAACTAGGAGCTGCCATTCCCCGTTCCAACGGCACTGTCCCGCCGGGCACCTGCGCAACGGCTCGGCCCGCTTCGACTTCCAGCGCTACACATGACTGTCCGATGCGGCTATCCACGCATCGCATTCGCAAGTCTGACGACGTTGTCGAGCTCAACCCGGCCGCCCTGGCTGCCACCCTTGACGGTTCCTCGGCTTCGGAACCGCGTAATGTCGTGCCCAAACTGCAGCTAGCAGGGTCCACGTCCAAGCAGCAGTCGACAGGCGCCGCACGGGCGCAGCGTGCGGCCTCTGCTCACGAGCCCCAGGACACTGCCCAGGTGCACGATGCCGACAAGGACCAGATGAGCATGAGCGGCGAGGGAGAGCTCGCTGCGGCGGCTAACAGTGCGGAGGCTTTGACAACGGACTCTACTCCGTCGCATCTTGGGAGCCGGAACTCCAAGACGACGGGTGCCGGAGCAGGAGTTGCTGCGGCACAGAAGCTGCAGGTGCATGGCTCAGGCGGCTCCATGACGGGCGCTTTGGTGGCCAAAGCTGCATCGACCACGGCAAAGGGAGTTGCACGGTATGCGGCTGGTGACGCCGCCAAGGCGTCTAAGCGGTGGATGTGATTATTGTAGCTCCGGTATGATTGCCTTTTTCGTAGATCTGTCATTACGGTACCCATGGACCTGGGAAGCCGAAGCAGGGCGGCGCGGCTGCCTTGGCATAACTGGCCTGTTCATTGTCGTAGGAGGTTTGGCTCTACAGTTGTGTGGCTACGGCACTCTGTATGGGCAGCAAGTAGGTGGCGTGCAGACAGGAGCAAGCAGACATGGTTTATTGCGCGTTACAGGACTGTGCTTAGGTAGGCGTTGTGGCAATGTTAGGTAGGCATTGTAGTAGAGGAAGGGCGTCGAGTGGCTGTATGGGGCGCCGCTGACAGCGGTGTAGTTCCAGCTTCGCATTCTGGTGTCCTCGCTCCTGTCATCAGTGGTACAGGCGTCCAGGTTTAGGTTTAGCCTTATACACGCAGTCCTCCAGCGCCTTGCTTCGGGCATACATCCTGGTGAGACACCCTTGTACGGCCTGCAAAACGTGCCTTTGAGGTCGCTGTGATGCTGTGGGTTACGTTGGGGTATGCGTGGCAGTTGTTACGGAGCCTATCGCTTGGGGTCCGGTCGTTTGTGCAGCCGGTCCACACTAACGCTGTTTCGTGGCGACTTGCCTACGTGCATTCGGCAGCCGTTGTTGCCATGTTGGTTTGTCACAGTGCTCGGGGGGGGGAGCGCATGTGTTGCCTCCGACCTTCAATGTAGCCTGGATTGGTCCTGGCCATTTCGCCAGACAGTGGCGTCCGGTTTCATGTGAGTGCTAATCTTGCAATAACATTAAGTTGTTCCACCGTCGACCATTGTGCGGCCGTGGCGTCTCTCTTTATTGAAGGAGGCTGGTTCCCGGAGCAGTTGCATGGGACTCCTCTCCTGAAGCGTTGCTGTCGATTGACCAGTCTCGTAGCACGGCGCGACCTGTAGTCATACTGCTGCTCACTAGCTGACTGTAAATACATGGATGACATGTAATTCTGCATACAGGTGCCGCCTCCTTCTCCTTTTCATTTATACAATGGCGGACTAGCTGCGACCCATGGGTCACCCCATCCGTGCAACACTCGATCATAGGCTTCAGAAAGTGAGGAGAGGCGGGCCTGGCTCCAATGGTATACGCTTGGAAACTATAACTAATATAAACTATAACCCCAACAAACACGACCGCTATAGGCACATAGCCACATAGCATTGGCTAAGAACACCGTACAATTAACGAGCCTTGCCCTAGCAGTAACTTAGGACACCTCACAATCAAGAATCCTTGCACGCCGGTTGCTTCAAACTGCATGTTTGCTATATGCGTATGCCACGACGTGTCAACGACTAGCCAGGGACATGTACCCGGCGACGACATGGGCCGCACACGCAGCCAGAAGTATATGCCATGAACTAAACCCTGCTACAAAAGCCTACACCCTACTTGTCACCAGGGATTACACACACAATACAGCTGCACCTGCTAAATGTTTACTGCTACTACCACAGCTCAACGTGGGACTTCCTGTTCGCACGCTGCATGGCACGCTTACACAATTCACGCCACAAAATCCGCGCGATCCTGCGGAATCGGCTGCGGCTCTAAAGTTATGTAGAAATATATACCCACTTGCAACTCCTTTCCCTCCTGTCTTGTCCTTCCTACAATAACTACCTTTTCCTCCTCATTCCGCCAGCAGACCATCGACCACGTGTACCTGCGCAATGCCAGCGGTGATGCCAGACCTCACCACGTGGACTGTGCTTGAAGGCCCCATGATGCTGACCCCATTGCCCTGGTCAACGTCTGGGTCAAAGCCGGCCTCAACCGTACGACCGTCCATTAGATCGTCGTAGCGAAGGGACTGGCCTAGTGCCAAATGAGGCAACAGCAGGAATGCGATATCTATGGTGGTGATGGTCGTGGTGGTGGGCTCCGCTTCGGAGGAGGGCTAGGCTTTGGAGGCCGTGGACTTGGTGGAGGAGATCGCTTAGGCGGTGGAGGGCGAGGAGCTGGCGATGGCTTCGCAGCGCCTACGGAGCAACGGCATTAATCCAGTCGTCCCTCATACCAAGGGGCAGGACTACTGTTTACGTACAAAGACGTTGCGCTTTCCGCCTTTCGTTTAAGGCATCTTCTGGAAACACATATACTGCAAGACGCCCGGGTCTCAATCCGTCACCACCATCACCACCCCGTCTAGCCCGCGTCGCCAGTTGCCACCTTTCCTCACCACCCCTCCACCATTGCCACCGCACTTACAAGGAGCTGCGCCATCCTCCTCCCGCCTCCCGCACCCCCTTCCCCACCCCCCGCTCCTCCCCCTGCCTTGCTGCCACCACCTACAGCCCCAGCCCCACCAACTGCACCCGCAGCTGTCCCCACCGCGCTCTGACCCACGGGTCCAAGCATCTCTGCCAGCATCGTCGTCAGGGTCTGATGGTGGTTGGCGCCGTTCTGGGTCTGTTGTGTCTGCGGGTGCGGGTGCGGGCCGGCGGTGTTGGGGAGGACGGTGGCAGCTGAGGGCGCTGCGAGGACGCCGCGTGGGTAGAGCAGCAGCCGATGTGTGACGATGTTCTGAAGGACGCAGCAGCAGCAAGGACGCGACCGGGACGGGCGGAGGGGGGTCAAAGAACATACGGAACCATAGGGGGGTGTAACTTGTCAGGTTGTAGTGCTTAACCCGATCCGAGCATGGCGGGGCAAAGGCGGTGCGAATGGGAGCGGGCCGGAGGGAAGGCGGAAGGGCGCGGGGGAGGGGGGAGGAGCAGGTCAGAGGCAGAAGTGGTTTAGTGCGTCACTGAGACACGCCGAAACCTCACTGGAGGTGCTGACGTGCACGAGTCGGAAGTGCCCCAAGCCCCATGCAGGTATGCTCTCCTACACTCGCCTCGTACAATCCGTACACAACCCATCCTCACCCCGACCCTTGGTTCCACCTCGTCCCACCCCTCACGTGCATTCCGTCTCTACAATGCTACCCACCCACACCAGCCCTCACGCGGTCCCACCACCTCACCCCTCCCACCTGCCAGGGCATGGGCATGAACTCCCGCTGCTGCAGCGACACCTCGCCCCCCTCACCACCACCACCGCCACCCCACACCCCGCCACCCCCACCCCCGCCGCCCTCCTCCGCAGCCTCCGCCAGCCCGCGAGCCGTCACGGCCGCTGTCTTGGTGGCCAGCACGGGCAGCCGCAGCCGCCGGGACACGTGCAGCAGCCGCCCCGCGATGGCTGCGGGCGCATGGGTATGGAAGTAAGGTTGTGAGGGAGGGAGTGGGTGAAAGTGATGGAGTGCGTGAGGGCGGGAGTGCGGGGGTGAGGGAGTGAGTGAAAGTGAGGGCGAGGGAGGGCGCCAGGCGGCCGGTGTGGGTAGCAGTTGAGAGTTTGAACCATCTGAAAGTATGAAAGGAGCGCGTGCAAAGGGGAAAGCTCGGCTAAGCACCCAGTATGAGTTTGGGTGCGCCAGGACAGAGTGATCAGGTGGGGTAAAGAGGAAACAACTAACTGACTGAGGGATCAGGTGGGGTGTTTGGACCTGGAGGTAGGGTGTGAGGCGTGGGTGAGGCAGGTGGTGCCGCACGGCCTTCATCTGACCGGGGCCGCTGTCTCACTGGGGGCAGCCGTACGTACGCACCTGCATGGACTTCGAACAGCGACAACGCAAGCGGTTGCTGCGGCTGCCGTTGATGCTGGTACTGCTGCTGCTGGTGGTGGTGGTACGCCTGAGCGGTGTTGCCGGCCCCTACCCCCCCTCCCGCTCCTCCTGCAGCTGTGATGTTCCTGGCCGCCCGGTCTCGCCAGTAGTGCGCCCCCACATTGTCCAGCAGCAGCAGCCGGCAGCTGCTACCGGAGGCCTGCGGGGTGGGAGGAAAGAAGCGGAGGTACTGTGGGCAGGGAGGGCAGCAGGGAGGGGGATACCGTAGTGCTGACCTTGTACCACTGCCCTTCACACCATGGTTCTGTTATTGTGTACCCTCTACCGTCTCCTATCTCCGTTGCCTTGCCCTAACAGTGGTTTCCTACGGTATGGAATGGTCTTGGACCCCCCCCCCCGTCTGCACACCTGCCAAGCCTCCAGCCTCGCCTGCAGCCCCCCCAGCGCCGCCAGCAGCTGCATGCTGCTGTGGCACCGCAGCACGTGCAGCCGCGACAACACCTCCTCAACCACCTTTGGAGGGAGGATGGGAGCGGGGAGGGTATCATAAGAGGGGTTAAGAAGAATATCCAATGTGTACCCTCGTAAGAGGGGAAGGAGGTAGGAGGCGGGATACACATGACTCGACATGAGTGGCTCGGAAGCAGTCGTCCTGGCCGCGACCCTGCCCCCATGAGCGCACCTGGTCGGGGCTCCGCAACGCCTCCTGCTCCTCCTCCTCCTCAGCAGCAGCAGCCGCACTGCCCGGGGGCCCGGGTCCGCTGCCTCCGGCGCCCCAGGGCTGCTGCTGCTGCTGGTGCTGCTGCTGGCGTTTGGCCAGGCGCTGCTGCTGCTGGTGGCGCCAGGCGCTGAGCACCTGAGGCTCTAGGACCTGGTAGGGTAAAGAGGGAACAACTAACTGAGTGAGTGATAAGGCGTAGGGGGCGGGATGAGGGCGGGTGGGAACCCAAACATTCCGCATTTGGGGACGGCGGAGCGTTATGAGAAGGCGTGGAGCAGGAGGTGGAGGGGACAGAGGACAGAAGAGAAGGGGTTTGGGAGTAGGGCTCACGGTAGGTGACCGCAGCAGAGTAGCTTCTTGTCACGTACCCCACCCACATGCGCGCCACCACCCCACCTCTGGGTCTCCAAGCCCTATCGTCTTGCACTCACTTGTGGTTTGGTTTTTCCCTAATCCCAGCCGTGCGGCCTTATCTAACCTGCATGAGTCGTACACCGTCAAACTTGCCGTCCATGTCTATTAGAACCACATGGCCGCTGCCGGCTGGGGAGGGTGCGGCTGTTGTGCTAGATGAGGTCTGTGGTTGGTGATGTGGTGGTGGGAATTGTTAGTGGGCATGCGGAGCGGAAGGAGGAGGAGGCGGAGGGGAAAACGGATGGCCTTGCTGCATGGTGGCAGTGGCATGGCTTACTGTTGCAGCGGCAGCAGCAGCGGCCGTTGTTGTTGTTACTGCTGATCGAGACGAAGCCAACCAGGCTATTGGGTCGGCATAGGGCGCCAGGAGCACATGCAGAGCAATGCTTAGCAGCAGCTCTGTCTTTCCACTGCCCGGTGGACCAACGACCTCCAACACGACACCAGGCCGCAGCGAAAGATTTTGGTCGATGATAGGAAGACCGGTTATTACGCGCTCTTGTTGTACACGTCTGAAGAAATGCGCACCGGTTTCGTTAACGGCGAGGATCGCGGCAATGTCAGGTGGCAAGCCATCCATGCTGTGGTTAGTGCAAGCCCGCCGAGCTCAAACAGGAAAACTGGCGTAAGGCGTTGCATAATGTTGGACATGGATATGCGAAGCGTGAAACAGGGAAACAATCACAGGCTTCGGAGCGAATTCGGTTAGACAAACCCGATGAACAAGGAACGGGGTAAGAACCTAAGATAGCTAAGGATCTACCATATTAATTTAAAGCTCTGACTTGCTTGCGCTACGGCAAGTGGGGCATTCTCCAAGTAGCACCGGTTGACTCTTGACAGGCGGGCTTGATTACAACAAACTGCACCGCTACGCTTTTTAATGGGCAACTAACGTCGTCGTATGCACGGTGTCGGTACTGTGACGCAAGGTAACTTGGTTTCAGCGGACTCACCCTTCAATGTGCGGTTGGCGGACACGCGGCATCCAATATAGCCAGCCCGCACGTCACGCTCGAAACATCGCCCATACTCAGCTTTCCATTTTCAGAAAAGACGAAGAATAGAACACCGCTCCTCATCGCTCGCTCGCTCACAAGCGCAAAGCCTTTAGTAATCGTTAGCCAACCCTCACGTCCGCACGTTGCCGCCCGCTGCGCGATCGCCTCGGACATCCTCCTCATCCTTCTCCTTCGTTTACTCTCATTTGCATCACCGCCCCCCAACTACGACCACATCTTACAATAGTCATCAACCACCTGACCCTGCCGCCATCGCTGCCACCTCTCCTCTGCTGCAGCTGCTCCTCGTTCTTGTCTTACTGCTGCTGCTGCTGCTGCGCCGCGACCGCCTCCATGACCGCTGAGAAGTCCGCATCGCCCAGCCCCTGCCGGCGCGCGGCGATGTAGAGCGAGTTGGCGGCGGCGGCCATGGGCAGCGGCTGGGCCACCTCGTCGCTGGGGGCGGGGGCAGCGGAGGAGGAGGAGAGCAGGTTGGTAAGGGTGTTGGGAACTCAGTCGTTGGGAGAAAAGGAGAGGAGAGGAGAGAAGTGAAGGCAGCGAGGGAAGGCAGGAAGGGAAAGGAGAGGAGAGGTAGAGGAGGGAAGCAGCGAGGGAAGGCAGGAAGGGAAGGAAGGAAAGGGTAACAGGCTGGCTGGCAGGCGCATGCAAGGAGAGGGTGGAGGGGACAGCTGAGCACCGGAAGCAGCAGGCGGCAGTATCCCACCCCCACCACCACTGTGGTCATGCTAGTTGGTTTTCCTTACTTCCCCTCCTCTTGACCAGACCTCCCTCTCTACCTTTCCCCCTCTCTCATCCCGTCCGCCCGCCTCCCCCCTCCCCCCTGTGCTCACTGCATGAGTCGGGATTCGGGATTGGGACTCCGTTGATGCATTTCTCTATATCTTTTCCCTCCCCCCGTCAGTTTTCCTTATTCCCCCCCCCCCCCGCCTCCTACCCCAGCGCCAGCGCCAGCCGCATGTCCTTCTGCTGGTGCTTGAGCGGGAAGGCGGGGCCGTAGCTGCGCGCCGCCATGGAGGGGCCCTTCAGCGCGAACATGGGCGCGGCGATGGCGCCCAGACCCACCACCTCGATCACATCCTGCTGCCGGAGGCCAACCTGGGAGGGAGGAGGGAAGGGGAGGGGGAGGAGGAGGGGAAAAGAGGAAACAACGAACTGACCGTGTGATAAGGCATCATCATGGTTTGGAGGGGGAGGGGGGAGGGAGTAGGGGAAAGAAAGATGGGGAGGTGGCATGCAGAGGCGTTTGGAGGTGGGGTGTGTAAGGTAAGTACAGCACACACATAGTCCTTTCCTATTCGGGGCCTGTTTTCTTAACGCACATGTGCGGTTGTGCGCCCCGCCCCCCACCGCTCCCCCCCCCCGTACCTTATCCGCCAGCGCCAGCCCCTCCGCGAAGCTGGTCATCATGGAGCCCATCACCTGGGGGGAGGGGGAGGGAGGCGACCAACCCATATAGGACACCACAAGTTAGAGCTAAAGTGTGGGGATGGGAGGCGGCAGGGTACCATAAAGTGGGGGGGTTCGCCACAAGTAGGCTACCGGGCTCTGGGCATATCCAGATATCTTTAGCCTTCCCTAATACCCGCCGTTGTGCCCCATGCGCCTCCCCCCTCCGCCCCCCTCCCCTCCCCTCCCTTCATTACCATGTTGACCACCAGCTTCATGTTGGCCCCCGCGCCCTCCTGCCCCAGGAAGAACTTGGCCTTGCCCATCACGTCCAGCGGGGCGGACACGGCGGTGAACAGAGCCTGGTCGCCTGGGGGGGAGGAGGGGGAGTGGAAGGGGTGTGAGGGGGTGCGGGGGGGAGGTAAAGAAGAAGGATGCCAGCCGTGTGACAAGGGGCTGCACCACATGGGTGCAGGGAGGTAAAAATAAGGAAAACTGACGAACTGGGTGCACCCCTCACTGGGTGCAGGGAGGGGGGTGCAGGGCGGGGCGGGGAGAGGGGTGCGGAGGAGGAGCGGGAAGCGAGGCGACGGAGAGGGCAAGACTGCGTGCGGGGCGCGAGCTGAGGGGCGCCTTGGGGGCTGCCCCGCTACGGTACTCGGGAGCCCGTGGTCCCCTCTCTGAATTTTCAAACTTACCCGCCCACCTCCCATCCCCCCTTCTCTCAGTGTATCTAATTCCCTTCCCTCTCCCTTCCCACCCCTCTCCCCTCCCTCCCCGCTCCCACCCGCCGTCAGGAAGATGAGCTTGCCCTGCTCCGCCGGCCCCTTGCTGCCCGACACGGGCGCCTCCAGGAAGGCCGCGCCCGCGCCCCGCACCGCCGCAGCCACCGCACGCGAGGTGGCGGCGTCCACCGTGCTCACGTCCACGTAGCCCTTGCCGGGGGCCAGGCCTGCGGGGCGGGGGGTGTGAGGGGGAATCAATGGAAAGTGAAGCAAGGGCGGGGGGGGGGTGAACGGAGGAAGAAATGAACCATGGAGGGGAAGGGGAGAGAAAAGCGAGACGTGAACTACCCGAATCCCATCGCCCATTGCCGGACCAATGACGTACGAATGGGAAGAGAGACATGCGGGTGGGGGGGTTGCATGGGAGGTGGGATGCGTGAGGGACGGGTTGTGTAGCTGGGGCCCATACAGAGGCGGAGTGCTGAGACGAGAGGGCACATGCAGGTGGCCTCACCTTCCCTCCCTACCCACCCACCCTACGCAAAACACCCTCACGTTAACAAGCAACCCCACGCCAACGTCAACGTCAACCACAGGCAATACGGCACCCACAGACTACCGGTACGGCACCCACAAACCACCCCCGACTCCCCCGTTCCCCCCCGCTCCCACCCGCCGCCACCCCGTCCGGCCGCGTGGCCACCTCCAGCGCCGCCTCCGGGTCTGACAGCATGGCGAAGGTGTAGGTGGCGGCGGCCGCCACCTCACGGGGGGTGGAGGCAACCTGGGGGGGGGAGCGGAGGGAGGAGGGAGGGGGGGTTGTGTAGCAGGGTGGGGTGGGGCGGGCGACAGGATGAGGAAAGGGGTGACGCATGGTGTGCTAACAAACGGGCGCCGCGAGTCGGAACATGGCGTGTGCGGTTGAGGATGAGGGCGAGGGCAAGGGGCGGGGCATTCAAGAGGGTGTCGTGCCGCCCACGCCCCGCTCATAACAGCTGTACCATGAGCCGGCTCCTGCTGCGTGTCCCCCCTCCTGCCGCGTGCATTCTTCTCTGCACCGGTAGTCTGCCTCCCAGGGCTTGACCCCCCCCCTCCTGCCACCCCTACATTATGTTTTACCCCCTCCTGCCACCCCTTCCCGCCCCTCTCTCCTCCCCCACCCCCAGCCCCACCTTGGCCCCCTCGTCCGCCAGCGGCTTGCACTTGTCCGGGTTGCGGTTCCACACCACCACCTCGTAGCCAGCCTTGAGCAGGTTGCGGGTCTGGCGGAGGATGGGAGGGAGGGAAGGGAGGCGGGGAGGTGCCGGGGAGGAAGGAGGGAGGTGATGAAGAGGCAGGGGGACGAGCGTGTGGGGGTTGGCCGGGACCGGAGGAGAGGGGAGGCACGCGGGTGATGCGGGACCGGACATGGGGACAGGGCGGAGGCATGCCGGTGGGAACAGCATGTGTGTACCACAATGGATCACTACATGCATACCAACATGCTGATAGCCTGTAACAGCACCCTTCAACGCACCATAGCCAGGCCCATGATGCCGATGCCCACGAAGCCAAGGACGGTCTTGCCGGGAGCAGCCTCCGTGAGGGAGGCGCGGCAGGTGAGGGGCTGGATAGAGCGCCGGGTGGGTGCTAGGGTGGTTGAGGTGCGCATGCGAGGGGCCATCGCGCCGCTGGTGAAGGCCGTCTGAGGGTGGACGTTCGCAGCCCGCGTCGACCGAAGGCAGCTGATCTGTGAGCGCGCCATGCCAGGTGCGAAGGTAGTGCGGTCGTGCAGCGCGGCAGGCCCGCGGGCGGCGGTGATGGAGGGCAGCTTAAGCATTGTTGCAAAGGCCTCTTCGGGCGGTTGGCGAACAATTGGACGATGCAAAATGCAGTTGACTGCAAGTCAAGAGGGCTTTTTCGTTGCGGATCAACCTGACACAGCACGAATCGGCTAATCGTACGGTTACGGGACTATGTACTTTACAGCCGCAAGCCATGGCTGCAACACACAACCTACACACTGCAAGTGATATAGGTCATAAGCCACTACACTGCGACTTATCAGCCATATACGAGGCCAGGCTACCTGCGCTTATTTCACAAAGTCCATTCTTGCGCCAAGCTGCTCGGCTTTATCTAATCCTGGTTAATGCAAGGGGCACGTTAATGCTGGAAGGTAAGCTAACGAGGATGGCGGAGTGCGCCTAAACTTCCTGCCATGTCAGCGGTGCGCCTTGGCGTTGAGGTCAGCTAAAGTTCTTTCAAGCACAGTTCTGTTATAATATCCTCTACTCATACTGCTCTGGTAGCGACCGTCCTATAGCCGTGCACTTTTAGAAACCGCTCATTGGCCTTGCTATCCGTGCAAGTGTATAAGGACCCACTGCATGTGGTCACCATGATTAAAATGCTCCTACTGTCCTACATCTACGTAGGTCTGGCTGGTGCGCTGAGGATTGCACGCACCACGGCGGTTGCTTACTTCACGAACATCTAGCTGCCCAGCTAAGGCCCGGAGGCTAGGGCCAGTCATCTTCAGCAGCACATGCAGAATCGTTCGGCTAGCAACACTTGCTTCAAATCGGCCCTTCCAGTTTTCAAGCCGACGTAACCGCTGCCTTTCCCAAGTTAGCCTCCAACCATGTCTTGGCGTGACCAGCCCTACTCCGTGCCTCGTGCGGACACCGCCTACATACCGGTCGCATTCCATGGCGGAACAACAGCACCGCTCTTCCAAGCTTATCCGTCCTACACCACAACTCCCGCCTTCGTCTACGTTCCCCATACTTCCGCAGCAGTAGACCACATCCCAAGCGCAGGTGCCGGCCCATGTGTGGGCATGATGCTCGCAGACACGCTGGGCGCCTTCGGGAGCGGCTACCTCCTCCATCCGCACAGCAGCAGCACCCTGCAGTACACACTGCCCCAGCTCCCTCTGCCTCCGCTACCTCCTCACGCCTGCCAAGTCCCTACCGCCATGGCGATGGTTCCGGCACCCGCCAGCCACCCCTACGGCTCCTCCCACACGCCCAGCAGCCCTCCAAGCCGCAGCGCCAGCAGCTACACCGGCGACGGGAGCCTCAACAGCACCCACCCCCATGCTTCCGCCTCCTTCGTTCCGGAACCGACCCCCGTTCTTGCGCCGGCTGGTGCAAGCCTGCTCATCCCTTCCGCTAGCTACCCGCTAACCACCACCACCGCCGCTGTCACCGCCCACGGCACCAGCAACATTAGGTTCTACACCACCTCTGCACCTGCCACCACTGCTGCTCCTGCTGCTGCATCCACCCCGGCGACGACGCCACCCGCACCTCCTCCATCAGTCCCGACCCAGGCACCGCAGCAACCCCACCAGCAGCTGCACTCCAGCGGTGGTCCGGGCCCTGTCCCGGGTTCGGCCGTTCCAGCAGCAGGCCCCACCACCCAGGCGCCCGGCGGATCCAATCAGCCCGGCATCACCCAGGATGCCCAGGGACTGGATGCTCCAGCTGCAGCTGCAGCAGCAGCCACACCCGCAGCAGCAGCAGCAGGCCCCAACACCCAGGCGCCCGGCGGTGTCCCGCTCCTCCGCCCTAGCCACAACCCCGACCCCAGCACTGCCAGCACCAGAAGTGAGCGGCGCATTCAGCGGCTACTGCGAAAGATTGAAAGCGTGTGCAACAGCATCCAGAGCGACAGGGGCGCGGGGGCCGAGGGCGGCGTTGGCAGCGTGGACACGGGTGCGGGCGGCGGGGTCGTTGGAGGGGAAGTTCCCATTGTGCAGCAGCGGGAGAAGGAGAGCGGCGCTGGTCACAGAGACGAGCCAGAGGGCCGTACGGGGCAGCAGGTGGACTCGCTGCCACCGCAGCTGCCGGTGACGCCCATGCAAGCATTGCCCTTGGAGAATGCTGCCAGCCAGAGTTACATCAGCGACGGCAGCAGCGGCCGTCGTCGTCGTCGCCACGGAAAGCCACCGCTGCCGCCGCCTGTGGCAGCGGCATCCTCCGCTGCCACCCCCGCTGCCTCCGTCGGCACCGACGCTATCGAACCCTTCACGCCAGCCGTGCCGCCGGGCCTGCACGGCCGCCGGTCCTCCAGCGGCGGCAGCAGCGGCGCAGCCATGGAGAGTTGCAGCAGCAGCTGGAGCAGCTGCGACTGGGGGCATCCATCCGTGGGCACTGGGGCTGACCCGGCAGCTACAGACCACCTGGGAAGCGACGGCGCCTCTGTGGAGGAGTCCAGGCACGAGTTGGAGCTCACACTGCGGCCGGAGCTGATTGGCGGGGGTGTGGGTGGTGGTCCTGTGGCGGTGCTGGTGGTGGAGGCTGTGGAGGGGGGGAAGGAGATGTCGAGTGTGAACACCGCCGACGGCACTGTCGGTACGGGCGAAGCAGGAAGTGGTAATGAGAATGCTACCGCCGGTGGTGCCCGGAATGGGACGGAAGCAAAGCCTGTCGTGCATGCTGGCGACGGGGTTGTCGACGTAGAGGGCAGCAGTAACACCGTGATTGAGGCGGGAAATAGCCCCATCGCCGATGTACGACAGGAGCTTGGCGTGCAGCAGCTGCAGCCGCTGCGTGTGGAGGGCCCCCGCAGGAGCGGCTTCAGAAGCAGTTTCAAAAGGCGCGTACCAAGGACAGCCACACCGACGGCGTTGGCGCTGTCACCGCAAGTCGCCGCAGCGGCCGCGGCTGCTGCTGCCGCCACTGCAGCGGCCCTAGCGACGGGCTCCCCTGCGGCTGGAGCTAGTGGGACGGCGGTGCCGCGGCGGCGGCGACGGCAGTTGTACGGGCGCCGCAGTGGCAGCACTGTACCGCAGGATAAGACTCCTGCGACCAGTGGTCGCAGTAGCAGCGGCAATGGTGAGGTCGGATGCGAAGGCGACGCGACAGGGGCCGACGCCGCTGGTGGCTGTGCGGATTCAGGTGAGGGATACCTGGGTGAGCAAAGCGCTGCTGGAGACGACGGCGGAGTTGGAGGGGAGCAACGGCAGGGCGGCGGGCTACATTCGGAATCGCCATCGGCAGCACGTGTGGCGGATCCAGTGCAGGCAGCGGAGGTGGGGCGGCGGGCTGAAGAGGAGCCGAACTCTCATGAGGCTGAGACGCAGACATGCCAGCAGGACGGCGATGTACGGCCGCTTCTGTCGGAGGCGACGGCCGCCGAGGCGGCGGCGGTGCAGTCACTTTCGCTGCCGCCGGCGGTGGCCAGCCCCGCTACACCTCCCCCTCCGACGGCTACTTGGCTGCCGTCGGCGCAGACGCTGGCGTCGGCATTTGCCGCAGCGGCTGCGGCTGCCGTCGCCGCCGTTTCTGCGCCAGTGCCGTCAGAGGAGGCGCGGCAGCAGCCCCAAGCTGCTTCTCCATCGCCGGCGCTTGAACCGACCACCGTTTCGCCGGCGCAGCCTTCTCCCGCAGCTGAGGCAGTTGCGCCGCGCCAGCAGAGCAGAAGCTCACAGACCCTGCAGGCCGACCTAAGCGAGCTAGCAAGCGACACCTCTGACAGCGAGTCCGAAGCGGAGTACGAAACCATTGGGCGCGGTCGGTTGGCGCCGCCTGGGATGAACGACGAAGCTGCAGCTGCCTGGTCGTACTCCCCGTCGCTGCCGGCGCGGCCTTTGATGTACGGCGCCGCTGCCGTACCGGAAATGCTCACCACGGGTGCCACGGGTCCGCGACGTCACGTTTCGACTGGTGCTTTCGTCGGTGCCACAGCGTCTAGCCGTCTCGCATACACTTTCAGTAACAACCCGCTGGGCCCCGCCACCGCTGCCGGCGCGTTCCAGCCTTCCTTCCAGCAGCCTGTCCGGAAGCTTGCCGCGCAGACCCCCGCCACCTCCGCTTCGGCTGCCGCCAGGGCCCGTTCAGAGGCCGGGTTCTTGGGTACGACAAGCGTGCCAGCGGCCGGGGCGGCAGCGTTGCGGCGGTTCAACCGCTCTAGCAGCAGCATTGGTGGCGGCGCCGTCGGCGGCCCAGTATCGGCGACGTCCAAACCTCTGAGCCGCATCGCCTTGAGTGCGGACTTCAGCGCACCTCGGTCTGACGCCAACCGCCAGTCGTACAGTTCCGGTCCAGCGCCGCCGTCGTCGCCTTGGTTGCCCGCTCCCTCTGCGGCCTCAGCCTCCGTCGCACTCGAGACCGCCGCAGAGGTGCTGGCCCTGATAGACGAGGACCTCATGCGCTGCGGCGTCAGCAGCGTCGGCGACGGCGCTGTTCGCACTCACCAGCGCAGCGGCGACAGCTTGTTCCAACCGCCAACTCCGCAGCCGCAAGCCTTCTACCAGCAGCGACCGCCTCTTCACCCCGGGTTTTCGCAGCAGTTGCAATGCCAGCAGCCGTCACTGCTGACGACTTACGCGCAGAGGAACAAGGGCACCGCAGGTGCCGTGCGAACAAGCGGCGGCGCCATTGGCGTCAGCGGCAGCAGGAGCGGCAGTGGCGACGGCGTCGACGTCGGCGAAGACGGTGTACGGCGCCTTACTACCCCAGGTCGCTACCACACGCCCTCCAACGCCCGTCGCTACCGCGGTGCACAGGTCTCGCTTCAGGAAGCTTACGAACCAGCAGACCGTTACGGCGGCGGTCCCGAAGGCGAGGGCGAGGGCCTGCAGAACATTATGCGGCGTTTGGATGAGCAGTTGGCTGGGGTAACGGAGGACGCTGAGGACAGATACGGAGGCGCAGCGGCGATGGCGGCGGTGGAGCAGCCTCCTCGCTGGGCTCAATCTTCAAGCAGCAGACTGGGCTTTGGCGGCGGCAGTCCCTTTGAGACGAGCGGCGCCGCAGCCATTGCCGCTGCCGCGGCTGCCGACGGTGCATCGGCGGCTGCATGGGGGTTGTTGGGGTCGTCGCCGGCGAGCATGCCGAGACCGGGTCGTGAGCTGTCTGCTCGTACACGTCCTTTCGTACCGCCGCTGCCGCTGCCTCTGCCACCAGCGCCGCCGTCAGAGTCGCGGAGGTTTGGCCGATCGTCTTCTGGCAATGCTGCGGGCATGGCGTGGTCGAGACAGGAAGGAGCCGGGCCTGTAGATATTGATATGGTAAAACGGGATTTGGAGAAGCTGTTGAGTGCTTATTAAGCGGGCCACGCGCCTTTCATTGTTGGCGACCTAATGTGTACTACTACGCGCCAGGTTGAGAGGGAACCTTCTGTCCTGAGATGGATACTACTTTTCAGGATTGCGTCTCGAGTAACTTCCTTTCTCTTTTTGTACCAGTTTCTGCCGTAAGTTCCTGCCGAAACCGGATGTGTCGTTGTTTCGAGGCGTCGTTAGGCATGTCATGTCTTCTTGTTGCTTTCCAAAAGACTTGGGAGATGTGTCTAAAACGGTATTTTCGCGTTTGGCGGCCAGCGTCTACCGCAGCAATGTCCTTGCAGGGTGGCCGAAAGCGCCGGGCCTTCCATAACCTACGGCATGCGCGCGTCATGTTGCAGTGATGGCGCTGTGATACGGCATCTGCATTTAAAGCAAACCAGTAACTGCCGCAAGGCAGGGATTGAATGGTTACTTCTTACTAATTACCGTTATATATAGCCGTTGCTGTTGACGTACCGTGTGGTGTTGAGGCCGGCTTGCATGACGGTATTTTGCCACATAGTGGGGTGCGGTGACGTGTTGTGGTCCTACTTTCGCTGTGTTGTGCCGTACAACGGCGTACTTGGACGTGTCTACTTGGATTCTCGCCTTTTGTCACGGATCTTTTGACGCCTATAAGACATGCACTGGATGCTGCTGCTATGTTGTATGAAAGGTTGAGGCTCATGGAAGGGGGGGACATATATATGGTTATAGTATTTGGGGTACTTGAAGAATGAGCGTGCGCCTTGCGAATAGGCGACTGTGGCCGTAATGGCCAGCACTGCGTTTGACCTATAGCGAGCCTATTCATACAATCTTATCTCCCTGGCGCTACGGTGATACATGTCTCGTGTGATCTTAGCGGTCCTAAGCCTGCAAAGGTGGCTTGCATGTGTACTTACGTTTTGTGCGGCGAATGCTTATAAATACGACGTTGGTTATCTTTTTACGTATATGCTCATCGGGCAGATGTTTTGGGGGGTGGCTACCGGTATGCAGCCGTAAGCTGGCTTATTCAGCCGTTGCTGGGTATTTAGCGCACCCCTGATCCTGTTAACACTCATGCGCCGTTCCAAGGAATTGCCGGCGGCTGTAAATGATATAGTGAGCCTATTGCATGGAAACAGGGCTATTCTCACAGCTTTCAAGCAGGTAAGCATGCTAGCTAAGGATGTGTGCGTGTCGTGTACGGCCTACAACGGCGTGTTACGGGAAACCAGGCCCAACAGGTCAAACTTATACCCGTAACTGCGAATCGGCCCTGAAGAGTGACGGCTTGACCCAAAGCGTCGCTGTGATGATCGATAACAACAGACCAACGTTTCCCGCCTTCCAAAAGATTTGTGCGATCTTGTAATAAGGCACGCAGAAATGCATTAGATTAGTGGACATATCGCAATAGATATTATTGCTTTTCCTTAATCATATGAGCGAGATTATATGCTGCACCCTATCGACCTGACCCAAGCGACCCAGCCGAAAGCAACATTCGGTTGCGAAGTACTGGATGGATTCTTACGAGGAGGCATTCCAACGGGCGTTGTTACAGAGATTACAGGTGCTCATGAGTTTTGTGGAGTAACGAAAGAATCCCTGGCTCATATCCCATGTCATCCATGTGTAGGCGAGTCCGCGGCTGGCAAGACACAGCTCATCCTTCAAAGCCTTTTAACTGTGCAGCTACCTATAAGCGAGGGAGGGTTAGCCGGCAGGGCAGTGTGAGTCCGGTACTTGCTGCCCTCTCGTCCATCTCACTTGGTCCGTTAGTTCACTTCATCCTATACAACGTGCGTAGCAGCTTAGCCTCATCGCCGTGCTGGCTCTCGGATATCTCGGATGTGAAGCATGTCCTTCCCGTGTGCCCTAGGGTGCTCCTCACAACGCGGCACGCACGCATAAGCTCCAGGGGCCCTTGCATGTCTCTATGCACTACTCCATAGCTCCATAGCTCCTGCTTACCGTCTTACCACCTTACCCGCTGCCTCGCCATTCCTCGCTCTTCCTGCACGCGGCTTGCCGCTATGGCTTTCCATCCACGCTCGTGCTGCGTGGACAAGAGCCTCTGCCACTGCTGCCCCCCTCCCTCCCTGCAGTTACATCTACACGGAGGGCAAGCCGCCAGTGGAGCGGCTGCAGTCCGTCCTAAGCAACCGCTTCAACGGGTCAGTTGCCGTGACAGCAAGGCAGATCCAGGGATCCTTGCCTAGCAGGGCGCCGAACTGTATCAGGACTGTTGTACAGCTTATGCATCTCGGGACTCGAAGTCAAAAATCTCACGGAAGCACACTACACAGCCTTGACCCTTGACCGCACTTTCCAGCGCTCTGGCTTTTCGCTGCGGGCCCCCTCTCCCTTGTAGCCTCCTTCCACTCCCCGTTCTCATCCCTCCTCTCCCATCCCTGCGGCGTTTCTGTCGGCTTCCGTGCGCCTCCAGCACCCCCCCTTGCCTTTCCCAACCCCGCCCCACTTGTTTTCGCATTAGGAACGACCGTGCGCTGTATCTACACCCCATCTCCCTCCTCCCCAAGGGCTTGCCACTGTCATTACCGACGTTGTCTTTTTTGTCTTCCCTCCTTCCTTCCCAAGGCGCCCCGATGTGAGCCTAGCACATGTGCTGATAGAGGAGCGCCCCATCGCTACTCCCGAGGATCTGATGAGATCTGTACGGCAGTTGGAGGCGTTGCTGGAGAGGGAAAGGAAGACGACCGCGGCGTCGGCAGGGGCAGCGGCCTCGGCAGCTGCGGGAGCGGGATCACGGCAGGTGGTGACCGCGGGTGTGTGGTGCGGGGAGCCTTGCCGGGAGGGAAATCCTCCATCGCTCGTGCGTAGCGATGTCGGATTGTGCCGGTCCTGCAGCGTAGTTCGCTGCCGAGACTCTCCTTGCGGCGCACTGTCGTAACCACTCTTCACTGTTCCTACCTTCCTCATTCCTGATCATTCTTCCTTTTGTCTTCTTGCTCACCAACCCCATATGCCATATGACAGCCCCTATCTCCCCACATGCCGAATCGCTACATGTTGTTCTTATGTCTTCCTCGTTACCCCGCCTTGCTATCCCGGCCCGTTGCTCACATCCCCCAATGCCCCCTCACATTTCCCCCCACAGATCCGGCTTATAGTGATTGACTCGGTGGCACGCGTGTTCCGAGACGTCGGGGAGGGGGATGAGCCGCAGGTGCGTATGGAGCTGGGGTGGCACAGCACCTCCACTCCACTCAACTCTGCCCCATGCCGGCTGGCTCTGAGGTTTACGAACGCTGGAGTATGGTGCGAGGAAAGCGGTGCCTGTATGTTTGATACCTCTTGCATGCAACATGCGTAGGTACAGCAGCTGCATCGACGAACTGCGCAGCTCTTCAGCCTCTCCACATTGCTCAAGGTGGGTGTGGGGAAGTTTGGGCAGGAGGTCGTGAACCATGGGTCGGTGCCTGGTGGGGTAAGTGCTGTTTGTCTGGGTGCATGGTCCATCATCGTCACCACCGAATCCACCTTACCCCCACAAGTGCTATGAGAGGACTTCCTATGCGGACTCCCAGTGCGTATACCGGTTCATGCGAACGCATGCTGGACACTCCCAAGTCCCTGCGCTGCCGCTGCTGCCACTCCTACCTCCGCCCCCCCTCCCTCCCCTCCCTCCCCTGCCCAGCGTCTGGCCCAGACCCACCAGCTGGCGGTGCTACTGACCAACCAGGTGATGGACGACATCAACGCACACACGGGGGCCGTCGAAATGGTGGGTGAACAACTACTGCTGGTGATGGCGTACGGGTATCCACGCTCCCACTAAACCTTCCATTACCGGTACCAACGCATGGGCCCCATCCTTCCTCACTTCGTTACCCCTCCCATTTCTGTCCTCCTCCCCTCCTCCGGTTGCTTCAGTTTTCATATTTTCCTGCTCCTTCCCATCTCCCTCAGGGCCTCCCCAGCGCCCTACGCGCCCCCCAGCAGCGGGTTGCTGCCGGCTCCCGCGCCGCGCCTCTGGTGAGCTCGGGGCGCCGCGTGCTGCCGGCGCTGGGGCTGGCATGGGCCAACTGCGTCAACTGCCGGCTGTTCGCCGCGCGGCATGACGCGTGGGGAGGCGGCGTCATCAGGAGCTTGCAGGTAGGGCGGTTACAGCAAGAGCCCGGGTGGCTTGGCGAGCAATGGTACCGGCATTAGAAAAGGCGACGATAAGTATTTGGGCTCGTATACACGGTTTTGCTATTTCTATTATTTCGGTTTCCATGCTCAGGAATTGGTGTCACGGCTACTGCACCGAATGTGCCTGATTCCGCTTCCTTGCAGGTGGTGTTCGCGCCGCACCTGCCGCACTCCTACTGCTGCTTCCGAGTGGGTGCAGATGGGGTGTGGGGAGTGGCGGACGAGGATGCAGAGGAGGGTGTCGGGCAGGGGGCAGGTGCAGCGGCGCAGCAGGGGCAAGGACTGCAGCCCCAACTGCACTTGCCACAGCAGCCGTTGCAGCAGCAGGTCATGGCCTATCATTAACTGGAAAGATATTGTATTCTACGAATGTGTTAACTTTATCGGCTTGCGTAATTCTGCTGCGAAGGGTGGCATGATGAGCGTCATGTACGAGGCTCCATTTGCATGCTTCTAACTGCATCCGTACAGAGTGCATTGCGAGAGTGAACTGGTCCAGAAAGCCCACGAGCCGTGCCGCGGCATTATTTTGCTTGCAAAGTGTACTTGTACACAAGCCATGGCTACGGTTGGCTGTAATGCTCAAAGTTTCGTCACCAGAAGGTCGTAAAGCTGCCTCATATGCTCCCTGAGCCCATACGCTAGTTAGCGATCACCATGAATGTTTCTGACCCATAGGGTTTGACCGCAGGATCCGTGCAGAGATGTGAGTTCGCTAGTATGGAACGGCTGATAGGGCAGAGGCCAAGCGACATACGCAGCGTTACAGCCACAGCAAACACGCAGCAGCCTAGCGCCCCAACCAGACGGAACCACCCTGCGGAGGATAAGGGCAACACGGGCAGCATGCATCCGTAAGTAATCGACCTCATGTCGCAACGTCAGGATGCGCCTGTAACTTGTGTATAAATAGTAGTGCAACCGATCAATGCCGAATCCGTGCAGACGTGTATCAGTTGGATCCCCCCTCCGGACCAGTGAGAGCATTGAACACCGCGTGCATGCAGTGTTGCGCATAACTAGGCCCAACGTATCGTTCTACCTCTACATGGCTAAAATAGCTTACTGCGCGCGTGGCCCGCTCTCACCGTTTATACCAGGCCCTCCTTGATGATATCGTAGGGGATGGCGGCAATGGTCTCCACCTTCTCCGGGATCAGCTCGAAGCCGCCGCGGGGGCCCTGGGGCACACGCTTCGTCTTCGGGGCCTCCTCTGTTGCGGAAAGGGGAATAGCAACGGAGTGGCGAGTGGGTGAGATTGGCCGCCACCAAACAACTGAGCCCCCATTACTACAGAACAGCCATCATTTGTGCATGACAAAGAAACAAAAGCACGAAAAGAGAGAACAATTCCCCCATGCTCCTACAGGTCAAAGGGCTCCAAACTTGGTGGTGTGCACTGGGGCTATGCGCTACAAACCAAACCCGACAATACGGTCCTCTACTGCATAAACACTCGGAGAAGTACCATACATATCCCCGTATCCGAAATGGACCAAACCATCCCTACATCATGTGGCTCCCTCCTTCCAGGACCCATTGTCTATCCGCAGTAAGCACATACAGCAAGCTTCCGAGCTATTCGCATCCCGTCCCTGGCAGCCAATCATAGCGCCCTACTTACCACCCTTGGCCTTGGCGGCCGCCTTAGCCTGGTCGTTGGCGGCGCGGCGGGTCAGGAACTCCTCGCGGCAGCGGGAGGGCTGGATGTGCTCCACGCGCACGTGGATGCGCTTCTTCATGATGCGGTGGCCAACCTGAGAGACAGGAGAAAGAGGGAGCGGAAAGGGGCACGGGAGGAAAGGGAAAGCGGTTGGAGAACTGCATGGAACAGTTGGGCGTGGAAGTTAACCCCCGGAGGGCAGCCGTGCTCGTGGAGCGTGGAAACCTAGGAGCATGGGCTAGGTCAAAAGGGTGCACAATCGGGACATGCGCTGTTCTGGTGTCAGCCCGGGGATAGCCATGGCGTACAGCCTGATCTACGGGCAAAACATTCCCAGCAACTGTCGGCAATGCTTTCGCCATGCATGGCCTCCAACCTCCTTATTAGCCGCAAGCACGCTCTCTGCTGCTGCTTTTGCTTTAAGACACCCCACTGCTACAGGCGTGCGCCAAACGATATGAGCCCGACGCTGCTGCTTATTATGTGCGCCGAACACTAGGTGCCCGATGCTGCTGATTAGTAACGCGCCTCCAAGCATATGCCCATTTCTGCACCACATTATGCTGCTGCCTGTGGCCGGCACGACCATGCTGTGAAACTGGGTGTGCCGACGCAGCTGCCTCCCCGCAAAGCTTTCACACGCCAGCCCACTCCAGTGCGTCAAACCGTAGCTCCTTCCTGTGGCTGCACACGGCAGCCCACAATGCGCCAGCAGCTGCAAACGGCAGGTGTTGCTGCTAGTATTCACCGCGGCCGGCCTCCAGGTACTCCAATAGCCTCGCTGCCGCAGTATGCTGTCAGGTAGCTGTGCTGCGGCTTGCCAATGCAACCATCGGCTTTCATACATGTGCTGCGCCAGCTGCAACGCCCCAACCGAAGCGAGCCTCCAGAAGCCGTGCTCCTTTGCTGGCTAGCCAGCTAAGGCTGGAGCAAAGCGCACCTCTAATGACTCCGTGTTCATTGCTAAAATGCCCCTATAAAGGCTTAGCCAAGCCGCCAGAAGCTCATGAAACGGTTTAACCGTATGCCTTATAAATAGCACGAACCGTTTTCGTCCCCGGACACATATAAGAGTAAAGAAGCTTACCCGCTTGTTGACCTCCACACCGATGGCACGCTTGGTAACGTTCCAGACGACACCAGTCTTGCCCTGGTACCACTTGTGGGGCATACCCTACACAGTTCCAAGGACGAGGCAAGATTTTAGGGGTCAGCGCCGGCGCATTGTTCACGGCGGCTCAAGTCGCGCCGCATACCTACAAGCTTCCATATCCGCTACTTTGTGCCCAATCGAAGCGTACCTTGTGGATGGCGCCATTGACCTTGATGTCAACAAAGTCCCCGAGCTTGTAGGTGCGCAGGTACGTCGACAGCGGAATGAAGCCCTTCTGGCGGAAGCCACGGGCAAACATGTGCCGCGTGCGGGCACGAAGACCTTGGCCGCCCGGCATTCTTCTGTGCTCTTTTGTTCTGCACGCGAAAACGTAGCCGACGCACCCGAATGTGAATGAGATGGTAAGAACCAAGCCTATCAACAAGAATTGCAATCTAGAGCAAGGAACCTACCAAGAGGCAACTATGCCGAAAAAGAGGGAGCAAAACAGCGAGCGCGAGCCAAAATTAGTTGCGGCCGCCGGCATACCCTGGAGCGCAACCCCCCGGGCAACCCAACCTGTCGCGCCAGTAATTTAGATGTGTTCTATGTAAATTTAAAGCGCAGTTTATTCAATGGTCTGGAAACTAAACCCCTTGTAACGCTGTTTCGGTGTTTGTCGACGCTGCGTTTATCATATTTCCCGCAGTTGGCGGGATGAACACGTAGCACCGCCTACGTTGCATGGGGTGTTGGAAAACAATTATCACACCGGTCTTACGACACTAGTTTCCGAGCAGACGAGGCTCCACCCTTCACATGTCCTTCGTGAGCGACCCATTGGGCAGCTAAACACTTACGGGTTGTTTCCTGATCGCGAGAACAGCACTACTTCCTCAGGCCCCTGGACGTTATCTCTCTTACTATAAACATCATCCCTGCTTCCGGCTCCCGCGGCAACCATGTCTAATAAGTGAGTTACACCGCTGTGCCCCTGACCATACACCAACCAACGTTTTGCACGATTCACCTTGCGCGTCGTGGATCTTTTCCCATAAAACAGCATCCAAACTTGCAAATGGGTGGAAGGGCCCCTTAGGACCTTTCATGGCGCAACCTCTTGAAGATGGCCCACGCTAAATCTCGTGGTTTCTGCGCACTATCCCCTCTCCTCCCCACCCCAACGCCCTCGGAAGCAGGTCCCAGGTGCTGTGTCGCTACCATGTGGCGGGTGTGTGCCGCTACGGATCCGCGTGCGCCTTCTCGCACAACCTCTCAGACCTGCCCAGCCAGGTGTGAGGGTGAGGGGGTTGCGAAACATTGCGACGCATGGGGACGTTGGCTATGTGCGTCCAGGAACGACGCGCGGGTGGAAGGCGGAGAGCTGGAAAGGGATGGGTACGATTGAATCCGACAGCGCGAATGGGACAACATTGCATGCTACGAACACAGCTGCCGGCCCCTTAAACGCACCCGTTGTCTAAGGTTACGCTAATGATCGGTGCTGTGTCGATTGTAACACGTGCCATCTATCCTTGAGTGCAACCCAATTTCCCTTGCACTATACATTGTCTTTCCCACCTCACCTTACTCTTTTCCAACCCCGCCCTCCTCCCCAGGTGTGCAAGTACTACCTGGCTGGCTGCTGCGCCTACGGAGACCACTGCCGCTACGAGCACAAGCGCCCAGACTACACCAACAGGGGGCGAGCAGGCGGAGCAGCAGGGACAGCAGGTGCAGGAGCAGGCGCAGCGTCCTCATCAGCGAATGGAGGTAGCACATCAAGAGGAGCAGCTAGAAGCAGCGGCGGCGGAGGAGGAGGGGGTGCCACAGCAGGGGGTGCTACCACGGCGCGCCGCGTGTCCGCGTGGGATGATGAGCCGGAGCAGCCTCGCCAGCCGCCTCACTTGCTGGCAGACTTGCTGAGCGAGCTGGTGGAGTCGTCGAGGGGGCGAGAACAGCAGCAGGAGCAGCAGGGTCAGCAGCAACAACAGCAGGATGCGAATGGGTCCGAGCGGGCTTACACCACATCGGTTGAGGACGACTGGGACGCAGGCGATGGGAACGGGTACGGCATGGAGGGGCTGGACGAGGACTACGACATAACGCAGGACGAGGATATCAACGAGATCTGGCGCTATATTGCAATGGACGCGTACTACAACCGGTCCGATGATGACGATGACGACGGTGTGGATGAAGATTACTACGGCAACTATGGCGGCGGAGGATATGGTGGCAGGGCAGCGGCGGGAAGGACAGCGGCTGCAGGGACTGCGGCAGCGAGGGCCGGGGGGCCGGCGGAGGGTTTAGTCATGGTGGATGACGACGTGGGCCTGGCGGCGGAGGCGGCGGGGGCTGAGCTGGCGGCGGCGCTGGGTCTGCCGGCGGCGCTGCTCTCCCTGGAGGCCTCCCTGCAGGACCTGGGGGAGGAAGCGGGGGCGCAGAGAGCACAGGGCCCGGCTGCTGGCGCCGCGCCCGCTTATGCCACAGTGGTTGGGGCGTCCGGGCTGCAGCAAGGTGACGTGTCCGCACCTGGTGGCGGTTGTGCAGCGGGCGGCGGGGGGCTGGCGGAGGAGGGCCCGCTGGACCCGGCGGAGGTGGAGCTGTGTCCGCGGTTCGCGCTGCACGGGCGCTGCGGAGCGGGGGAGGACTGCCCGCTCATACATGGGCTTGAGTGCGAGGTGGGGCAGCGGCGGGGTGCGGAGTGGGGTGGGAGGTGGGGAGAGGCAAGCTGACCAGTGCTGTACGGCTGGAGATTACGTCATAACAGCACGCATGATAAACTCTTCTCGCAGCACCGTAGGTCCTGGGCTGCCTGGCTTCACCGTAGTACCGTACCTTAACCACCGCGTCCACACCCCCGCATCCTCTCACGCCGCCCCCCACAGATCTGCCACAAGCACCAGCTGCACCCCTACAACGCGGAGGCCGCCGAGCAGCACCGCGCCGCCTGCCGCCTGCGACACGAGCGGCTGGAGGCGCGCATGCGCAGTGCCGGGCTGGAGTGCGGCATCTGCCTGGAACCGGTGCTCGGCAAACCCAAGTGAGGAAGGGAGGGGTGGACTGGCAGGGCGCTGCGGAGTGCAGCGGGTTAGGGAGGGGAAGGAATGGTGTAGGCGGAAGGTGTGGGGTAGCTGGGAAGAGCGTACGACGCCTTGGGGGCATCGTTTGGGATGCCGTGCGGTGTCGGGAAATGGCTGGTGCAGGCTCACCTGCAACATGTCGTATGCCATGCTTTACTGCAGTGGGTGAGAAGCTGAGGGTAGAATCTTGGTCTCCATGTCCCTCACTACCTGTCCCTTTGTGTTTCCCGTATGCGCCTACTGCCCCCACAGCCCTGTGGATCGGAAATTCGGACTGCTCTCCTGCGAGCACACCTTTTGCCTTTCCTGCATCCGCTCCTGGCGTGAGCGCACCAACGACACCAGCCTGGCAACCGAGACCGCCGTACGCACATGCCCGGTCTGCCGTACACCCGCGCACTTTGTGACGCCCTCCCTGGTGTGGCCCCGCACGCCGGAGGAGAAGGAGGGCATCGTTACGGCCTACAAGACCAAGCTGTCGTCCATAGACTGCAAGCACTTCAACTTTGGGGATGGCAGCTGCCCTTTCTCTACCAGCTGCTTTTACCGCCACGCGTATCGGGATGGACGATTAGAGGTAGGCATGGTCCGGAGGATGTATTATGCCTTGCGCAAGCCACATGTACATGTGCTGTGGTACCTGCTGCAGCTTCCGCCTTGTAGCATTTCCCTGCTTTTTCCGAGGGCACTTTCAGAGCGTTTATTCAGAGTTTGCTTGGGAAATTGGCCAGCTGTACCGCCACTTTACGGCCCCTCCTCGCGCCCTTCTCCGCCTCAGGATCCGGTGCTACGGAGAGCCGGTGACGCGGATGGCGGTGTCCGTGTGGTGATGCCGGTGCGGCTGTCGTCCTTTTTTGAAACGCCCCAAGCGCTGGGGTTACTCAACCGGCGTCGGTAGCATGTCCAATAAAGTGTGAGTGGTTGCCGGTAAAGCGAAGCAAGTCGGGCATCTTATGGTAGATATTGCCCGGACTGCTCATGTAGGGTATTGTAGAGCTGTGGACAAGCTAACAAAAGCAGGATAGATACAATAGGATTCGCCATGTCGCCCAAAGAGGGTTGCACAGTAGGTAGGCAAGTGGTATTTCATCGGAATTGGTATTGGTAAAGTTAATGAGGTTCATGGCCAGTAAGTGCCAGGTGCCATAGTACGTGTGCATGGAGGGCCTCCTATTGGAGGCACAGGAGGTTAAACCCGTTTGCTGGACGTTGCTATGCGTGATAATGCCGTTCACGTCTATATTTATAGGAGGTCCAGAAGGGTGCTAACAGTAGCAGGCGAAGAGACATGAACAGTCGGAATACGGGTGGTGTTGAAAAACACCGGATTATAGCATTTCGCTTAGAAACGTCTTAAGACTTAGGCGGCCTCCTCCTCAGCCTTGCCGCCCTTGGCCTTCTTGGGCAGCAGCACGGCGTGGATGTTGGGAAGCACACCACCGGCAGCGATAGTCACATCGCCCAGCAGCTTGCTGAGCTCCTCATCGTTGCGGATGGCCAGCTGGATGTGGCGAGGAACAATGCGGTTCTTCTTGTTGTCACGAGCGGCGTTCCCAGCCAGCTCAAGGACTTCCGCAGTAATGTACTCAAGCACCGAGGCCAGGTAAACAGGTGCGCCAGCACCAATACGGTCGGCATAGCGGCCCTTCTTCAGGTAGCGAGCGATACGGCCAACAGGGAACTGGAGACCGGCCTTGGAGCTGCGGCTCACGGCCTTCTTGCCGGCGGTCTTGCCCTTGCCACGTCCGGACATGTTTGCAGACTTTAGAGTTGGAGTAAAAGAGAGAATAAGTAGAAAGCTGAGGAAAGCGGTGTGTGAATAGGGCTGTTGGTGCCAATTTATTGCGTTGACTAGTGACCGTTAGCTCTCACCGGGGCAACCGTACGTGGGGTCGTTGGCGGTTCCTGGCGTCGCCGGGATTGTTAACTTTTTTACAAGCTGCCTTTCTACCGCACACCAGTATGTATATAATCGTCACTAATAGCATCACTGATAACCAATTTACACCTAAGCAATCTCCTTTAAAAGCAACATAGCAATGGCTCCCAAGAAGGACGAGAAGCCCGCCACGCAGCCAGAGGCTGCTGAGCCTAAGGTCGAGGCCAAGCCCAAGGCTGAGAAGGCCCCCAAGAAAGAGAAGAAGGCGCCTGCTAAGAAGGTTGAGAAGAAGGAGGCCGGTGCTGATGGCGCTGAGAAGGCCAAAAAGAAGGTGAAGGTTTCCAAGGCGGAGACCTACAAGCTCTACATCTACAAGGTGCTGAAGCAGGTCCATCCCGACACCGGCATCAGCAGCAAGGCCATGTCCATCATGACCTCCCTGGTGGCCGATTTGTTCGACCGCATCGCCACCGAGGCCAGCAAGCTATCGAAGTACAACAAGAAGCCCACGGTGACTTCCCGCGAAATTCAGACCGCTGTGCGCCTGGTGCTGCCCGGCGAGCTGGCAAAGCACGCCGTGTCTGAGGGTACCAAGGCCGTGACCAAGTTCACGTCGGCGTAATTGATCCTTCCAGCTTACTATACTGTTTCAAAACTACGGTGTTTTTCAACACCACCTTTTATGGACAACGTGCAAGTGCGTAGCAAACAGGCAATGTACTTGTTAAAGCGTTCCATCGCCATGCAAGAGAGAATGTTGCGCAACAGCTTGGAATTTCCGTACTTTTGCGTCTGATAGCAGTATCGTAAGCAGAGAACTTTGCATGTAAGGAAAGGTTCTTGGCAACCTGAGGCTCTTGCCTGTTTGAAAGTCCAAAAACGCTGCTGGCGTCAACGACACAACGTAGGACTTCAGGATCGTCCATTTTCCGCTTCTATCTATGTAACTGCCCTCCAAATACTCACGCCCAATGCCCCTAGTTCCACGACACCTCCGGCCATTCATCTTCTACCTCCTCTTCCCTCCCTCCTATCCACAACCCCTCTCCCAACTCCTCCCCAACCCGGGCCCTCTGCCGCCACCACTGCCGCCTTGATCCCAGCGCCTGCAGCCTCTCACGCACCCACTCCACTCCGAACGGCCCGTACCTGCCACACGCGCCATCCGTCCCCGCACTCCGCACCACCTGCACCCTTCGCAGCCGCGGCGCCCTCATGCACAACTCCAACAGCGCCCTCCGCCCGTCATCCGCAGCGGTATCACCGCCCATCTCTGCGGCACTGGCATCAACAGCCCCAGCAGTAGCAGCAGTATCACTGCTAGCGGGAGCAGTGGTGCAGCGCAGTAGCTCCAGGTGTTGCAGCAGCGGCAGGGCAGCCAGACGTGAGAGGGAGTGTACGGCGAGCTCCCCAGACGCCAGGGAGAGGCGCTGTTGGGGAGGGGAAGGGGGGTCAAGCAATGATGGAGGAGGGATGAGATGAAAAGAGGAGGGAGGGGAGAGGTTGGCTCCTGGGAGGAGATTCTAAAGGAACGGGAGATGGTTGTGGTTAATGCAGCCGGCTGACACAGGCACTGGAGAGAGGTGAGGTGATTACCGGTGGCCCCCACTCTCATTAGGCTACTGCCGCCACCGCTAGGCAGACTGCCAGCGCAGGGCGCCATGAAAGCAAGGCTAGTGGACCAAACCTGCTTTGCACAACACCTACGCCGCGCCCCTTGTCATTGACAGTGCCGCAGTACCCCGTCATGCAACCATGCATCCTCCTCTACTTCTCCTCTTGCCTCCCCATCTCAAACCCACCCGAAGTGTTGTCAGCCCCGCCACGGCCGCCAGATCGTACGACATCAGCCCAACGCCGTACAACTCCAGTGCCGCCAGTCGCAGCGGCTGCATCTCTGAGATCCACACCGCGTGACCGCCGACCTGCTGCCCACTGCTGCCCATGCTGCTGCTGGCCCCGTCGCAAGCAACAACGCCCCTGTCACCGTCTTCCCCTGAGTCAATGCCTGCAGGTGCAGCAGCAGCAGCCAATGCAGCTGTCCTGCCCGATGGCGCAGCTGTTAGGCTGCCGTTCTCATTGTGGACGGCAAACTCCCTGCCGCCATCTGCGGCGGTTACAGCGGCAGCGGCAGCGCCGCTTGCGGGGGGTGACGCCTGCGTCGCCGCCAACATCCGTAAGGCGGCCACTAGCGCCGCTGCCGGCTCCGGCAGCAGGTAGGAGCGCATGACGCTGTCCTCGCACATGTGGAAGGCCTGCGGGGCACACCAGTATTGCAGGGAGTGTTGAGGGGAAGAAGGTGTCCTGGAGCCCGAAGCAAATACCTTGGTAATCGGTAAGAGCTTCAGCAGTATACCCACTTGAAGCGTATTAAGAAAGAATGCAGCAGCAAATAAGTGCGATAGCAGCCCGACGAGCAGCCCATCATACATGGCATTTTGCAGTCCTAAAACATGGTTATGAGATGTAGCCTACAGAACGCCCACCTCCAAACTTACTGCGCGCAGCCTACCTGCAGCGGATCGAACTCCACATCCGGCAAGTCAATCTCTATGCCGGGCACCACCACTAGCGCCCTCCTTGCAGCCGCCGTCCTCCGAGCTTCCAACGCCAACCCTAGCGACCGCATCGTACGCAGCGTCACTCGGTTCCGTACGACAGCAAGGGAGTTCAGTCCCGATGGCAGCGCAAGCGCCTCCAGCGGCTGCGCAGCCGTCGCGGCGGCGCGCTGACGCGCGTCGCGCAGCGTTAACACCGGCCCGAGCCCGACCGACCCAAGGGTCAGCGCCGTCAGGTCCGGCGCAGCGCGGGCCAAGGCCTCCATGCCCTCCGGATTCACGCTGGTGTCCGGCAGCTCCAGGTCGCGTAGGGCCCTCATGGCGGTGAATGACGTCAGCAGGGGCTCAGTGGAGGCGAGTCCTTCAACTGCTAGACGTGTGAGGGCTGTTAGCTGGTACAGCGCACGTGCCAGGGATTGCGGCGAGGGACCCGCCGCGGCTGAGGTGTCGTACTTGCTTGACGACACGACTTTCGTTTCTGTTCCCTTCACCACTGTGCCTCGAAGTTCCAGGCATGTCAACTGGCGGAGCAGTCCTAAGGACTGCATGGCGGCCGCGGCGGAGGCAGCAGCGGCAGCGGGATGAAACGCCGTCACGAGGCCGCCGCCGGACCGAGCCGCGGTCCCTGCTGAGGCGCCGATAGGCTGGAAGGACAGCGTCAAGTGACGGAGGTGCACGGCCGTCTGCAGCTTTGCCGGAAGCAGTTTGGGCCAGCCTAGGCAGCCCCGCAGCTCCAACTGTTCCAGCCGCGGCCCGGCGGCGGCAACTAGAGCCGCCAGCGCTGCCGCCGTCGCCGGCTTCGTTAGGTCATAACCATACAAATGCAGTCGCAGCGGTGGTGCTATTGAAGCCTGAACATACGGCACTCCTGGATGAGCAGCGGTGGGGGTGTTAGTTGAGCCGAGGGGCGCCGCTGATGTCGTCGCCGCCGGCGCCAGCAGCGGCTGCAGTGCGCGCAGGGTGCGGCTGGAGAGCGGCACTCCGCCCAGGTGTATGGAGGCCAGCTCGCCAGGCGCGCTGGCTAGCGGAACGAAGAAAGCGAGCCTGAAGGGAGGTGTGCAGGTTAAGGTGGGGAACGTGTGGGTCAGGACACCGTGAAGCGGGCATGCAAATGCGGTCTGGGTATTTCCCTGCCCAGAAGCTTTGCGGTGGACGACAAATAGACCTACCCTCGCTCCTGCCGCCGGTGCTCGTTTCCACTGTCAAGACAGAGAGCAAGCAGGTGTGGTCTGCATCCTCGTGCTATGATGCCGTGCAGAGCTGTGCTAACCTCGGCATCGGCGGCAGCAATTTCAAGGCGTGGCGGAGATGCATGCCGCAGATGCCTGTCCGAAAGGACAGCTCCGACAAACGCATTCTCACAAATGCAAATTTTTGTAACAAGCGAGTCGTGAATGCGACGGCCCTCCCGGCAACTTAGGCGTAGGGACAGTCGGTCAGACTTGGAGAGATAGGACCAGAAGAGCGGTACAACATCAAGGGGTGTATTCTCCGACGAATGTATGTATTTCGCATCTTTCTGAGGAACTACCGGACGTTCTGCGCCCCTCTCTGTGGTTGGCTGTCGCTCGGATGTTGTTCGCGGCGAGCCTCTTAAGCACGCCAAAAGAACGTCAACCCAGTATGGATGCACCATTTATGTTTGAAGAGGTATCTCTAGTGTCAGGTTCGTCGAATAATCTAGTTTTGCCGCTTCGGGGTGCCGCGGTTACGCAAGCATAAACTCCGGAAGGCCGAACCCTTTTCGCAAATGGCTACGAAAGGAAACCTAAATAATTTATGCCATGTCAATACATGGCATGTCAATAATTGGCGTTCCGGTACGTCAGTGCGTGCACCATACATGCAGGACACCGGCAGAGCTCGTGCATTTCCATGGTGATGCCCGGTCGTTCCAATGCCATGGTTTCAGACATTCCCCTTACTACCTGGTTTTTTCTTAAGTGCAGATGACTGGCTGATGCGGATGTCTTTTACATTGCACACGTACCGGTATGCTCTTCCCCTTTCATACCCCAGCATCATCCTCTACCCACTGCCATGCTGTTGTCTAGAAAACTTACAGATCCGTATACCACTTTGCCAAAGTATGTTATCTGGGTATAAGGATGTGTAACACCTTGCGTGACTGTGGCACGCAGGGTTTTGGGTGGTGTTGATAGGGAGGATCTATCTAGATCTATCCATGAAAGGTCTTACCGTCAGTCAGTTTGCTAGACGATTCACAGACGGTTGGACTTGGGAATACTTATGGGTCCTTGGCAAAGGGTAAATTGGACCGGGATGCCATGTCACATAGTAAAGGCTCATGAATATATGGTCTTCAAGAAGTTGCCTAAAAGTAAGGAACCAATATTCTGTTGTGGTTCTGCCAATTCGGCTACCAGGGCCAATGGATCATAAGAGAGATTTAACATGATCAGCGGGGCCTCTCCATGCTCGTCCTGTAAGCCCGTACAATCGTCCAAGTGCGCATTCTTCTTAACTCTCTCGATGGAAACTGTACATCGCAATTGTATCTAAACTACTACAACTACTTAACAATGTCTGGCCGTGGCAAGGGTGGTAAGGGTCTGGGCAAGGGTGGTGCCAAGCGCCATCGTAAGGTGCTCCGCGACAACATCCAGGGCATTACCAAGCCCGCAATTCGCCGTCTAGCACGTCGTGGTGGCGTGAAGCGTATCAGCGGCCTCATTTATGAGGAGACCCGCACTGTGCTGAAGACCTTTCTGGAGAATGTCATTCGCGACTCGGTGACCTACACGGAGCACGCTCGCCGCAAGACCGTCACCGCTATGGACGTCGTCTATGCCCTCAAGCGCCAGGGCCGTACCCTGTACGGCTTCGGTGGTTAAGCGGCTTATTCTGAAGAGCAAGCGACAAACTTACAAACGGTGTCTATCGACACCACCTTTACGGGCTGAATCATGTCTTTCATGTTTGTCTATCGCTTGGCTCCTTCCCAAGCCAACATGCTGTGCTCGCTAGAGGCTAGCTATATAGTCAAACGCGATGACTGCCATATTACTTGCATGTGCGCAAATCACAATGCCTAACACTCACCGCGCGCACATGTCGTTCTCAAAGTGCCACTGCGGGCATCCAACGAGCCCATTGCTGGTAGTCAGCATTCCGATACTAACTCTCACATGGCCACATTCCCAGCAAATAAACGCCTCGCCCGGGAAGCCAAACATCACTTGCACAACCACTCACGCTCATCAGCGCTACAGCCTACAACCCTACATCTTCCCGCCCAGCAGGTTCCCCAGCAGGCACAGCTGCTCCTCCGGCGCGCCGCTCATCAGGCGCCACAGGAAGCGAGGCAGCACCACCACACGCGCCCCGGCAGCCTCCAGCAGCCGCTGCCGCATGCGCGTGGCGCCCAGCGGCGTGTACGGCGCATTCCTGGTTGAGCGGGCCGGGTACATGGTTGTGTTTGTAGTACATGCAGGTATGGGCTGTTAGGCTGGCTTTATTAGAATACCGCAATGTGTTGTGCTAATGACCCTTTGCAGCCTTCCCGACCACGCCGCTATTGCGCTCCTCTGTTTGGCACTTTCGGCCTCTTATTGCAGCCTAAACAACGAGCCTCTGAAGATAGGTTACGGGAGACTGATAAGATGTATGCATAATACAACCTGAAGCGAAATTGGGGATCGATTGGGTCGAAGTGGGCTACGCTAATTGCACCCTACGGCACAGCAGCAGCTCACCTTGTGACGTCCTCCGGCCCCAACAGCAGCACCGCCACTGGTGGCGGCGGAGACGATGCAGACCCGCGGGTCGCTCTTCCGCGCCTGGTTGGCTGCTGCTTAGGCGGCAGGAGCAGCAGGTCTGCGACGGCGGTGTTGTGGGGCGTCACCCACCGCAGCAGGGGCTCGGAGCCCGTCAACTCCCGTAGGGCCTGCACGTGTGTGTAGAGGGGGCAGAGGCAATGATCGGGCATTGCTTAATGTGCGATTACGAGGATAACATCAAGTGCTACAGGCCACAGGCGCATGCACACTGCCGTAGGTTACGCCACCGACGCAGTGCAAGTCAAAAGGTACACACAACCACCGGCGGCTCAGATGACAACCTCCGTTTGCCAGCAGGCATGCACATACCCACCTCCGCAAGGCAGTGCAGGTGCCTAGATGCAGAGAAGCAGATTTCCCACAGCGCCTGCGGGTACCCTCCGCCTCCTGCACCCTGCCCCTGCCCTTGTTTCCTCCTCTGTACCCTGCTCCTGCTCTCTCACCTCCGCCACCTCCAAACGCCATAACCCTGGTGTCGCCTCCGCCGCCGCCTCCATACGCTGCTGCTCCTCCGCTGCCCACTCCGCCGCCGCCTCCTGACATGCAGACAGCAATTCAGCCGGCAACACCGCCGCCGCCGGATCCCCGCCCGCCTCCGCTGCCGCTGCTGCTACTGTCGTACCTGCTAGCCCCGGCCCCGTCGGAACAATCTCCAGCAGCTCCCGACCGGTCGCCTCATCGTGAACACGCTTGACGTCGTACGACAGGATGTCAGCTGTCGTACCGCCATTGCTAGCGCCGCTACCACGACTGCCATTGCGTCCGAGGGTAACACATCCGTCCTGAGGAGGGGCTGACTGGCCTGATGCTCCTTGGGAGGAAGGAGGCGGGATGCGGATCTCATCCCAGTCAACGTTTGACCAGGAGGCGTCGTACGGATCGTACGACACCTCGTCTTCGTACACCTTATGCTTGCGCCGCCGCTGGTGCTGTCGCGGATGCTGATGCCGGTCCGAATGCGCCTCTTGCCGGTCTTCATGCCGCCTCCCCTGCTGCTGAACCTCCTGCCCCTCCTCGCGTAATATAGCATAAGTCATGCCTGCGCTCTTGGCGCTGTCACCTGCACCAGGAGCACCTCCTCCAGCTGCTGGTGTAGAACCGCGCACCGCACCAGCCTCCTCCACTGCAGCCGCAGCCTGCCCGCTGCCGCCACCACCCGCCCCCACATCGCCTCCCGCTGCCAAACTGCCGTACATCCGTGTAAACAGTCGGCCGCCACCCGCCGTACTTGTCGTACCCTGGCGGCCTCGCTGCTCCTGCCGTCCCTGCGGCTCCCTGCCATCCCGCCCCCCTCCTCGAACAGCCCCCGACCAGCCGCCCCCTGCACCCTCACCACGCCCCTCCTCTCCCTCATCCTCGTCCTCCTCGTACTCTAGTTCATCCCCCTCCTCCAGCAGCCCCTCCCCATGCTGCTGCTGCAGCCCCTCCCTTTCTTCCCTGCGCTCCGAAACCCCCTCCTTCACCTCCCCTCCCTCCTCCTCCTCCCCCTCCGCCACCACCTCAGCAAGCACGTGCGCAGCGCCGTACAGCTGTAGCAGCTCCTCCCTGCTGTAGCTCTCCACAGGGTGCCCGCCCAACTGCCGCGTCAGCTCCCGTACCAACTGCCGTACCTCGCCCCAACCGCCGCCTCCGCCTCTGCCGTACACTGCCCTCGCCGGCGGCAGATGCGGCGGCAGCACCACCGACAGCGCCCATAGGGCCCGGGCTAGGTCCCCGGGCGGCAGCTCCCCGCATCGGCCCCGCAGCGCTGCTGCCAGGGCTATAGTGGGGGATAGGTCGGGATGAACGCCAGCGGCGGCGCGGCGGCGGCTGAAAGGTGCCGCTGCGGAAGGGCTTTCGTTGGAGGCATCGATGAGGCCTAGAACTGCCGGGGCACCTGAGGAGGAGGAGCCGGGGCTGCCGGGGTCTAGGCCTAGCTGGGCTACTGCCCAGAGCAGCTCGCAGGCCTGAGGGAAAGGAGGGGAGGTGTACGGCACATGAGTATCACCCTCATGCAGGCAGGGCAGTCGTGGATGCGGGCAGTCCTTGTACGGCACTCAAGCCCTCCTAGCAGTACACAGCTGTTTGCAAATAGTGGGAAACACAGGGTATGTCACCGAAAGGGGACAAAGGTACATAGGCACCAAGCCCCACCCCGGCGGCTACTTCCCGCACCCGCGCCCCTGTGTTCGCACTCACCTCCTGCGCGCCCAGCTGTCCCTCCCTGCCCCGCTGCGCCAGCGCCCTCGCCAGCCCCGCCCCCGCGCCCGCCAGCTGCTCGTCCCGGTGGCCCAGTCGCGCCAGTGCGCCCAGCAGGCCGCTCAGCTGCGGGCCGCTCAGGTGGCGCAGACGCCGGCAGGCGACCTGAGGAAGTAGGAGGGGAGGAGGGGAGGATGAGGTGGTAGGAGCTGGTAGGTGGTGGGGAGTTGGGAGGTAGAAGATGCGGCAACGGTGGGAGGGGACGCACCGCACCGCACGCACCATTGAGAACGCAGCGCATAACGCCTCGTCGTAATGCCCAATCGCCGCGTACGAACGAGCCAGTAACGCCAACTGATCATTGTCGTACAGCCCCTTGTACGGCGCTGCTACAGATGCCAGTGCCGCCAAGAGCTCAGGATGAGCCTGTTGCGTCCTTACGAACGCCCAGACGAGGTTGCTGACGGCGACGGCGTCCAGTGGCGCCCGGCCGCCAGCGACGATGGCGGCGGCGACGGCTGCGGCGCTGCTGTGCGACGGCGCGGCGGCGGCGGCGTCCTCCACTCGCTTTAGGTACGGTGCCAGCAAGGCGAGTGTGGCGGCGGAGAGCTGCTCGAAGAGGCGCTCATCGGGAATGCCGACCTTGGCGTAGGCCCAAGCGACCCTGCATGAGGACCCATGGGTCAACGTTCAGCTAACCTACTCATGTTGGTCAGAAAGGAGTCAAGAAATTCACACCCCCAAAACTCAACAAGCTCCGATATGTTTTCATTCTGCTCTCAAATCGTTTCATCCTGCCTTCAGAGCCGTCGCGGCCCCAAGCGCACAGCTTGCAACCTACTTTGCCAGGTGCTCCCCCTCCATCTGCCCCTGCGCCGCCCGCGTCCCCGCCGCTTGCGCCAGCCGCTCCCAGATGCGCTCCATCGCCACCGGCACCATCCAGATCTGGTCCTGCTGCTGCTGGGCCTTACGCCCGCCCGCAGCCGCAACGGCTTTACCGCCGCCGCCACCGCCGCCCTCAGCACCGACCAGGACAGCCGACTCCGCCGCCTCACTGTCAGCTAAGGCGTCCCGCTGGGCCTTGCGCCGCTTCCGTTTCGTAGCGCTGGCGGCTGCACCCGTGGCGGGGCTGTCACCGGTGATGGCAGCGGTGGCTGCAGCAGCGGAAGCTTCCACCTCAGCGCCACCAACCATCGCCTGGTCGGCACCTCCGCTGCTGCCGCCACCTCCCTCCAGAGCTGCTGCTGGCGCCGTACCCGTTGAGCCGTCAGCAGCAATGGCAATGGTGGCAGTAGCAGCAGCCCTGTCACTGTCCGACTGCGCACGGACGTAACCCACGATGCGTGCCCCAGGCGCCAGGCGGGCAGTGTATGCGGGGCGCTTGATGGCTTGGTGCATGTCGCCGTACAGCAGCTGCAAGGACGCCAGGCCCCAGGCCAGATCCGCAAGTTCCGGGCCTTGACAGGAGCGAAGCTTGCGGCTGTAGTAAGACAAGAGTGCCGTACAGATCTGCGGTACGGCTTCTGGAGGCGCGTAGTGCAGACGGGCGTAGGCGGCGACGCAGCGGGCGAGGGCGGGGCCGCCGACCTCCTCCACGTTGTGAAGCGACCCGTGGGTCAGGAACCTGGAGAGTATGCAGCCGTTTAGAAGGGCGGTGGCAGCGAAGATATCGGGAGAGGGTAGGTCGCATGCCACAGAGCGCATGGAAGGAAATGTGGAGATGCCCTCAATAGGAATTAAACGTTGTCGCTAACCTATGGAGTGGGGTAAGCGTACGGCAACTCCTTCTTAACCCCACCTGATCAGCTGCCGGGTACGTGGCCCCGAGTTGCTACCCCCAAGATCCAGCTCCGGCAGCCGTATAAGCAGCTCCGCTGCATGCTCGCTTCGGAACCAAGATCCAAGTTCGTACAGCAGCATCTCGACATCACGCAATGTACGACACTCCGCGATACGGCGCAACAGCTGCTCGTTGACGTCCTCATCACCCAGTCCGTCGGCAGCAACAGCGGGCTGGCTGCTGCCCGCGACACGGACGTCCCGTACAGATTCCGCGCTATGAGCAAGGGATTCTTCGCCGCTACTGCCTTTAGTTGGAAACCCGGCAGCGCTGCGGCCGCTGTAGCTGCTGCGGCTGCTGCCGGCACCGTCAGAGGGCATAGCGGGCGCATCACCTCGGGCCGTCGCCTCCGCCGTATCAGCGGAGGCAGCATCGACGAACGAGCCGCTGCCGCTGCAACCACTACTGACATCAACCGCCGCTTCCGTTCTGGCACCTGCCCTTCCAGTTTCAACCGCCGAGAAGGCAGAAGAAGCGGCGCCAGCGGAGGGAGGAGGAGGGTCCATCTGCTGCTGCCGCTCTCCGCTACTGGTCCGCCAGTGCAATGCCTTGCCTGCTTCCTCAACACTGCCGGCGGCTGCACGTGGTATCTCACCATCGCCTCCGGTGCTGCTGACAGCAGCAGCAGAGGCAGCAGGCCCTTCCCGGGCCCTGTCCAAGGACGCCCGTATCCGCCTGAGACGCGCACGGAGCTCCTCTTGTGCTGCTTCCGGCACCCTGTCTGCTCGAACGCCCTTAGCCTGCCGTGCTGTTACCTGCGCCCTTCCCCATGTGTCCACATGCTCGGCTGCTGCAGGGCCATCAGGGCTTGTAGTTGCGCTGGTACCTGCTGCGGTTGCAGCCGTGCGCGGCTTGCTTACATTTGTCGCACAAAGGGCAACACTAACAGTAGGGCCAGGTGTATTGGAGGTATCGAGAGGAGGGTAAAGGGCGGGAGAAGGCGGGGTCTGCTCTGAGCCAGCGCCGTTGGTGGTGCAGAGATGCCGGCTGCCGGCTAGTGGTCCGTGCGAGCAGTTGAAGAATGCCGCATTTCGCAATGAGAGCCCGGATAACAGGGCTTGTGGGATCTGCGTAGACGGGAAGAGGATTGCCTGTAGTGGATAGCTAGTTGCAAGCAGTCGTAATGATGTTGCAACGATTTGCAAGGCGGGCACCTTTGGTCAGGTCTACACAAGTCTGGAATCTCTCTATATGTGTAGCTGGTATACCTTTAACAAGTCGCCGCCACACGATGCAAAAGCCGGCAGTAGGCTATGGCCCGGCAACAACCAATGGAGGCGGTTCGGAACGGACATAACGCGCGTGTTGTTCTAACAATGAAGCCACTATTAAAGCTAGTTTAAATGCAACAAGCATGTAATCGCTCCATCCGTTCCGCCCGCTATCAGTTGTTCACGCGAGCTACGTTGAAGGCAACGGCAGCAGTCGGAGTTTCATACGAAAACGGAGATGTCAAGTTTTAGCCTTGTACAGGCATCCGGCTTACAGTGCCCAGGAGCAGGAAGATTGCCAAACCTGCGCCGAAACCAAGGACGACCTAGAAAAGCCGCCCGGCCTCAAATGTAAGAGCGAACAAAGCGCCCGGGCCGTGATAGGCAAAGCCATCTTCGGTGAGGAGCACACACAACCCTGGCACACCACGCGCGGATACCCCCGGACGTTGCAAACCATGATGGCGCCTTACCACACGGTCAGTTAGTTATTATCCTCTTCACACCACACAGGGGCTTCTGCGGCTCACCTGCGCGGCGGGTGCGGCTTTCCTGCACTGGTGAAGAGCAGGTCAAAAGACTAGGTGTTCGCATGGCACGAGCTCATAAGGTGAGTAGAGACATGCATACCGGTATCCCCAGAAGCACGTTCAGGACACCCAAGAGTTAAATCGTATTGAGTGATGCAGCCATCTGCTTTGTTCTCTTGGTCCCTTCAGGCATACACTCACTTGACCCTCGTCATGTCTTCTACATGTTCCACCTCCCACTTGCTCACGCGTGCTACCGGAACCTCGTAACGTACGGCACCGTAAGGAAGCCATAGCGTACGGCAACATACGGGGATTGTTTTAGTAAGGCAAAACTCGGTTAAGTCAAGTCGAAAGGAGCAGAAAAGTTCCAACGCATGAAGGTCAAAACACACGGCAATACACACTTCGGAAGAATGTCCAAATGCGAACCCAGTCATGACACAAAAATGCACACCATGCTCCTCTCCCCTCTCCACTGCTTCTCCACGAGGCACTGCTACCATCTTCATCGGTGTCGTAGACAGCGCTGCTTGTGCCGTTGCAATTCATGATGTCGATAGCGGGTACGCAATGGCCTGAGAGGTGGTGGTTGTGGTGGTGATTGGCTGTGGTTCCGTCAGCCGCGGCGGTGGCGACAGTGGCGACAGCTGCGGAGGTGGTGGCTTCGGCCACAGCCTTTTCACGCAAGGGATTGCGCGAAGGAGCACCGCTCAGTACGGGCGCCTGCAGACAGGGAGGCATGCGGGTAAAAAGGGCGGTGGCAGGCAGCAGGTATGCCAGGTAGCACACGATCATGTACCAGTACCAACTTCGCGGAGCGCTTACGGTAGTAAGCTTTGCTTAGGAAAAGTTAATTAACACATTCCGGTTCTCGACACCTTTTTTTGAGCCAAACGAACTGTCCCTTTGAGCATTGTTTCCAATGAAGGCTTCAACTAGCGGGCTGCATGGTGCGTGCTTACGACACCATAGTCCCCTGTACAAACATCATGCTTCGCTTTCCATGCAATGGCAGCCCTCACGTCGGCAGCTTCCACGACAGCAGCCCTCACAAGGTAGCCTTCCGTCTCCAGGTTACCCTACCGACGCCGCAACCACCCACCATCACAAATGTTACTGATTCCACAATCCCCAGACACGCCCCTGCTGGGCTCCGTCCTTACCTTATCTCGAACCATACGCCCGAGCATAACTGGCAAAGATTCCAGTTGCTCCTGCTGTCGTTCGTGCCACTGACCGTCAGGGAAAATGTCAGGTGGCAACACTCACCCTCATAATGCCCCTCGATAAATAGGGAGGTGCGTTGCGTCATTCGCAAAAACTGATAACGCCTCTATTCGAGATCCTGAGTCCTCGGCACCTAATCCCACGACGCGTTTGTTGCAGGCAATGGCTGCAAAGCTAGGATACTCCTTTCGCAATCCGCAAAGCCATACAAACAAAACTGAATAATAACAACAGCTAACAACTGGTTAGCAACATCTTTGTGTCACCACTCATGTCACCTGCCACATGCCACGTGGATGCATGAGCATGCAACGCCCTAACGCAAGGTAAACGACAGCCATAGCAGCAGCATGCAGCACTAGCCGTAGCACACAGCCTTAGCCCTAGCAATATAGCTAGCAGTTGCAGCAGAGCATGCAGGGCTAGCAGTAGCAGTAGTCGTACATGCTGTATGCGTTCTGCGGCAGATCTAGTCGTACGGTTCCATGCGGGACTCCGCAGGCCGCATCCTCCAGCAAAGAGGGTGTCTCTAAAATCTGTTCGGGAGCAATGAGAGGTGGCGGGAGGTGGGTTGCCGGCTTCAGCCATGATGCGAGTGTCATCAAAAGGATATGTAGAAAACTAGGTGCGACCAAGGCGGGAACTAAGGAAAAGCGAGGGAGAGGGCGGCCGCAGCCCCCAGCCCCTCCATCGCTTGGCAACCTCCCTCCACAGATTCCACCCGTCCCCACTATCACACCACACATTGGAATTTCTTTTCCCGTCCCCACCTTGAGCACGAGCTCCTCGAACGCAGTGGCAACCGCAACGTTGGTCTTGGCGGACGTCTCAACGAACAGGCAGCCGTGACGACGAGCGAAGTCGCTGCCCTCATGCCAGCTCACACGCCGGGCGTCGCCCTGGAGGCAAGGCGCGCCGCGGGCGGATGGATTGGTTGCATGCAGGGCCGGCAACATGGACACCGGGAGCCAAGCAGCTGTTGCGGTCCCAAAAGGCGTAACGTGCAGGCGTTAGCACAAGTAACGGCCCACGCCAGCACTCCCTCCGCAGTCTACCGTATCCTAAACCCACAACCCAACAGCCCCGCCCGGCGACCCACCACGTCCACCTTGTTCGCCACCACCATGCGTACGGCCTCCGGCTCCGTGCCGTACAGCTGCAGCTCCTGCAGCCACTGCTCCTCCAGGTGGCGCAGCGTGTCGGGGCGCGACACGTCGTACACTGCAACAGCGGGGGAAGGGAGGGGTATGTGTACAAGGTTAGGAAGGGGAGGCGAAGCGTGGACGGGGCAGAAGTGGATGCTAATGGAGGCCCCGACCCCAGGCTTGCTCTACCAACTGACTCACACCCCAATTTGGCCGTTCAGCCCAAGCTAACCTGCCCAACTCCGACCGCCCACCCTACCAATCCCGCAATCCCTCTCCCTCTAGTCTCCCCCCCACCTAGTATGATTCCCTTGGCCCCACGGTAGAAGGTGCTGGTGAGCGTGCGGAATTTCTCCTGCCCCGCCGTGTCCCACACAGTCAGCTTTACGCGCTTGTCGTACACCGACAGCCGCTTCACAGCGAAGTCAACGCCTGCATGGAAAGGTAGGAAAGGAACGCAGTTGAGGGGCGATGTGCGCATGGGCATAAGGGCAAGAAAGGGCATTACGGGTCAGCGGCAGGCGACCAGACAAGCCCCGGGCTGTCAAGGCCTGGGCTCCAAGCCGGTACCTCGGGTACGGTAGGTACGGAGGGAGCAAGCTGTCGCGCATCGCAGAAAGCCACTCCGACGAGAGCACGCGAGTGGCGTACCTATGGTGGAGGCGACCTTCTCGTCAAAGTTGTCGTGCGCGAAGCGGGTCAGCAAGCATGTCTTGCCCACGCCGGAGTCGCCAAGCAGCAGGATCTGGCGCATTGGTCCGTAGTGTTGGGGGCGCGTAAACACAGCGACGGGAGTGAGGATAAACGGCATAAACTTAAGAGGTACAGAGGGGTGAGGGATAAGGAAGTGAACGAGAGTGAAGTAGGACATGAACGGGTGGGGTTATGACTGAGGCTTAGAAGGGAAGGAGGTGGGCGAGCAGGGGGTACCGTACGGATGCTTTAGGATGAGATGCCCCAGACACGAAAAGGGGACAGCGTGAGAAGCCAGGCATGGGGGAACACCTTGAGGCCACGACACAAGAACTGTCCAACCTTGAGGGTGAAGTCCACCGCGCCCTCAGCTGGCTGTAGGTCCATCAAGTCAGTTGGTGAAGACTGAACTAGTCACTTGCAAGCATCTGCTATGTGTAAGATGTTTTTCATTCCTACATGTCTATGTGTGCTGCAGCATAAATCCTGGCAAGCCTAGGGTAGGACGTTTTCGCCCCTGACAAACGCCCCGGAAAGTTAGGCTTTTGCTGCCCACGTTGACTTCGGCCGTGTACTAGAACGAATTCCAATGGAAATCACGTTGACAAGACCTACGCTCTGTTAGCCCTCTACAATCATGACATGACGACGGTCCCATCGCGCATAAGGCCCATGGCAGCAAAGAGCACTTAATAGCCGAAAACCCGACTGAGGCGTTTCAAAGTTATCTGCCGCTCAAGACAAACCTAAACAGTTAACGGCTTCTTCCGGGCCACACTAGCAACTCCGCGCCCGGGCTTCGCCCGCGGCTTACGCCATCATCCCTCAGCTCACCTCAACGCGCAGCCTCTTTTTTCTACCCAACTATCAACCTTAGGCAAAATGACTGGCACCAATAGAAAGCTTGAGGGCCGCCAGGAGGCTGTCCTGCGGCAGATGAAGGGGCTGGGCCTTCGCAGGCAGTCCAGGTACCTACCACGCTTCCTGCCGGCTTCTTAAGGGTCCCCGACTAACTTGACACCTTCACCGCAGGTCCTATGCAACCAACCTTTATGATATCGACTCAACTTCTCAGCTTACAATCGCCTCGGACGCTCCCTTCGAGGACACCACAGAATATGGGGAATCCACCGTTTTGCCGTCGGTCGACTGCGGCGAGTACAGCGACGCCTCCTATTCGGAGCCAAATGATGAGAGCGTGTCTCCATCTACTAGCTTCTCTTCGGGGTCCCCGCGCGCCGCCTTCCAAAGCCCCGCGGGTTTGAGCAGCGAAGTAAGAACTTGCTGAATATTCTCCTGCCTTATTAGCCTTGTTATAATAGCTTCCTTTTATACCTGTGTAGGATTTCGAGTTCCTCCAGGCGCACGGACTCGAGCGGTGCAGCCCGCTGAAGGACCTGGGACAGGGTGGCTTTGGGAATGTGGACCTTGTGCAGGTAGGATTTAAAGATATTTTTTTGGCCTATGCGGTTTAGCTAGTTGCTTATTGCCTGAAAACTTTCTACGGTTTCTGTCTCGGACGTTGTTAAAGGTCCATTCCTGTCTGTCGTTGCCTCTTGTAACGCAACTAGCTCGAGTAGGCTTCATTCTGTATAATACGAACCTTTGGTGTATGCCTGCAGATTTCTCTGCCCAGCGGCCGCAACTTCGTCGCCGCGAGGAAGATTATCCACTCGCCACTTTACGCACAGGCTCGTTACGAGCGTGAGCTGCGTGGCCTGGTGCTCTGTGCTGAGTGCCCCTTCGTGGTGGACGTTTACACGTCGCGCGTTACTGAAGATGGCCAGTTCGAGTTCCTCCTCGAGTATGCACCCAACGGCACGCTCCATGACATGCTCAAAGCGATGGAGCAGCGTCGCCGCGGCAAGGACAAGCTCCTTATGCCCGTGAACCGCATTCAATACTACACAGCTTGCATCCTCGTGGGCTTGCAGTTCATCCATAAGCGGGGTCAGGCGCACCGTGACGTCAAGCCGGGCAACGTGCTCATGGCTGCCAACGGCCGCCCCATGCTCGCCGACACGGACAGCATGGACAGCGTCACGGTCACCAAGCGTGCGGGCACCACCAGCTACCAGGCACCGGAGCTCTGGCGCGCTTCGCTGCAGGGCCCGGGCTACACCGCCGATAAGGCGGACATGTACGCCATGGGCATCACGCTTGCAGAGATGACCGCTTACCCAGCCGGCGGTAACGGTAAGCTGCAGCAGCTGAAGGATGACCCTGTCGGAAACACGCCAGCCTACGTGCCAGCTGACCTGAAGGACCTGATCTGCGGGCTTCTGGCGCCGGCGGGCAAGCGGTTGACTGTGGAGCAGGCAATCAGCCATAAGTTCTTCGAGGGTGTGGACTGGGAGGGTCTGAAGGATGGCCCGCTGGGCATCAATGTTCAGCTGCGCCAGGCCCCGTGATTGCGAGGCGTTGCAGTGTGGGGTGTTTTATCCAATATGCATATTGCGACCAGTGATGGCTGCAACTTGGTTATGCTGCCGTCATAAATGATGGATGACGCTGACCTTGAAAGCTATGCCTATTGCCTTGGTGTTGTGCCGTATTTTTTCAGCGTGTGGGTGGGTGTTGTGCGTATTTCAGGACTTGTGCCCTCGCGCTAACTGCGTGCAGGTATTGTTTCCCCCAAAAGTGACTTTAGTTACGAGTAGCCTGAGTGTGCATGTTTGTGATTCAAGAGCGCTTCTTTGAGAGAGCATATTCGGTTATCGCACTGATGGTCCGCAACTTCACCTCGTCCAGAACCTTCGCCTTCTCCCGTTGACGAGCACTGCTTCTCACCTGGCTTCAGGGCAGGTTGGGATGACCTTGCGTGGGTTTTCAGGGGTGTGTCTGCGTTTACAACATGGGTATGTTTCCGAGATGGGCGGTTATGTTAGCGTGTGTAGAGTGTTTGTTTTTGAGAGAAGAGAATCAACTGAAGTTCTTTCAAGTAGTTATTAGGAACGCGCCGCACGCGCGGTCTGCCAATAAGCATCTCCGGCAGTGCTATTGCTGTCGGGGTCTTCCTAGCATTCTTTGCCTTCACCTGTCTGCATATCGTGTAGGTTGGCTGTGATGGAGGTAAAGTCTATGACCCGCGTGTTCTAAACCTGATTATGTCTTATGCACACTTGATTGAGGAGCCGTACTAACGAATGGGGATTAGTTGTCCTATTGCTAGCTGCTGGATGGTGCTGCTTAGCTCGTGCCCTTTAATAGAGGTCTATCATATCGTTTCGTGCCGTTCGATCATCAATGTTATTGGCGAAGAGAAGAAAAAGTCGACTAGGCAAGTTGTTGGGAGGTGCAGTTGAGCAGGGAGTCCCTCTTAACGGAGGGTATCGTGGATGAGGCGTCACGGTTGAGAGGAGGTTGGGGCCCTCGCTGGGCCTACGTTGCTGAATCTGGTTCGGAAACGTCCCCTTGGACGCGGCTGCAGAGGCGGATTTGTGTGGGCATGTGTGAAGTTTCGTAGACGTTCAGCTGGTGGTGTGTGACAATGATGCATGGGAGTATGTGGATTGGACTTGATGATCAGGACGTAGATGTGATGACTAGTATCTAGATGGTGGTGGCTAACAATGATGTTACAGACATGAGGGCCTTTGTAGGGGTTGGCTCCGAAACAGTACCGATATAGCTTTTGTAAAATACAGGCAATGCAGAAGGGAGAGAATTGTCGTGCCCATGTATCTGATTCCACCTGAATCCAATGACTTGTTACATCTCTGCTTGCACTGAGCTAGACAAGGGATAGTCCAAGACGTCAGCACAGCCCTCCCTCCTGCTTGGCAATTACCTGGCATACATATAATCTACTTACAATCGCTTTTACTATTGGCACCAACGCACAGCCGATGGGCTGAGACGTGCTAATGTACATCAACAACTATGGTACATGTAAAAACGGTTACTTGTCTATGAAGTAACTGCATCTAAGTCGCTCTTAGTGCTACAGATTACAAACCGTCGAACACACTAGGAATCCCTCCCTCATGCCGCCACAACCCCCGGCTGCCCCCACAAGTCCCCTGTCAGCCGCACGTCCGCCGACAGCCCGAACCAGCGGTCCCAGGTGTTTGCGTGCGCCCCCTGCAGTGCCACCCGCGACGCGATGGGCGTCTTCACCAGCATCTCAACCACCTGGCGCAGCGGCAGCAGCCCGCCGTAGCTCTGCAGGGGCGAGACAGGCGGACAGCGCTGCGGGTAATTTCGGGCATAACACGGTACTGGCACGTTCACAGGCACGGACTTGCATGTCCAGAAGTCATGTACACAGAGACCGGTATAAGCGGCGCTAACAACCCCAGCCGCAACCGAATTTGACCCATGGGTCACGTCCCCGCCACTCACGGACTCACCTGCAGCAGCCACACCACTGTGTTGTCCCACTGCTCCGGCGGCACTGCGATGACCGACGCCTCCACCACATGGTGCGCCGTCACCTCGCCCACCACCGTGCTCTCCCAGTCCAGCTGCGCGCTGATGCTCACGTTGGCGGCCAGGCGCACCACCTCGGGGGAGCCCAGGCTCTCGTTGGCCACCCGCAGCGACAGCCGGTAGTGCAGCTGCAGCTCGGTGCCGGAGGCGGCGCTGAAGGCCAGGCGGGGGCTGTCCAGAGCCTGAGGTAGGGCGGGGAGGGGTAGGGCAAGTCATGGTTTACGCTGCATTGTCGGCAAGTGTACGGTACATGCGTTGCACTTGGCTTGCAAGACACCGTCACGGCTGATGCCTGCCCTTCACAGCGTGCGTTCCTCTTTCCTAACGCCCAACCCAACCCCCTCCTCCCATCCTAGGTGCGCTCCTCCTTGCTCCCTCCGTCCCCCTTTCTTTCTTTGTTCTACTTGTCCTCGTGCTCTGTCTACCCTGTGCGCTGTCCACCCCTCCCCCCTTCCCCCGGCGGCGGCGGGGCAGCTCCTCCCGCACGTCGCCAAAGGTTCTGGTAAGCAAGCCTTCGGAAAGTAATATTTCTTTGCGTGTTTCTAGGATAGTGTCTCCGAATGCACTCACTGCATGAGTCGGGATATGGGACTTATTATATAGATTTCCCCCCTCACCTCCACATCAATGACCATGTGCTGGTGCGGGTACATGGTGGGCAGCTGCGGCACCAGCAGCGCCAACACGTCCTGACGTGCAGGGGTGGGGTGGGGGGAGGTGGGGCGAGGAGGGGAAAGGGGAGAGCAGCATGGGGGGGAATTAGGTGATCTGAGCCGCGAGGAAACACTGAGCGTGACCACAGGGGGAGCAGGCGGGACCCGGCAGCAGGGGTTCTCAAAGGGGCCTTTGTTGACGCGTTAAGATAACGGGACTGGGGGGCTCAGGCTATAACGCAGTGCACTAGCAGTGCTGATGGCACACTCGGGGGGCGGGCGCAGGGAGCAGCAGCTGCAGCAGGCGGTGACCGGCGGTGCAGGAGGCCAGGGGTGCCGGTTGCAGACCGCACAGAACAGGCAAGGCTAACGGGTCCTATGCCTCACGCTTAACCCTCACTGCCGCCGCACCCCGCATCGCGTCTGTCCCATGTGCGCATGCTCCGCAACTCCTTCACACCCTGCAGGACATGGCCCCTACCTCCCCAACAGTTCCCCTCCCTATCCCTCCCCCCTCCTCACCGTGGTGATGGTGATCCCCGGCAGGCTGCCGTCCCGGATGCTGCCCCTCAGCTTGCCGCTGCGGAACAGCCCCCACGCCAGGCAGTTGGCGGTGGCCTCGTGCAGGTACAGCGACAGGCCGCGCGCCTCGCCCGCCAGCTGCTCGGAGGAGAGGGGCAGGCGGGAGGCCTCGAAGGGGCAGGCGGACATCTGGGACACAGCAGCGGACCGGGCGGCGGCAGCGGACGAGGAGGATGAGGTGGAGGAGGTGGAAGCAAGGTGACGCCGGTGGTGATGACGGTGGTGGTGGTGGTGGTGGCTATGGTGGTGTTGGTGCAGGTGCCGATGCCGGTGGGATGCCACCACCTCCACCTCCTCCTGCTCCTGCGCTGTCTGAGACCCAGACACCCGTGAGCCTGTGTCCTGTGTTGTCCCATGCTGCTGCTCCCCTGCCGCAACCACCACCGCCTCCTCTCCCCCCGCGGCCGCCGCCCCAAGTGCGTCCGGCGCCGGGTCGGGCACCTGCACCTGTCCGTAGCCCTTCACCAGCACGTAGGCCGCCGTGTAGAGGCTGTACTCGAATGCGGCGCTGAAGGGCAGCCCGCTCACCTCCAGCCGAGTGGGCAGCGAAGCCAGCACCTGGTTCAGGCGGGCGGGCACGTCGGAGTCCAGCGCGGAGGAGACACCGTTCTGGACCTGGGGGCGGGCGGGGGAGGAAGGGAGTGAGAGGAGAGGAGGGAAGGAGGTGGGAGGGGGAGCATGGATATGTGAAAAGAGGCAGGCGCACAGCGGCACAAGGTGTGCCACTCTGAACCCAGACCGCTGTGCCAGACTGCAGCCCCCCCGCCGCCCCCATGTCCCTCCCTTGCGGGGTCGGCCCCCCCTACCTCCCCCCCACCTGCCGCTGCACCGCCTCGTTGAACAGCGACAGCACCGCCTGGTACAGCCAGTCAGCAGCGTAGCTGTGGATGGTGAGGTCAACCTGGGGGGGAGGGGGAGAGGAGAGGGGAGAGGAGGAGGGGAGCGGGGGAAAAGAAGAATCCAAGGTGCTGAAAGATAGCTGGGAAGGGGAGAGGGGGAGAAGCGGTGGTTGGAATGGCATGCAGGGGCCCAGAGCAACACAGCGACGGCCACACACCATTGTCAGTGCACATCACTCCTCCGCCCAGCTCCCAATCCGCTGCCCCCACCTCCCGCCTCCCACCCCGCTGCCTCCCACCCACCGAGTTGAAGTAGCTGTTGGCCGTCACCACCTGCAGTTGCGGCTTCTGCAGCTGCTCGTCCTTGCGCACATCGAACACCCAGTCGATGGTGCCGCCTGGCGGGTGGACAGGAGGTGGGCGGAGGCAGCAGCAGAGTGGGGGGAGGGCTATCGTATGCCGCTGTGCTCCCCTCGGGGTGGGCCGCCGCTCCCGCTCCCTACTGCCCCACTGCCCTACTAGTACCGGTATTCGTGTACAGACCGGGTTGGGAATCCCCTCCTTCCCCCGCCCCCCCTCCCGCCCCCCCCGTCCATTAGCTCTCACCCTGCAGCAGCAGCTCTCCCTCCCCGCTGCCCGACAGCCCCGCCTTGCTCCAGTGCCACTTGAAGGCCAGGCGGGCGCTCAGGTCGGCAGCCAGCAGGTGGAAGAAGCCGTCACCCAGGATGGTGCTGGCGGAGGGGAGGGGAGGGGAGGGGAGGAGAGGGGAGGAACAGGTCGAGGAGGAGGTGAAAACGTTGCAGGCGGTGGGGGAGAAAAGGATGGAGGAGTTGGACAGAGCTATTTCAACGTCATTGTCTCACAGGTTGGTGCGGAGTGGGGTTACCATGTGAGAGGTGCATATGTGGCGAAAAGGCGCTTAGACGCCAGGCCTAAAGTGGGGTTCACCCTGCGTGTACCGGTACCGGTACTTACAGGTTCGCGCCGCTAGGGGGGCATGTGAAGTTGGTGACGGCGATGTCGCTGAGCTGCAGGTCGAAGGAGCCAACAACCGGGATGTTGAACCTCTTGGACACGTCGGGGATGACCTGGCCTTGGAGCTTCTCGCCCAGGAACATGAGCGCCACTTCCATGGCGTAGTCAAAGAGGCCCTGACGAGCAGCGATCTGAAGGCGGGAGGTGGGGCAGCATGGGAAGAAAACCTTGAGCCCAGAAAGCGTGAGTTGCGGTATGGCGAGGGATGTTGCAATGGGGCAGATGTACGGTTGGGTTGCATAAATGCACATGCAGCACAAGGATCTATGCATAGAGGAGGAGACAGCATCTTGTTAAACTGACCGCAATACCAGCTGGCCCCGCCATGAACGAGCGCAGTTCCGCGTCATCCGCAACCGATGCAGTCCTCGTTGTCAACTGGTCCTTCATACCGGCCGGCTTCTGTATTCTTAATGGCCAAATACCACGTAAGGAGGGTATTGCATGGCAGGCGTGTAGATGACCAAATACAAAGAGCACGGCAACGAAGCGCAGGGCCATGCGCCTCGTCATTTTCGCTGCAACTGAGACCACCCAGAACTATTAACGGGTTGCAACTTTTAAGCTATATGTGCGTGGATGTTCAGAAGTATTTTAAGTCCCTCCGTTGGGCAGAGACTGGGGTTGAGGCCTAGCGGCCTAGTGCGTTGAGGTGTGTTGAGCCCTTTGAAACCTCTACCATAAACAGATTACTTATAATCTAACTATCAACTGAGAATTACAAAAGAAGCTAGCTAGCATGCTCTGATGGGTGGACGAGCAACCGCTGTGTCGCAGCGTACTGCAACATGCCCATAGAGAAAGCAGCTTACGCACGCTGAGCTTCGGCAGACTCATGTTCATAGCAGTTAGGACGTTGGTGACCACCCTCCTGAGGCTTTCTTCAAGTTAGGGAAGGACCCGAGCAACCGCATCAAAAACAAAACCCGCACGCACGTTGCTGTCCATGGGGCACTTGCGACAGCCCTTCAATCCCCCGTGCTGACACACCAGCACCAGACAGTTAACAGCGACTTGCGTTCAAGCGGCTCAAGGCCTATAGCACAAGGCAACTAAACACGATATTAAAGACGCCCTAGATATGACAGTTTAAAACGCAAAACGCAAAAGAATCCAAGTCCAAGTCAATCTCCGTTGACACAGACGAAACCCTCAGCTAGTGCCGATAGTAGGATCCAATAGAATGGCAGTGATACAAGTTCGTACCCACTTTTGACGTCCCACCAATGAATGCACGCACACACCACGCTCTTCGTCCTTTGTCACCTGCGTTTGGTCTCCAATGCCTAACCAGCCGAATGCACCCCAAGAAAGTCGACCTTGTTCCTCCATGCATGGCTGCACATGCACGCATGCACACCCTACTCCCTGTGAACGAGCGCACGCATTCTTCAGCGCCGCAAACCCAAGTCGATGTACCTCTCACGGTGCTGCTACCCTTGCTCCATAAGTAAGCCATCACTGTAGGGTTGGGTTCACCACCCATGTTCCCGCTTAGCGAGACATTGTAACCGACACTCGTCAATCACTCACTGCTGCCGCCGCGCTATGCCACCTGACGCACAAGAACAGCCTTCGTGCTCTTCACCCCGCTTCGCAGCGGGCACGGTAGCTAGCATCACGCGACCCCTCGTCTTTCCCAAATATGTAAACCCCTCTTACGCGCATGCACTGTGCGGCGATATGTGCAAAAACCATATGTACAACCTACGAGAAAGCTCCATCAACTACATCCTGAAAACCATATGTATATCATATGTACGTTGTATACAGCACCCCTTACCGCAAGTATGACCCAACTCCTCTAATTGGATCTAGCACGCAGCCCTCGCGGCTGTGGTGCCAGTATGGTTACCAAGTGCCGCTCGTCCAACCGCTTTACCGTACACACACAGTTGGACGACACCAGCACCACCCGCCGCCCCTCGTCCCTGAACGCCAGCTGCACCACCACCCCCGGCCCCTCCACCAGCACCTCCTCCTCCTCCGGGTCGCCCCGCCGGGCCCCACGCTGCCGCCGCCGCTTGGTGACGAAGCAGCAAGCCGGCATATCGAACTGCACCCCGCGGTACATCTGGGTCACGTACGGTAGCGGCTCCCAGTGCTCCGAAGTGGAGGGAGCTACCTCCAGATACGGCGGCAGCCGTTGCTGCTGGTAGTGGTGGTTGTGGTACGGGTCGTTGTAAGAGCAAGGCTGGTTTAATGCCGCTGCCGTCGCTGCCGCCTCTTCTTGCCAGTCACACCCTGCCGGCTCCCACCCATGCCGCCCAGTTGTTGCTGCTGCCGCCGCCGCTGCAGCCATCTGGATCCAGCCCTCAGTGCTCCGCCGCGCGAAGAACGCGGCTGCCGGGTCGCCACGAGGGGCGAGAGGGGGCCCCGCGGGAACCATGGGATCCACACTCCCAGCGCAGCCTGCATGTACGGCACAAGAGGGGATGTACGAAGACTGCGCACTGTTATTCCCCATGCCGCCACCGCTGTTGTTGCTGTTACAGGCTGCTCCAGAGGCCGGTGCGGGCCCTTCTGCTGCAGTTGCTGCTGCGCTGGGCGCTGAGGACCTCCGGGACACCACACCCGACATGAGCCGCTGGAACTGCCGCCGCTGCTGCTCCAGCTGCTCCACATGGGCCTGGCGTGCCTGGCAGAGGGCGGAGGCGCTGCAGGAGGCCGCAGCCGCCACATTCTGCAGGGCGCCCAGGAGGGAGCCGGTTGAGGGGATGCCGGAGGTGCTGTTGTTGTCCGCAGAGGAGGGAGCTAAGCCGGCCTCTGAGGTGTAGTTGAAGGGTTGGATGGGGGTGGATTCGGGGCCGGCGGGGGCTGATACGGTGCGGTAGACGCCGCGGGTATAGACGCCGCGAGTGTTGTTAGGTGGTGTTTTGGCAGCGCCGCCGCCGGTTGAGGTGCATCTGCGCAGCGGCAGGGCTGAGTTGTTGGAGCCGTGTTGGCTGCTAGAGCGGTTGCGATAGCGCTGGGAGGTACGTGGCGCGGGTAGCGGCTGTTCGCTGCTCCATGCTGCTTTCGGTTGGCATGCTACCGGGTGTTGCTTGTCGTTTAGCGGTCCAACGTGTCGTAACAACTCCTCGTATGTTGGCGCAGTTGGGTTTTGCCGGCAGCGCCCAGATGAGGCGTCTGGGCGCAGGTCGGAGCCCTTTCCATGGTTGGCAGGCCATGCGGTCTTTGGGCTCTTGTGGACCTGGGAGAGGGGTGTGGGTGCCTTTGATTGCACTATGCTAGGGCAGCAAAGCGCAAGTAGGTTTGCCGTTGAAGCAGGGCCAAGCTGGAATGGCAGCGCACCTTCGATGGATGTCCTTTGTTAACAAGAACGGTCATCCTAGAGTCCGTGACAAATCCGCGCACGTCCTTATCACAGCCATCTCGGATGTCGCAATCAGCAGGGAATACTCTGTGCCCTCTCATTATTTCTGTGCTGTAGCAACCTGCGAGGGCGACCGGCGCAGCATGTCACCTACTGAAGCAACGATAACGGCTATGGGCAAATGCGCCGCCATGAAAGACCTATTTTGCTAGTATTAGTATACACAACGGAGGATTGATGGATGGATGGTCATACCTTCGGTCCAGTCAGTAGTCAGTCTAGTCACTCCCGGTTCGCAGGTATTGGGATTGCGCTGTATTGTGCTCTTACAGATAACACGCCGATAACGCCTGACAAATATTTTTGCAAAATCCCAACAAGGATGGATGCATCAAGGTATGGTATTGCGTCTAGCTACAGTCGGTCAGTAGCAGTAGCCTGCTAGCAACGACGAGTCCTAATGGCATTCGCACAACAGTATACATAATAAAGTACAAGAGTTCCTATCAGCAGCCGCGTCTGTGACAGATAGACGCGACGTACGTGAGCCTGATGCGACTTTTGTACGATCAATTAACATCCTGCAGCAGGTTAATCCTCGGCTTTGCATGATCAAATGCATCTTTACTCACAAAACCTCAACATAACAACTGACTCAATCATCGACGTTCCTATGCCCATGCCGATAACTCTGCACCTCCCGAATCTGATCCCAACATCCCACGCATCGCGCCATGCTGCAATTCCACCACTCCGGCACTCCCACTAGCCTCACCTACCGCCCCGAATCCCCCTGCGCCACTCGCTTCGCCTCCTGCCCCGCCCGTATGCCGTTTATGACACAAGTAGTGCGCCAGCAGTCCTCCAGGGTACGACACAAAGACCGCGCCGCCTATCCGCTTGTGGCACAGCGAGCATGCGCGCTCCGAGGTAACCAGCACCCGGTGCTGCCGGACCTTCACCGCCTCCTCCAGCGCTGTTAGGTTCTCGCTGCGACGCAGTTGCCGTATCACTGCCAGGTTTCGGCGCGCTTCCAGCGTGTACCGAAGCGCGCCCTCCACCCAGGGGAGCACATCGGCCACTGCGACGCCATCCGGCAAGAGTGCCAGTACCTGAGGAGGGGCCGGCAAAGGGTTAAGAGTAAGGCGATCACTGATCATCCTAGCGCAGTGCGCGTTCCTTCAGTTATACAAAGGACGTGGATGGCATAACCTCTCCAAGGCCTGTTGTCACCAAGGCTTCGGGCCCTTCGCCTATGGCTTTCAAGTTCCCCATACCCTCAGCAGATAGCAGTGCAATTGGTCCGCCAAATCATGTCATACCATAGCTGGCCTCTTTTTCTACCCCACCCCCAGCCTTGTTCTCCTTATTTTTACCCCCAGCCTTGTACCCATCTTCGCCCCTCCGCACCTGCAGCGGGTCAAGCCGCTCCCGCTTCCTGCTCAGCACCCTCGACAGCGCCTGCCAGGTCGCAGCATCCAGCCGCGCACCACCGCCGCCACCACCCCCGTCCGCATCCTCCCATACCCCGCCGCCCAGGTACCCTCCTCCCAAGCCCGACTCCTCCCTGGCCGCCGCACCAGCTGCCGCAGCAGCTGCGGCCACAGCACCATGCCCGCCTGCCGCCGCCACCACCGCCGCCGAGGGACAGCTCTCCGGCCCGTCGTACAGCGCCTCCACCAGCTCCAGGTAGATGTCCCCGGGGTGCGCGGGGTCGTGCCCCAGCAGCCCGCCAGGCACCAGCCCGCCGCCGCCACCATGCGGTGGAAGCGGTGGCCGCGCAGCTCCGCCTCCACCTTTAGCAGTGCCAGCAGCAGCCGCCACCGCCGCGTCGTACACCCTGTCGCAGTATGCCTCCGCCGCCGTCAGGTCCCGCAGCGCATGCACGTACAGCCGCAGCGCCTCCCGGTGGCTGCCCAGCCGCTCCAGCATGAGCGCGCGGATCTCCAGCAGCTCCCCCGGCGGCAGCTTGTCCAGCACGTAGCCGGGGTCGATGTACGGCGAGGTGTACACCAGGTCTCGGAGCCGCTGGTAGAGGGAGGGGCCGGCGGCAGCAGCGGCCGAGGCGGCGAAGACAGCATCCTTGTCGTCAGCCAGGGCGGCCGTATCTGGCTCGGAGGTCGGGGCTGCTGCGCTTGTTGCGGCTGTGGGTTCGGCGGTGGAGGTGGAGGTGGGGGCAGGGGCTGCGGAGGACGGTGCGGGGGGTGGCTTGCCGACGGCGCCCAGGTTGCCGGCACTGGAGCGACGCGGCCGTCGGCGGCGCGGCGGTGGCTGAACGGCACCGGACTTGCCGGCCGCAGCCGAGGACGAGGGCGAGGGAGCAGCAGCAGGAGCAGCTGCCTTCTGCTGTGTGCGGCCTGCCACAGCGCTGCCGGCGGCCGCTCGCTTCTGCGGCCCCTCACTTGGCGTCCCAGGTCTGGAGCTCGTCGAGCTTCCCGCCCTCCCCGAGGGCCCCCCTGGAGCACCCCCTGCGCCGGCGCCGCCTGCCTCCTCCTCCTCCACCTCCAGCCCGCCTACCTCCTCCTCTTCCTCATCCGTCGACGACACCTCCGACCCCGCCTCACCCCCCGGCCCCTGCGCTGTTGCTTCCTCTCCATGCTGCGGCTTGCCCGCCCCGCCATCGCCTCCTCCTCGCAGACTGGCCTGCGAGCCCGCCCGCGACATGCCGCCCGGCGGGGTACCCACAGAGGACGCAGGTGCACTGGCAAACCGCCTGTGATGCTGCAGCAGGTGGTGGCTGCCGCCCCCTGCTCCTCCGCCTGTTCCTGCCCGCTGCTGCTGCTGTGCTGCCATGTGCGGGTGCAGGGCGGCGGCCAGGTCGTCTGGGAAGAGCAGCTGCGGCTGGTGCGGGTCGGGGCGGCGGGTCAGCAGCAGCTGCCGCAGCTGGGCTCCCCGCTGGGCGCTGCGGGCGCGGCTGGGGGAGGGGGGCTCCTGTGCAGGGGATAAACAGGAAGAAACGAGCTCACGGGGAGGGAGTGCAGGTAGGGGAAGAATGGTACAGCGGAGAAAGCTGATGGCATCCGGTCTACGCAACAAGTAAATACAAACAAGACCCTGACAGGACCTTCAGGAAACGGTCCTCTCCCTGTCCCTCTACCCCCGCCACCCACCCACCTGCTTTGCCTCTTGCCTTTAATATATAATTCCCCCCCTCCCCGCCCCCGGCCCCACCTTTGCCAGTATGTCCCTCAGGTAGATCAGCAGCAGCTCGTTGTGGTAGTCCTGCGGCAGCGCCACCCCGATCTGCAGCGCCGTCTCCAGGTACAGCCCGCAGTAGTGCGCGGAGTGGCGCCGCAGGATGGACAGCGCCAGCGAGGGGTCCAGGGGCGGCGACATGTGCAGCAGCGCGGACAGCCCCGCCTCCGGGTCGGCCGCCAGCATCCAGCCGGCGTGGCGGGTGATGACGGGCGCGTGCTGCGCGGTGAGGGAGACCAGGTAGCGCACGGCGGCCCACACGCCGGGCAGGCCGGGCAGGTCTGCCAGGGAGGGAGGGAGAGGAGGGGTGGGGGGATTAGCGGTACCTCTCAATCTGTGCAGACAGTTTATGAGAGAATATGGAAAAAGAAACCGGACAGGGGAAGTGTATTATTAATTTATTATTATTATTGAAAGTGCAAAGGCAGAAGGGTGGTAGCAGTTAGCAGTCAGCCGCACCGACCTTGTGCGGAATTCTCCATCCACCCTACACCCCCGCCCCACCCCCTCCCGCGCACCCGCCGCTGCTCCCCGTGGCTTCCTGGGCAGGCTGTCCGGCTCCTGGCTGAGCCGCCTCAGCAGCTCCAGCCCCTCCTCGTGGCAGCCGTTGTACTTGTACAGCGCAGCCAGCTCGGCGTACATGCCGCACTCGGACAAGGCCTGCGGGCGGGGGAGGGGAAAGAGGAAACAGCTGACTGACTGTAGGGGCGGGGAGAAACGAAGCATACCCAATGTGTTGAATGAGGCTGTGGGGCCGGGGAGGGGGGAGGCGTGTACAGGGTCAACCATGAGTTAGGGCGAGAAGGTGGAGGTGGAAGGTGGAAGATGCCTAACCCACGCCACACAACGGAGAAAGGCGACCCTGCCCCCTGCTGCTCCCCCCTCCCCCCTCCCTCCCTCCCCCGCGCACCTGCTCCCCCTCCCGCAGGTCCACCCGGTTGGCCAGCTGCACGAACCTCAGCAGCGCGCCGCTGTCCGGCAGCACCGTCAGCATGCGCACGATGGCGGTGTCCAGCACGCAAAGCAGCTGGCCGGGGGGAGGCGGGGCGGGAGCAGGGGTGGGAGCAGGGGAGGCGGTGGCTGGGGCCGGGGTGCGGGAAGCCTCGGCGTCCGCAGCCGCAGTCGGTGCCTTGTAGCCGCCGTTGGGTGTGGAGGGGAGCGCGGCATGCGTGGCGGAACTAGCGGCGCTGCCGTTGGCATGGGTGTCTGGGGTTGCGTGTGCGGGGGTGGTGCTGCTGCTGGTGCCGTTCGCAGCAGCTTCCGCATCCTCCCCAGCGCCCCTAGCCGCCTGCTGCTGCTGTTGTTGCTGCTCCGAAGCATGGTCCGCACCTCCCTCCTCCGCAGCCAGCGCTGCCATGGCGCGCGTGCGGTGACTCAGGATGTACGGCAGGAGCTGAGACACGGCGGTGACGTACGCCTCCCCGCTTGGCTCCGAAACCACGGGCAGCGGCTGGCCGGCAGCTTCCCGGGGCAGCAGGTGCTTGAACTTGTCGGGGACCAGGGAGGGGAAGAGCCGCAGGAGCACGAGGGCAGTGGTGGACCTGCCGCAGGATATCAGGGATATCCGGGATGTTAGGGCGCGAGTAAAGCGCATGCAAGCTGCGGTTGATGTTAACATGCCGGCTTCTGCTTCGTAGCTAGGACCTGCACTCCCCCATTTAATGCCTCGATCCCTCATATCAAAAAGGAGAAGACAGTTTGTAGATTGCCTCCCGACATGGGCGAGTTAACCTGCCCCGCTCCCCAGCGAAGGAACCTTCACACCAAAACAAAGCAAGCGACAAGCACCTTACTACCCCCCAGACCCTCCCCTCCCGAGTCCCGACTCACTTGCACAGGGCCAGCTGTGCCATTCCCTCGTCGTACTCCCCCGCCTGGAACAGGTAGTGCCCGTACGCCAGCCGCAGCCGCTCCTCCAGCAGCGCCCGCCGACCGCCACCGACACCGCTGACCCCCCTGCCGCCTCCGCCACCACCGCCACCCGCCTCCGCTACAGCAGCGGTGGCGGCGGCCTCTCCTTCCGCAGCCCCTTCTCCACTTCCTTCTGCCGCCTGCTTCACCTGCGTCCCCTCCTCCTCCTCCTCCTTTTCGTCCTCTACCAAGGCCGCTAGGGCCAGGGCCTCTCCGTACTCTCCCAGCTCCGCAAGCGTGTGCGCCTGCACCTCCAGCGGCACCGGAACCAGGCGGCAGATGCTACTGCCGCCGCCAGCAGCAACCGCAGCAGCACCGCCAGCTGAGGCAGCAGTGGGGCCCCCGCCGCCGCCGGTACTGCTGGGAGCTGCAGTGGTGGTGGTAGCAGTGGCGCCGCCGGCTACAAGGGCGTGGGTAAAGGGTATGCAGTCCATGCACATTTACAACCTGACACACCGGCATGGTGAAAGTCAACAACACGTCCAGTAGAGGGTAGATCCACTCAGTACGCCTAACCACGCTCAAGTCCACCCCAACGTCTATGCCCTCACCCCTCGACCCACTCCCACCCGCGCCCGCCGCCAGCCTCGCCGCCACAAACACCGCTCCGTCCTCCGCCACCGCCGGCGCAACGTGTCCCGGCGCCTCCGCCAGCGGCACCCGCTGTACGACATGCCCCTCCGCCACCCGGCGCAGGCTGCGCACCTCCAGCGCCCCGCCGGCGGTGAGCGCCACCGCGTAGTGCCCCACTGCGGTTAGAGCCTGCGGAAGGCAGGAGGGCGGGAGGGAGGAGAACGGCGGCGGGGGCCTGAGCAACAGGGAGCGAAGTGGAGGTTCCGTTGAGGAAGCGCCCCGGCCAAGCATAGGCGGCAGTAACTCGCATAGGCAACGGGAATAAACAGCATGAACGTGAGGGATGGCGCACAAGCCCGAAGCCGACCCCGACACAGACTAGCTTCCTGGCCCCAACCCCATCAGGTCGCTTGCCAGCTGACGCACCTGCAGCGGGTCGGACCAGGTGAGGTGGCGGCGGCGGCTGTAGCGCCCCTCCGCTGCGGCGTAGAAGTAGGTGGTGCTGTCGCGCGCCAGCAGCACCTCCTGGCCTCCCGGGCAGAGCTGCGCCAGGGGGTGCGGCGCGTAGCCGGGGGTGGTCACGTCGGTGGTGGCGCCTGCGGGTGTGCGGGTGGTGGCATGGGGGGGATTATATAAGTGAAACAACGAGTGAGGAGTGTTGGGGCGCTCTGTCGAAGAAGTCGTTGGTAGCTGGAAGGCCTCACACGAGCGCAGCCCCGTAAACCTGCAGCCCCAAGACCCCAAGCAGTGCTGCTGACGCTCGCCCACAAGTGCAACCTCCAACCGCGAACCTTCTCCCCATGTCTAGGTGGGGCTCTCCAAAGCTAGCGTGTAGCTGTGTCTTGGTCCCATTCCACCACAGCAGCACCAAACCACCCGCCTAGCCCCCGCCCAGCTCCCCCTGCCCACCTGTGCCTGTGTTCATGAGCACGTACTGGCGCCGCAACCCCAGCAGAAGTAGCCCCGGTCCCACCCACTGCATGGCTAACACGGCGTCAGGCGCGGCCCGCTCGCCCGCCTCAAGCAGCTCACTGCCGCGAAGCTGGTACAACAGAACCTGTTCGGGGGTCAAACACATAATAAACCATAGGGGACCAGGCGGCGAATGCTGTACGCACGGAGGCCGCATCCGAGAACAACCACACGTGTTAGTCCGAACGACCTGATGTCGGTTACGTCCTTTGCTTGAGAGGTGGTTGGGAAGTAGGAAGAAAGGAGAGGTGCGCCCTTACCTTGCGCCGCACCGCCACCGCCAGCAGCTGCCCCTCTTCGCTCCAGGCGAACAGTGACGCGCCGCGCGAGCCCATGGGCTGGTACTTGAGCTGCATGTCGGGCAGCGTGTGCAGGTTGATCCCCGCCTCCGTCAGGACCAGCAGCAGCGGCCGAGCGGCCTGCCGTACAGCCGCCATCTGCACAACCGCCTTACGGTTGAGGCTGCGGTGTGCCTTGACGACCTGGGGTGGGTTGCGGAGGTAGGGTTATGGTTGGGTTTGGTGGCCCAACATGGGAAAGGACTTGAGGGCTGTTGCATGGAAGGATGTCGTGAGGGTCGGTATGCATGCGGTCACGTGGTGAAGCAGACGCAGGATTTACGCTTATACCAGGTGTAGTGGCTCGCAGGTAAGGGGGTTGTGTGCTGCCGATGGTCCGGTAAGGGAAGGATCTGGGTTACAGGAAGGGCACATTGGCGAAGAGGGATGTGGGATGGGAGTGAATCCTGGGTATGGGGGACATATATCCAGGAGCGTGGGGACTTCAGCTGCCAGCTCATGCTGGGCACGTTTACCCGCTGGGGAGTCCCTTCGCACTGCGATGTTACCTGCCAAGTACTCCCGGTGCGCTGTGGCGCGCACTGAACAATGGTGCCGTCATGAAGCCCAACAAGCAGGAAACCCTGCCAGCAACAGAGCGACTCTACTCGCTGATGGCCCGGGAGGTTATCAAGGATTGGCAGCACGTGAAAGGCTTCATAGGCCTTGGTACTTGGAGCATCCATTGCTATGTCCTTCTCCTAGAAAGCTTTAGGGCGAACCATGACAAAATCGAGAGTCAGTGTAGAAAGTGTCGGCAGCATATGGTGCTGATGGGACCAGGGGCTAACTAGTGACCCTTAAACCAATTTACAACGGTCTTCCTGCTCCCAGGCGCATCGTGTCCAGAGTCGTGTGCGTAACTGATCAACATGCCGATCTACATGAAAAGCGTTGGATAGCGCTCTTGGCACAGCTCCAGCATGGTGTACGGAGCCGTAAACAACCATCCCGACCCTACCTGACAGAGTTCCCCCGATTCTTGCTTGTCATCATGCCTGGAATATGATACACATCGAGATACCTTATTATTTTGATCTTTAAGGGAGTTTGTATTGGCGGTCAACACTTTCCTATTTGTACTTAGCTATATAGCTGCACTTAATCTTCGCTAGGCTTGTTGCTTACTTAGCGGTGGTGGCTCTGTGGCTACCACACAAACTTTAGCCTCCCGCTTCGGCCGTGGGGAACTAGCGGGCAGTCGGGAGCTGAGGCCCCATGGCTGACGACGGAACCCACGAAAACGTGAGCTGCCTTCCCTGATCAGCTAGCAGCAAAGCATATTTGGAGCTAGCGGCTGAGTTTGCCGGCTTTTTTGTTTTTCAGTCCTATGGAGTTCAAGAAGACGACTTTGACCTACAAACTCGCCTGGATGGTCTTCAAGCTCATGCCGACCATTTCCAGGTAATGAATTGTAATTGGAATGGAAGAGTGCTATTTGGTAGTGCTTAAGTTCACCGCCGGTTTCTTGCCGTGTGTGCCAGGTGGATGCCTTCTTTAAAGCCCTTGCGAAGGGTGGAAAGGGCTTCAGCATCTTCAAGAAAAAGCCGAAGACTCCGGGAGGAACTGGCGCCACAGGGTCGGGGGGCTTCACCATCGACGACCTGCTCATGTTCTCAAGTGTAAGGGATCTTGCTTGCGGTTAGTCCGCGTGCTTGGTCGCTGACGCCCTATTGTTTGCGTGCATACAGGAACCGATCCCAACCTCACTCTTGAAGCTGAACGGTGACCATGTCAGCCGGGCAGTCAAGATGTTCAGCGGCATTCTCAAATACATGGGCGAGACTGGCGAGCATGTCCCGGTCCACCAGAGCTTGGAAATAGCCCAAAAGCTCTTGCACCAGGGCCTTAAGAGGCCCGAGCTTAAAGATGAGCTTTACATGCAGCTGATAAAGCAGACCCGCGGCAATCCAAACATCTCGTCGCGGGTAAAGGCGTGGGAGCTCTTCCACCTGGTGGCGTCGACCATGCCTCCCTCAAAGGTATGTTTGCAGCGTTCCTTCAGCGTACGTACAGCTCTGTGCGCTCTCGCATCAACACGGTGTTTTACCCTCACCCCCAGGACTTCGTCACCATGGTCTCGGAGTACATCCACGCTGTTTCCCACGAGGAGCAGGAGGACGCATTCGTACGGCAACTGGCCACGCGCACTTGGAACAGCCTCAAGCGCTCGGCAAAGGCCGGGCCTCGCCGAACGGTACGGTATTCTTGGGAAGGGGAGTTTAAACCGGTACCAACCTGTGCATGCCGTTTTGCAGCACCTGACATCGCCCATGGCCTATGAACAATGTTACTGGGCATTGTCTTCACTCAAGGTGACGACCGTTTCGTCTCAACTGTTAACGTTTGCCTTGCGCAGCTGCCCCAACTCGACGAGATCGAGGCCCTGCTGAATGGCCGGCAGCTGACGACCATCGTGTTCTTCCTTGACGAGACGTTTGAGGAGCTGACGTATGACGTCACTACCACTGTCCTGGAGGCGGTGGAGCAGCTGGCAAACCTCATCAAGCTTCAGAACTACACAACCTTTACCCTCTTTGAGTGCCGCAAAGCAGTTGGCGCTAAGCAGGTGGGGACTGAGATCTGAGAGACATTGGCCCGTTACTGTAGCATGTAGGCCCCGAGTTCCTCGGAAGCGGCATGCTATCCTAAGCACTCAGTAAGAGCGCTGTTGTGCGCAGGCCGGCATGGAGCCCATTGCCGACGAGCACATCCTGCTCGATGACAACAAGTACGTTGCAGACGTGCTCTGCGAGTTCCGTAACTCGAAACTCACACGGGAGGGTTTCCAGAGCAAGCTGCTGTTCAAGAAGCGCATGTTCCGGGAGACTGACGAAACGATCACGGAGGCGCAGTTCGTCAACCTCAGCTACGTCCAGGCGCAGCATGACTACCTGCAGGTACGGGAATCGGACACTGAGGGTACACAGCGGTTTCATGTTGTCAGGTAGCTTGCTGCTACTGAAGATGGTGAACTAAGCACCGTGCAATGCAACGCAGGGCAACTACCCAGTGGTGCGGGAGGACGCAAGCCAGATGTGCGCTCTCCAGATCCAGGCGGAGCACGCATCCACCCTGAACGACAACGAGGAGCAGGTTTTGCTGTGTATTGAGAAGTACATCACCAAGCAGGTTGGTCGGGTGGCGGAGCTGAAGCCGTTATGCATGTCCTCCTGGCACGTCAGAAGGGCTGTAATAGGCAAAGGCGGAACCGAACTGTGCTATTGCTTAACCTTGTGCTGCGGCCCCCTGTTGCACTGATAGGTCCTCATGACGCGTCCGCGCGACGAGTGGCGTGCGGATGTCACAGCCCGCTATCGCGCGCTGGAGCAGTTCAGCAAGGAGGACGCGCGCTTGCAGTTTTTGCGGATCCTGCGCAGCTTGCCGTATGGCAACTCGATCTTCTTCGCTGTTAAGCGGATAGAGGACCCGATTGGCCTCCTGCCGGCGAAGCTGATTCTGGGCATTAACAAGCGCGGCGTGCACTTCTTCAGGTGGGATGGGGGTGCGTTTCCCGGGCCGCTGTGGTTGCCTAAAGAAGTGTCTGGCTTGTAAATGGCCCATAGGACCATGCGCACCAGCTGAAAGCCGCCCCGACAATGGATCAACACTCCCTAATTATGAAGTTATGAAGTCAAAGTCTGGTATACGGGAACATCAGCACGCCACATAGCTGATGGTTTTTGTTGCTTGGGTCCTGGCAACAGGCCCGTCCCGAAGGAGTACCTGCACTCTGCGGAGCTGCGCGACATCATGCAGTTCGGGAGCAGCAGCACGGCGGTGTTCTTCAAGATGCGGGTGGCGGGTGTGCTGCACATCTTCCAGTTTGAAACCAAGCAAGGCGAGGACATCTGCATGGCCCTCCAGACGCACATCAATGACATCATGATGAAGCGGTGGGTACACGGTCCGATGCAGCTGTGACGCGTAGGGTTGCGGCTATGTACGGGTTTTGTGCGATGGGCCCGACTGCGTTCAGGTGGTTAAGGACATGCAGCATGCTTCGCCCGGCTTGCTAACCACTGCCTGTGTGACTGACCTCCGCAGGTACTCGAAGGCGAAGGCCAACTCGACGGGGGAAAAGGCGCAGCAGCAGCTGGGCCTGTCGCAGGGCAACTTTGGCCCTAAGTACGAGGCGCACGTCGCTCAGCTGCAGCAGGAGCTGGAGGAGCTTCGGAAGAAGATCCAGGTCATGCAGCGGCAGGAGACGGAGCTCAGGTGAGATTTTTTTTGGCTGCCTTCATGCACTCCATAGTAACGGCGGAATAGAGGTGGTTTGCACCTCCGAAGTGTGCTGCAAAACGATCCTAAAGAGCTCGATAAATTATTGGCAGTGGCTTATGATTGGACAGCATTGGGTACTTTGACGAGGACCCATGCGATTGCTCCTTCTGGCTTCGGCCTTCGACGTGTATGCAACTCTCTTAAGCGGCAACCAACTGCTGATGCGCTTGGCGCAGGTACGAGAGCGAGCGGGTGGCGGGCGAGCTGGCGGACGCCAAGGAGGCGCTTCTGGAGGAGCAGGCCGCGCGAGATCAGCTCAATGAGAACATCAGCAGGCTCACGGCGGAGGTGGACACGCTGCAAACGGAGCTGGCGGTGGCTAAGGCGGATGCGGCCAAGGCGACGGTAGCAGGGGTTGCTGCCGCAACCGCTGCCGTGGAGAACCACGCGGTCCGTGACCTTGAAGCGTTGCTGGAGGCCCGCAACAGGGAGATGGCGGAAGCGAACGACAAGTAAGTCATGCCTCGGCCTACGGTGTAATAAGTACCGGCGCAAGCATGCTCTTTGTTTGTCTTCACGCATGTGGACACGTTTTAGCCCTATGGATTGTTACTGTTACTGATACAGTGGTTCAACACGGCGCCATCCACAGGCTTGCGGCGCTGGACAAGCGCTGCTCGCAGCTCCAGAAGGAGAAGGAGCTCATCGAGAAGAAGATGCAGCGCATAGAGAGGGCCAAGGAGACGGAGACCGGGGAGCTGCGCACGCAACTAGAGTCCGTGCAAAGTGACATCCAGGCCCAGCTAAAGCTGAAGGACAACAAGATCACGGAGGTGGGGCAGTGTGTCGGGTATTGGACTCACGACCGCATCAGTCATTCTAGCTGCCGACCTATAACTGCAGTAATTTATGCAGTCTCAGTACGATGTTGGTATCGATCTTTGTTTGCTGCTCATCGTAGATCATGGAGGAGCTGGCGTCCATCAACGCCCTGTACGTCGAGTCCAAAAACGAGCTCGAGCAGAGCCGTGCGGACCAGACGGAGCTGGAGGAGCTGCGTGACCTCAAGGCGGACATTGAGCGCAAGGAGAAGCAGCAGGCCGCCATTATTGATTCGCAGGTATGTCCCCTCGTAGGGCTGGCAACGATTGCTGGGACCTTACCATGGGAAGGGGCCTGTGTCTGACTGCTGCGTGGACCTCTGGTGTGGTGCTTACGCTCCATTTCATCTCCACGCGAACAGGCCAAGCGGCTGGAGGAGCTTGAGAAGCTGTACAAGGAGGAGCAGATCACGCGCAAGCGCTACTTCAACATGATGGAGGACATGAAGGGCAAGATCCGTGTGTACTGCCGCGTGCGCCCCCTGCTGCCGTTCGAGCAGGATAAGGGGCAGCAGGCGGCCCTGCTCATCCCCGATGAGCTGACGGTGTGCCACGCATGGAAGGACGAGAAGAAGCCGCGCGAGTATGGCTTCGACATGGTAAGCTGGCTTCTGCCCCGGGGAGTGCACATGGGTATGTCGTTCCATGTGAAAGATGAGCCTGTATTGTAGGACTTCAGTACGTATGCCACCAGTAGCCACCACTTACCCTCGCCTCGTGACGCTGCAGGTTTTTGCGCCGGGCACTAGCCAGGACCAGGTGTTTGAAGACACCAAGCACCTGGTGCAGTCCGCGGTGGACGGCTACAACGTCTGCATCTTTGCATACGGGCAAACAGGCAGTGGAAAGACTTTCACCATTTACGGAAACGACCGTGATCCGGGCCTGACGCCTCGCGGCGTCTCCGAGCTCTTCCGCATCATTAACCGGGATGGTGGGAAGTACACGTTCAGCGTCTCGGTATACATGCTTGAGCTCTACCAGGTAGGGCTTGGCGGCAGTCAATTGTGCCTTAGCTGGTCTACGGTGCTTTCTTGAAAACTAGACGTGTACCTTGCTAAGCTGAAGCTCTTTCATTCGATGATGTATCTGGTATGTAACGTATCCGGTATTACATTGCGTATCCGCTGCTTCAAAGCATGATGCTGATGATGTCCGCAGGACACGCTGCAAGACCTCCTCCTGGCAAAACCTAACTCCCGGACGCCGCCGGAGGCCCCCAAGCTCGACATTAAGAAGGACCCTAAGGGCATGGTGACGGTGCTGGGCGCCACGGTTGTGGAGGTTACATCGTACAAGTGAGTAGCTTCTGATGGAGGCTCATCCAAAGGGGACGTCATCCTAAGGGGACCTGTACCTTCATTGTTTCAACGTTACAACGCAAGACAACTTAACTATGGACTGGTCGCGGATTACGCAGGGAGCTGATGTCTGCAATCGAGGCGGGTCAGCAGCGGCGCCACGTGGCCAGCACTCAGATGAACCGGGAGTCCTCGCGCTCGCACCTGATCATCTCCATCATCATCGAGTCGACCAACCTACAGACGCAGTCGGTAGCGAAGGGCAAGCTCAGCTTCGTCGACCTTGCCGGCTCGGAGCGGTGAGTCATGCAAGCACTTGAGATCGCAGTCCCGCCTTACCCGTGGTTTTGCTTTTTAGTCTACCAAAGCCCACATTGTATGGTGCCACCTGAGCCCTAACCATGTTGTCATAAACGCTACTGTGCAGCGTCAAGAAGTCGGGCTCCGTGGGTGAGAACCTGAAGGAGGCGCAGGCGATCAACAAGTCGCTGTCCGCCCTGGGCGATGTCATCTCGGCGCTGGCGACAGAGCAGCAGCACATCCCCTATCGCAACCACAAGCTCACCATGCTCATGTCCGACTCCCTCGGCGGCAACGCGAAGACGCTCATGTAGGTTCCCGTAGGGGCTGGGTTGCACACTAGCGCTTTGTGACACCTGCTCGGGCACGGCAACGCTGTTCCGGTCGTATTGTGGCGGTTTATATGCTCACAACAATTCATGTCATGGCTGCAGGTTCGTCAACGTGTCCCCCTCGGACGCCAACCTTGATGAGACGCAAAACTCGCTGCAGTACGCCACGCGTGTGCGCACGATCAAGGTAGCTAATGGCGCGGCATTGGCAGTGTCTGTTTTAGTCCATGGCAGTCTTCCTTACTTGAATGCCACATCGGAAAAATGCCCCTCTGTTTACAGCGTAACCGCAAGGACACAATCGCTGACATCGTCCCATCCTTTTGTGACCTTCCTTTTGCCTTCTTCCAGAACGACGCCACCAAGAACGAGGCCAACAAGGAGATGCTGCGACTCAAGAAGCAGGTGGAGTACTGGAAGGAGCAGGCGGGGCTCCCCGTGGAGCAGCGCGAATTCGTGGACCTGGTGGACGTCAGCGAAACCCGCAGCGTTGCCGACTCCGTCATGTCGACGCCGCAGTAAAACGCGCCGGCAGCGTTGTGTTAGGTGGAAGGTGTGACCTTCGCCCGGCCGTGGGTTTAGGTTATAGGATTGAAGGGACCAGGCTCGATGCTGGGTCCTGGATGCGGTAAAGCACTCGTGACTAAATTTTGATTCGACAATGGCGGTAGGTGTGGCCGCATGAACCCTATTATTGACTGATCCGCGCGCGGGCTGGTGTGTGCACTCTGCCGGATATGTTGCTAAGCAGCATTCTCAGCGGAAGCAGTAAGGCGAGCGCGTGTGGTCTCGCCTTGTAGTGGGAGCAGGTCCAATTAATTATGGAGGCGGAGGACGCGAGCGTCATGTGCGGTCGCTGGGTTTGTGCGCGCTCCGTGCTCGTCCGGGATTGATTTCAGCTGTGTTCGCTGCGTGGCTGCTCTTGGTCAATCGCTAAGACAGTGCGTGCGGCGGATGCGTTTTCAACAACTTGGCGTGCGCTTTGGCACTAACTTCGCGCAAAAGAGTGGTGCTGTTTCTCGAAATGGAGCGTTGGCGTGGCGTGCGGTGTGTTCGTGTAGAGCAGTACTGTGACGCGCACAGATGTAAATACGCCGATGCACGTCGACGGCGCTGTATGACCTGTTAGGAGCTACAGGGGCCCGGCTCCTAGCACAGGCTCTGATTTACGGTGTGAAAGGGGTGGGTGACTGCGGTTTGCTTTCGTGTGATACTTGCTTACGAGTTCACGGTGTTACCCAAATAGCGGTCAAGATCGCAATGGTAACAGCTGGCTCAGCGCCCTTGCTAAGGCATGCTAGGGGCGCTTTCGCTCCGCCTTACATGTAACAAGTCTGCATGTACACGTCCCCAAAGAGTATGCATGGCATTCGCTATGCTGTGTCTTGTAGATCATGGCTAGGAAGGATGCGAGGGGCGTACGTGTGAGGCTGGCAGCTGCGGCCTCGGTCTCGGCGGCCCTGTTGTTCCTGAGTTCCTGAATGTGCCGTACTGCAACATACCGCTAGCGGGTACATTGGATTGAACGCAGCAACGATATCTCAAGCACTTTACATGACAAGGGAATGCTTGTATGTGGATTTTTTGATGCTCACCTCACTCTGTAGCTAACTGGCCAATGATCGGCATACTTCCTGGACCCGAACTCAGTGTCGCAATATTGATCCAAGTTAAACTACACCAAGCGCACTAGCAACGCGATCTGTAGCTTTTGTTCGCAAGGAATGGCTGTGCCGTCGCCGTATGGGCGCGACCCATTCAGCCAGCTCAACCGCTTGCTGGAAGCTCCTCACAGCGCTTCTGGATCTATAAGAAAAGCGTGTCTGGCAGTGGAGGAATGCCTGGCGAGCAACAGGTTTGTTTTTCTGTTGGAACTATCAATTGGCGCGAGAAGCCGGCGGCGACAAGTTCCACATTTGGACTTGTAGAGACAACTTGCGCGGATTCTTCGACAAGCCCTTTGCAAATCTGTTGAAGCGTGTTTTTGGCTACGGCGACTTTGAGGCTTCCTGGCTGAATATAGTCACCAAGGTGCGGATAGGCCCCAAGCCCCCAACCCCTCCGGACCCTGCACCTTCTTGAGGATTGCCGCCCATACTCGCAGGGCCGCGATGCGGACGCACGCGCTCTCGTGGACCTACTGGCGCCAAACGGTGTGTCTATCTAGTGTAGGGGGGAGCGGGGCGGGGGCCATGCCGTATAAACACACGTTGCTGTCACCCCTGCGACATGAAGTGCTAGGTTCTCTGTGGAGCGATCCATTTATGCGACACCACAATCACTCAATACTTTGCCACTCTCAACCAATGCTCATTGTAACAACTATTTACCTTCTGCTGCCAAACCCAAGCTGTCGGCCAACACTACCAACACATACCCCTGTCTGAATCCCCCCAACTACCAGGCAAGCTCTTTGCCGCCATGGCCCAGGCCGACAATGACCGGCTGGTGCAGTACATCTTTCCCACGGAGCGCCTGCCCGCGCACACGCAGGTGGGTCCATAGCCGCTACTCGCTCACCAGGTAGCCTCTACCTTCATGGTCGGTTGAAGCCTGCTGACCGACCATGAAGGTAGCCCTCCTAATGCTTCGACGGTATGTAATCGGAGCGGAATGAGCTGCTGAAAGGGAAAGCAAAAGGTTCCAAAAGACAAGCCGCCCAGCACTATAGCGGCACTCCTCCCTCGGTTCCCGAAGCTGATTCGTTTCTCGGGTTTGCTGTGACTCCCGTGTTACCTTGCTGGCGCCGCAGGAGCTGCTCAAGGACCCGCAGGGGCTGGGTCGCCGCGTGCTGGACACCTGGCCGCAGTACCGGGGCCGCATCCGCCACGACGCAGCGGGCAGGCCGCAGGTAACAGATTACCCCCCCTCCCGGTGCATGGTGTCTGTCCTCTGTGTGCTTGCATTGTTGCCCGCTTTCCCTTGCCCTCCGGTTTGGGATCACTGTAATGGTCACTCATTCCCATCGCTGCCATAGCGAGTGACCTAACAAACTGGCCGTATTTTGTGTTATTGCCCGCCTTCAGGTGTATCTCAACCTATTTGAGTACTTTATGTTTTGGACGGCATTCTACGTGCTCCGAGGCAGCTCTTCCGACAGCGCTCGGTGGGTTGGTGGAGCTACAGTATGGGTTATGGAGGCGGCTAGGCTTGCCGGTAGAGCGCTGCAATGAGAGCCGGCGACAACCGCTTTTCTGTAATATGGCTTCTCTGGCTGTCATGCATGCGGTGTTAGTGATACCTGTTATTTCCCCCGGTGTTGCTGCCCTCCCCCAGTACCGACCCACGTACTCCGACGGGTCACACCGCTTCCTCCGTGTACGGCGGGTTTCGGAGCGTCGGATCCGCAATCGTTGGCAACCTGATGCAGGGCCGCGCGGCTGGCCCGCTGCAGGTGTGCGGCGTTTGTCATATGCCATGCGGCGTGATTACATGTGCAGTACAGCATGGCCTGTGAACGAGTGGGTGTACGCTAGGGCCCCTGCCTCTTCGACATCCTGAATGACTTATTGCGTGCGCTAGCCGGCCTGGTCTGTGATTTCTATCCAACGAACTGACTGCGGCCTATCCTTCCGATCTTACTTCCATGCCTTGTGACACCATTACACAGAGCCATCCCTATTACTTGCTGCTCAAGACGTATCTGGATTACTTCTTGCCTCGAAGCGTGGGTGGCGGCGCCGCAGACCGCACGTCAGCAGTCTCTGGGGCCGCCGCCGGCGCCTCATCCTCTATTGGCTCAGGGCTCAGCGGCCTGTCGTACGGCATGGGTCTCGGGGCCGACGGCGCCGCCGCCGCCAGCACCGCGAGCTGGGCGTCGTACAAACCGACGCTGACGGCGGCGGCGGCTGGGCCTGACAGTCGCGGCGCCGTGTTGCTTTCAATCCTTGTGGAGTTCTTGCTGACGGATGTGGCGGAGCCGCTGCCGTCGCTGGCGGCGGATCGCGTTAGTGGTGTCGTACAGCCGGGCTCCGCTGGCCCGGCAGCGGCGCCGGGGCTCATGGTTGGCGGCGGTATGGCTGGCGTGACGTCGCCTGTGGGAGCAGGGCTGATGGGCGTCAGCAGCCCGCCGACGCCTGTCTCGGTCGCCACACCGCCGAGTGTGAGGTGAGTGGCGGGTGCCCGACTCTTGGGCCAGGGGGCTGGGACGAGCGGCATGGCTCATCTCATCTCGACATGTAAAGGGGCGCTGGCGCCTTGATCTGCACCTAGCCTTCATGGCTGTCGGGGACGTGCATGTCAGCATGTGAGTGCAAGTCTGATGACGGCGCCTGTTGGTGGATTGGCGGTGTGATCCCTTCACTCCTGTTGGCGCATTTTCCACTTTCTGCTGAGATCGCACGTCTTCCTCGTCGCTCGTCTCCTCCCTCCCTCACAGGATGCTCACCTACCAGCCCCCATCAGAGGAGCTGGTGGAGGGGTTGGTGACGCTGGTGCGGTACGTGCATGTGGTGGAGCCGGACGCCAGGGCGGACGGCGTCTCAGCCGCTGGCGGCGGCGCAGCCGCTGCCGGCTCCCGCGGCGTGTCCGTCGGCTTCCGAAGCTCCGGCGGCGGCGCATCCTCTGCGGGCCGCGGCTCCGTTGGCGGGGGAGGAGGCGGGCGGCCGCTGCAGCCGGCGCAGGTTGGGCGGCCGCCGTGGCTGCCTGAGACGCCGATCAAGACACCCCCGCTGCCGCGGCCGGTGCTGCCGCCCACGCCACTGGCGGCCGCGGGCAACAGCGGCTCGGGTGCCGTACAGGCGGTGTCGCGGAAGGTGTACCGGCAGCTGAGGTACGTAGCGGCCGGGAGTGCGGCTGGGTAGGGCGGGGGGTAATTTGGAAACAGAATCCGAATATAATAGGGCGGGGGGCGGAGTAGACGATATGGGCAACGGAAGGGCGTGACGCTGGGTTGCTGGCCTCGTTATGTTGTATGCCGCTCAGACTCTGTTCCTTTTCAAACATACATACCGCTTGGTACGCCTCCCACCTGCCTTACGTTATGCGGTTATGGCATTACCGGTGTCCGTTGCTGATGCTACAGCATCTTACACCTTCACTCCCCCTCCTCCCTACTCTCCCACCCTGGCCCTTCCAGACGCGCCTTCTCGCAGTGGCCTCCAAGCTCCCCCACCTCCCTCACGCCGCTCATTTCCCTCTGGCTTTCCGTCATCGCCCCCTGGTGCCCGCTCTTCGCGCACACGCGCAAAACGGCAATCGCTGACGTCTCCGGGGGCCACGGTGCCAGCGGCGCCGCCACCTCTCACCCCGCCAACGGAGCCTCTGGCGGCGCCGGCGGCGGCGGTGCTAACGGCATCGGCAGCGGCTCCCTCGGCTCCGGCCACCACCACCACCATCCGCACCTCAACCTGCAGCATGCGCTGGACGCCGCCGGGCCGCTGGGTACGGCAGCGGCGGCGGCGGCGGGAGTGATGGAGGCCACTGCCGCCAAGCTGCACTTTGGAAGCGGGGGCGGCAGGGAGCGGGATCTGACGGGGGCCACGTCCCGGGAGCTGCTGTCACAGGTGGGCTCTCAGCCCCTGTGCTCAGCCCCTGTACGGCAGGACTGGCAGATGCTGAGATGCTTGTATTGACCGTGAGGTTGTCATGTGCTTCGTTTGCCATGGTACCTCCTTCATCACTGCGTTAGCTCCCGCTTCTTCCTGTCTCTTCACGCTATTACCCGGTCTCTACACGCTGTCTATACGCTGTCTATACGCTGTCTACACGCTGCAAACCAGGTCTCACCTGTCCCTGCCGCCCTCCTTCGCCCTCCCCACCCCCCTGCAGTACACCTACACCCCTGCCTGGCGGAGTCACGTGCTAGCGCACCTGCCCTTCTACTTGCAGCTGATTCCGCAGTTCGTATCGCTCTCGCTGTCTCGCCTCAAGTACCGTCCTGACGTGGCGCTCCGGGATCTGGATCGCGTGCTTGCCGTACTGGCGGCGGCGGGGCCGGAGCTGCTGCGGGAGCTGAGGGTGGCGGAGGTGTCGTACAATGCGTTTGCCCGGCCGGCGGCGGCGGGCGGGCGGCGGCGCAGCGAGGGGGAGATGGGGGAACTGGCGCCCTGGTGGCTAGAGCAGGTGGGGCGGGGAGGGGTTAGAGGACATGGTCTTGCGCGCAGGGCTAGAGTAATTGGTTGCGTGTAGGGTCGTGAGGCAAAGCAAGCGGCAGCGTTCGGGGAGCGGGCCATGTTGCTTCACTAGCGATTACCGGTAGTCGCATGCCCAATACTTTCATGGGTTTGGGTTTTATGGTTGACCGTCCCATGTTGGTCCTGGCCCCGTCTTGCATGGCCCTTATACTCTTTTTCCTCGTCCTTCCCATCCCCATCCTTCCCTTCACCGGATTCCGCGGTGCTTTGCTCCCTTCTTCTCTGTACACCCTTATGCCGTGCAGGTCCAGGACTTTGAGGCGGCCGCTGCCTCCGGCTCCTCGTCCCCCGGCGCCGTACAGCCTGACGTGGCGGGCCGGCTGTTCACCACCGACTCCTCGGGCGCCGCCTATATGACCTGCCTGCTGCTGAGGAGCGCAGAGACGCTGGTGAGGAGCAGCGGGCATGGGGCTAGCTAGCTGGGCGGCAGGCCGGGGCATGCGGCGTGCCGCCACTGTTACTGTACTGGCCGCCAAGTTGTGGGACTATGGGAGGGAGCATCCGTTTTGCGCGCGCCCGTTCGTTGCCGCTTCATCCCCTGTCGATTCCTTTCTTGGTATCCCATCCCCCGCACGCGCTAACGCCCTGTTCAGCCCCTTCACGAGTCCAACTCCGCCCGGGTGCACTGCCTGTCTCCTCCCAGGGCCAGCCGGAGCTGGTTGCCGCGTTGCGCCAGTCGGCCAGCGCGGTGCTGCCGCTGGAGGCCATCCTGCCGGCAGCGGTGGCAGAGCAGCCGCGGCAGCAGGAGGGCGCGTTCGGGGCAGCCGGCGCCAGCCGCTTCCCGAGAGCAGGTGCGGTGCGGTGCGAGGGGCGAGATGGGGGCGGTATGTGAATCTGCCCCACCCATTCCTCTCTTCTCCTTTCCAATTGTGGTTCCAATCGTGTTGTTTTCTCTCTGCCTGCCTCCTGCCAGGCCGCTGGAGCTCCCTGTGGCCCTCCCTGGTGCAGCAGGACCCGCGCCTCGCCGACCCGCGCCGGCTCTGGCTGCATGTCTACCGCAGCGGCGGGGGCCCCGGCGGGCGGCAGCACGACCCGCTGCTGCGCCCCATCGCATCCAACGAGGTGTCCTTCCTGGTGCGGCCGCTGGTGCGCGCCTCGGCACGGGTGAATGCGGCGCTGGGGCTGGATGTGCCGTACAGGCCGGGCGAGGAAGAGGAGGAGCCGCCGGAGCACCTGGGGCAGTTGGCGCTGCTGTGGGCGAGGAAGCGGGGGTACAGGTGAGAGGGGACGGTGGTGGTGGAGGCGTTGGGGGACGGCTAGGTCACTGCGGTTTAGAGAGGTGAACTCTCATGGGATGGGGTGTTCTAGAGCTGGTTGTGATGCCGCCAACGCTCCCCCTTTGTCACCCAACCCTGGTCCCCTGCCCTGCCCCTGCGCTGCCCACCCAAAGGGTGAACCTGCGTATCTTTGCGGAGATCCAAACGCTGGTGTGGCTGCTGCTGCTGGTGCTGCTGGGGTACGGCATGATGCGCGTGCTGGCGGCAACGGGAGGGGCGGCAACGGGAGCAGGAGGGGCTGCTGCGGGCACCGCCGCTGCAGGCGCCGGAGTAGCTGCTGGCGCCGGCGGAGGAGGGCAACCGCAGCAACCTGGGCTGCATGTGGGGCGGCAGCAGCACCAGCAGCAGCGGCAGTATCAGCCCCGGTACGGCGCGGGTGGAGCAGGGGGGCCAGTGGGGCAGTACCAACAGAGGGGAGGTGTGGGCGTGCAGCAGAACCAGCCACCGCGGGAGGAGCACCTCCACCACTACCTGCAGAATCAGCAGCAGCAGCTGGCGGCTCAGCAAGCGGCTCAGCAACAGGCGCACCGGCAGCAGCAACTCCGGGCCCAGCAGCAGCATCAAGATTATCTCCACCAGCACATACCGCACCCGCAGCACCACTACCAACAACAGCAGCAACAACAGCTGCAGCACGAACAGCAGGCGAATGTGGATTGGGGGCTGGAGGATAGGGTGGTTCACGAAGGGGAGCACGGGTACCACTTTCACGACCCGGCGTTGTAGGGGCTCTTCTGGGAATTGCGGGTGAGTGGAACGGTAATAGAGGAGAGGATTGGATATGGGTATAGAGGTATGGCAATTGAGTGCAACGTACGCGTGCACGGAGGTTACTGCCGTTTCCGAGGAGCCGCGTTTTACTCAGCAGGGAGTTTTTCCTAGGTGCAGGCTTTGTGCAGGCACTGACGCTTAAGAGTCACCTTGTTTGACTTCCACTTTGTGAGGAGGCAAGCTTAAAACGTGCAATGTGAAGCAGCTCAGACTTGCAGGTCTGAAGTACGATTCACAGGTCCGAAATGTCGGAGTAGCTGCAACTCATCAGACCTTTTCCTTTTCCGGCCCGGAGTATCCTTTGAGACCACCAACATGCAACAGTAACAACGAACGCCTTTCATACAACTCAGCTGTCCAGATGGATTGGTGGTGTTAAAAAACACCGTTGGATTGTGAAGAAGAAGAAGAGACATGCCTGAGCAAGCTTAACCACCAAAGCCGTACAGGGTGCGGCCCTGGCGCTTGAGAGCATAGACGACGTCCATAGCGGTGACGGTCTTGCGGCGAGCGTGCTCGGTGTAGGTCACCGAGTCGCGGATGACATTCTCGAGGAAGGTCTTCAGCACAGTGCGGGTCTCCTCGTAAATGAGGCCGCTGATACGCTTCACGCCACCACGACGTGCTAGACGGCGAATCGCGGGCTTGGTAATGCCCTGGATGTTGTCGCGAAGCACCTTACGATGGCGCTTGGCACCACCCTTGCCCAGACCCTTACCACCCTTGCCACGGCCAGACATGGTTGCTTAGTTATGAAGAATAAAGAGGTAGGTTAGGATATCTGTTCCAAAATGGTTTATCTATTTACAAAAATGACGACAGTACGGCACCAATGGCCGAGCGCAGGATCCTGGTCCCGGTGACCTGACCCTACGCTGGATTCAGCATTTTTGCATAGCCAAGCTGAACCAAGGCAAGAAGTATCTTATACACACACGTCTTGCTTTGCTCCTTTGAAATCTACGCAACCTGTTTTTGCAACCTGCTTGCAAACGTTTTCCGGTTTTTCATAATTGATCGCCACAGGCACACAAGTTGCAAGGCAAGCATGTTTTACAGTGCCTGTAATACAGGCACAACGCCTCGGTTGTTTAGAATTGCTGGCCTTTGCACACAGCGAACCGGTACCATCCCATCCTGCCCTCAACCTGCTGTGCTTCTTGGCGGCTACACATACCACTCATGGGTTTATCGATTGCTGATCAAACCCAACGCCACGTCACCTTGTAGACAGCCTCACGATATTTAATAATGCCATTAAGACAGATACCCAACAATGGGGCCCACAAGTACGTAACTAAAACCGACATCCTCTGATCCCGGGGCGCATAGGGGTCCCAACAAGCCGAACTCTCTGATCCACGCCGTAAACTAGAAAAGGCACGATCCCTTACCCCTTAGACATTGAAGCTGAGTGTCATGCCTCCCTCCACGTTTCCCCATCAAGGCAGATGAAGTACGGTACGACATGAATTTAGGAGCACGCCAAGCGCGCACGTACTCGTCGATGCTTGTGAATAAGGACGGGAATAGGACCATCGCACCCAAGGCCAGACTTGTGACATTGGCCGCGTGTCAGCCCGGCCGCGTAACCAAAACTTGCACCGGAAACTCATTAACACACTCTTACGCCAGAACAAGCCGCACGCCTCTTGCAAAACTGATCTCTGGCATCCGATCGATATGTACCGGTACTGCCAGTCTTTGTAACGACTTTCCGATTGCTTCGAGGTAAACGTTCAAGCGTTGTAGAAGCGGTAGACAATCTCGTGTCGGTAGGTGTCCTGGGGCTGCAGTACAATGCTCGGGAAGTTGGGTTGGTTGATGGCGTCTGGGAAGCCCTGCGTCTCCAGACACAGCCCCGCGTGCTTGCCGTACCGCACGCCGCCCTTGCCCACCACCGTGCCATCCAGGAAGTTCCCGGCTGCGGCGCAACGCATCAAGACGTGGCACAGGAACGGCGTGATTATCAAGTCAACAATCCGGCATACTACCGGTATACAAGAGCTGACCACTAGACAAGTTCATGCAAGCTCGCCACGGCCACACGCGTACTATGAGGTGTGGAGAGTTCGCCTGGGAAAGCCTAATACGATTCCTCTGTTTCCCCCTTTCCCCCAACTCACAGTAGAACTGCACGCCCGGTGCCGTGGTGAGCAGGTCCATGGCTCGGCCGCTGCCGGGGTCAACCAGCGTGGCAGCCAGCTTGGGTCTGAGGCACCGCAGACAGGGGGGGCGGGTAACAGTTAACAGCCAGAGGGGGGGGGGCGGGAAACGAACGAAGCTGGCATGTCTCTTGCAGCAATACAAACAACATGGTCCCCGTGCATGCACATCACGTTTATGAGTTTGCCATGGCAAGCGTTTTCCTTGTAAGATCATGCGGGTGTTCGCATGCAAGTCGCGCGCGTCTTCCTTCCCTCACAGTCCCCACCGTCCGAGGGCTTTCAACGGCCCGGATTGCGTCCCGTTGTGGCCCCGCTTCCCCTCGATAACCCCACAACGCACTCACTTGTCGCTGGCCATGCCATTTTTAACGATGAAGCGAGCCTGTTGCAGACAGGCGCAGGAGGGGTAGAAAGGGTTAGAAGAGGGTATAGAACACCGAAGCATCTGCCGGAGACAAGGAAGATGGTGGCTGCGGTAAAGCGGAGGCGGTCCAGGAATTCCTAACCTTCCACACGATCTCCTACGTTACTTACGACCCCTGGTTCCCTGGAGAGTGCGGAGACCCACAGTGCGGAGACCCAGTACCCGAACCCAAAACCCCGATCCATGGGTCGGCCCCACCTGCGGCCCCATGCCGAAGAGCACATAGTTGTGGTCGTAGCCACCCGGGGCCGCTCCGGGCACCTGCAGCGGAGACACACACAAGGCGGCCAGCTTCCTTAACTTCCATATGCACGCCAAGCGACGCACCGGCGCCATAGGAACAGCAGTACCGGTATCCTTACCCCACACAGACGCCCCCCCCCAGCCACTTGTTCCCCGCCCCCCCAGCCACTAGCCCAGCACCTCTCTGTTGACCCACCTGCTCAATCCGACTGCCAATGCTGTGTGCGGGCAGGCCGCCGCCGCCCGCCTGCGCCGCCGTGAAGTCGAAGGGCGTCCCCGCCACCGGCGCCACCTCGCCCGTGGGGATGAGCGCGGGCGAGACGGGCGTGTAGTGGTCGGCGCCGTGCAGCCGCAGCCGGTGGGACAGGATGGAGCCGGAGGCGTGGCCGGCCAGGTTGAAGTAGGAGTGCTGCGCCAGGTTGACTGAAGGGGTGAGGGAGAGGGGGGATGGGAGAGAGGGAGCGAGGGGGAAAAGTGGAAAGAAGTAATATCCAGAGGGAGAGAAGGAGAGACGGGTAAGTTGGGAGAGGTGTCGCGGAGATGGGAAGGAGGAAAGGGAGGGAGGGACAGGGAGGGAAGGAGGGAGGAAGAAGAAAGATTTACTAGGCCGGGGCGATTGTTCGGTGCCTCCTGTCCAAATGCCCAATGCCTCACCACCCCGGTCTAGAGTAGCCAGCTCGCGCCAACCTACCCGGCGTGGCCTCATCGGTGGTGGCGGTGATGGTGGTGGTTAGTTCGTTGGAGTCACGTGCCAGCCGGTACGTAACGCTCACATGCAGCGTGCCCGGATAGCCCTGTGGGCGCCAGGGTACACAGGGGTTGGAGTACCCGTAGGGGTTATTAGTGGGACGGGTATTAAGAACAGGGTGAGAACAGGGAACCGGAGAAAGCTAGGGCGCGCCGTCCTACCTTTCCCCCCTCCTCTGGCCCTTTCCTCCCTGCCTCTCTCCCTCGCCCCTTCCTATGGAATTTCTTCCTCCTTCCCTCCCTAGCCCCCCCCCCAATGCGGTCCTCACCTCCTCCCCCTCCGGGCTGGTGTAGTGCAGCTGCACGGCCTCGAAGTCCTGTCCGCGCAGCAGCCGCCCCTCCCACAGCCGCTTGTGCAGCCCCTTGAGGCCGCCTGGGGGGGGGCAGGCGGCAGGGTTCCAAGTTTCCATGTACTTCTGGCCATCACAGCAGTCCCGTCTACATGCTACAGTCCTACAGGCATGCTGGCAAAACTGCTGGCCTTGTTTCTTCGCGGACTCGCTTATTCCCAGTCTGTTAGCGTCCACTAGCACCCCTACCATGCAGCGCATTCTCGCCGTTGTTGGCCAGCAGGCGGTACTCGGTCCCGCCCAGACGGAAGCGAGCCTGGGCGATGCGGTTGGCGACTCGGCCCACGATCACACCAAAGTAGGTGCAGGGGTTGGCGGTCTGGAGGGGGAGTAAAGGGCGCGAGAAGTGGAAGTGCGGGGGAAAGCTAAAAGAAGCATGGGAGGGAGAGGCGAAGTGACGAAGTGGGGTAGGAGAGGAAAGCGGGAGAGGGCAGGGATTGTGAAACCAAAAGGTCGGGAGGGTAAGGAGAATGCGGCCGATGAATAGCGTGCTTCATTCTGCGCCAAGTGATAGCTTTTGCAGGGGCTGGAGGGTAACGAACGCATGCTCTGCTGCGAAGCAAGCTAACGTACCTCGTACTCCTCAACAGTGCCATAGCCGAGCACCACGTCCGCACTGTGGCCCTTCTTGTCCGGGACTAGCATCTTTAGGATAGCGGCTCCAAATACTGAAACATGGACCTCCATGCCATTTGCGTTCTTCAGCTTAAACACAGGTAGCCCGGCATGCCATGATGTGCTACGACGCGGTCGGATCTTAATATAAGAAAGGGCAGCAAGTGCAACACTGGAGCCAAGCAGCAAGCCCACGACTAAGCGCATTTTCCAATCCAGTTTCTTGCTGAGGAGTACAATGGGCCTAAAGGCGTCGCTTATGACTGTATACTAGCACCTTTCTCTGTTGTTGCCAGCGAGTGCGTCTCGGCTGTAAGTACCGACGCACCATCAACCACCCGTGTACGGGCTCCATTGTTGGACGGTGATCACCCTGATCTAGTGGCGCATCCGGGACGCGAAAGGCGCTTGGTGCCGTGTGCTGCGATCCTAGTGATACTGCGTAATCGCGTCCTTACATGTTTCGGTTCGGTTACGGCAGTATTTGGTATCCCTTTGGCTTCTAAGCAATATATGTAAGAGATCGTCCACGTACTTCTAAATTTTGGAGTTTTTGACTTCAATCACTGACAACACAATGGCCGGAACTGAGGAGCAGTTCGACCTAGTAACCATCGGCGCAGGGTCAGGCGGTGTACGCGCAAGCCGCTTCGCTGCCACCCTTTATGGTGCAAAGGTCGGTTACGCTCTTGTCTATGTCCCTAACTGTAGCTAGGTGCGCGTCCTAAGAACGCGTCTCTTGCGTTCCCCACCAAAATCCCTCTTCCATGATGTAGCTCCCCTCCCTGCTTGCACCTTCCTGCCCAGGTTGCATGCGTAGAGCTCCCTTTTGGGCTCGTCGCCAGCGAGTCTGTGGGAGGTGCAGGTGGCACGTGAGTCCTAGCACAGCGTCGGTTGCGACTTCCTACCACAACGACCACCATACCCCCAACACCGATCTCTTACCCGTCACTCCGCAACCTGACCGTTCCACAACTTGCATCTTCCTTGTACTACTTTCGGTTGCTCCCCAATCATCTTCATCTCTGTGGGAGCTCCCTTGGCCCAGAGAAGCGAACGGATTCCCATGTCCCACCCCTACAGTCTGCCCTAGTACCGTATGCTAGCTGCCCAGCCACCCGTTCAACCCTATGTGACCCCATCCCCCCACCCTGCATGTTGCTGCCTGCCAGCTGACCCGTGGGTCCTTTCCTTTCCTCCTTCCACAGCTGTGTCATTCGCGGCTGCGTGCCCAAGAAGCTGCTGGTGTACGGCGCTGCGTTCGCGCAGGAGTTTGAGGACGCGCGCGGCTTCGGCTGGTCCTTCCCCGGGGCGGGCGCGGGGGCGGAGGCTGACGGAGACAAGGAGGGGGCGGGTAGCGGCGCCGCTGCACCCAAGCATGACTGGTCCTCTCTGATGAAGTTCAAGGTCGGTGGTTAGTGGTTACGGGAGCTATGGAGATGGCCGTTCGCGAGTCCCGGCGGACGTTGGCGGGTGGGGTGTCCGGGCGGCGGGTCAGAGTCCTGGGAGCTGCGGGAGTGGTCTCCATGCTGCCTTAAGCTGTCGAGCTTTAGTGGGTATCGGAAAGCGGGACGCGAAGTCGCGTCGAAATCTACTGTTTTCGTCGCCCTTAATGTCGCCTGTTGGGACCCACCAACTGCCGGAGGTTTGTACCTCATCTTCCTCCAGCGCCCTCCTCTCACCAGTCCCCGTCGACCGCTCCCCCAGGACAAGGAGATCCAGCGGCTGAACGGCATGTACGGCAACATCCTCAAGGGAGCTGGCGTCACATTCCTGGGTGCGTACGGCAGCAGCAGCAGGAGTCAGGGAGTAGGGGGCAGGGAGTAGGGGGCAGGGAGCAGGACGGTTCTGGGAGCACTCGTTAGCCGTTTGGCTCCCAATTGGCGGTGACTCGCCACGAGGCAACCGTGTGGGCATAACAAGAGTTGCATGAGACCTCCTTAACACCTGCCTGAGCTTATAAAGCGCACCCGGGGGTCACGTGCAAATACATCTACCTGATTGCTAGTTCCATTCTCTCCCTTCCTTCCTCCCTTTCCCTGTTCCTCGTTTCCCCCGCCACCCACCGCCTCCCCCCTAAAACCCAGCTTTATGCGAAATCTTCATGCGGAATCTTCATCCTTATTAACCCCCTTCCCCCCAGAGGGCCGCGGCGCCCTGCTGGACCCCAGCACGGTGCAGGTCACCGCCCCGGACGGCTCCAAGCGCACCCTGCGTGCCAAACACATCCTCATCGCCACCGGCGGAGTGGCCACCAAGATACCCATCCCTGGAGCGGTGCGTGACTGAAACTGCCTGCATGCCTGCCCGCCTGCCTCAACCTCCCCTCCCCTCCCTGAAACTGCCTGCCTGCTTGCCTACTAGAGCTTTGCCCTCTGAACGGCTCATCTCTTCAAACTGAACCTCTCCGCTGTTCCCCTCTCTTATCCCCCCCTCCCCCCCTCCCCCTCTATTTATAATTTTCCTCCCCCCCTCCCCCTTCCCGCCCCTCCCCCCAGGAGCATGCCATCATCTCCGACGAGGCTCTGGCGCTGCCGTCCCTGCCGCCGGGGCCCATCGTGGTGCTGGGGGCAGGGTGAGCGAGCGGGGGCTGTCAGGGGGGGGCTGTCAGGGGGGGGGCTGTCAGGGGGCGGGCAGCAGCAAGGGGGAACGGAGGGCAGCGGGGGCGGGACGACAGCAGCAAGGGTGGGCAGCACGTAACAGACCTACGCGGTGGCACCGTGGGACTCTGGCACCTGTTCTCCTTACCCCCCCTCCTCCCCTCCTGCCCCACCTCCTCCCCTCCTGCCCCACCTCCTCCCCTCCTGCCCCACCTCCTCCCCTCCGCGCCTCAGCTACATCGCCACCGAGTTCGCCGGCATCTTCCGCGGCTGCCACTCGCACCCCGTGCACATCATGTTCCGAGGGGACAAGGTGCTGAGGGGGTGAGTGCGGAGGGGGGGATGGTGGTGAGTGAGGGGGTGACGGGGCGGGATGGGAGTCAGACCCCGCATCGTAGTAGACGCTGCAAATGGCTTGCCCCCGCACTTGTTCTCCGGTTAGTGTGCACACAACGGCTTGCGCCCACATTTCTCCGGAGCCGTGCCGTTGTCACACTGCCAGCCTGCACGCCTGCACGCCTGCTGCTGCTGCTCCCCTACTGCCTATCTGCCCACCACACCTCCGCTCTGCACGCTGTACACACGCGAACTGTGCATACAGCCTGTGCACGGTACCCCCGCCCCGCCCCCCCTGCCCCCTGCTGGCAGGTTCGACGAGGAGTGTCGGGAGCAGGTGCAGGACAACCTGGGCAAGCGGGGAGTCAAGGTGCACGCACGCTGCACACCCACAAGGTGCGTGCGAGCGGCCGTTGGGTGTGAGGGGGCTAGGGGCTCCGCCGCGGGGTGGGAGGAGGAGCGGAGAGGAGCGGGTGCTGCGGCGGACTGTAACTCGGTGTGGGTGGGGACTACCCCCGCGTCGGGCCGGGTCGCCAGCTGCCCTCAGCTCCCTCTCCATGACCTCCTCCTTCCTGTCTTCTTCCTCAGCGCTGCTCTCCCTTGCCCCTACATGCCCCCCGCCTCCCATGCGTCTCCCTCCCTCTCTCCCCAGGGGCTTGTCATCTAATTAACCACTGTCAGACAACACATTGCATACTCTTCGTTTCCCTCTCTCCTCCTCTCCACACCCCCTCCCCCTGCCGCCCCCCAGGATCGAGCAGCACGGCACGCACTCCTACACGCTGCACTACACCGACCCCTCGGGTGCTCCCCAGCAGCTGGCCTGCGCGCTGGTGATGATGGCTACGGGGCGCAAGCCGCGAGTGGAGGGACTGGGGCTGGAGGTGGGGGGGGGAGGGAGGGAGGGAGGGAGAGGGCGGGTTGAAGGATTGCCTGGAGGCGAGAATATACGTACTTTGGGAGGGATAATCTATCGAACCAAGCTACATGCATGTAAATGTTGCCCCCTATAATCCAGTTTGCTTGTCGTCGATACCCATCACCCCAACCCGCCATTGGGGTGGGGGTGTTTTGTACACAGCTCGTCAGTTTCCTCCTTTGTATACCCCATTATTTCGTCCAGTCCTATGTTTGCGTACACACCCAGTTATTTTAACACACCCAAGTCTTCTACGTTGCTTCCCTTCACACCACTTCACAACCCGCCCCCCCCCCGCCTCCCAGTTGGTGGGTGTGCAGCTGGACGGCTCGGGCGCCATCCCGGTGGACGAGTTCAGCCGCACCCGCGTGCCGGGGGTGTGGGCGGTGGGGGACGTGACCAACCGCATCAACCTCACACCCGTGGCGCTCATGGAGGGCATGGCGTTCGCGCGGTGGGGCAGGGGCAGGAGGAGAGGGAGGGGGGAGGGAGGGGGGGTATAGAGGGAGGGAGAAACTAACTGACCGGATGGGGCGGGAGGTATTAAGTAGGCTGAGCCGCGATGAATAGGAGGGAAGGGATGGGAGGAAAGAGGGATGGGAGGCAAGGCAAAAGAGAGGTAGAGGGGTAGGGGGAGGAATCGTGGTGCCGTCTCGTTCTGTTCGTCGTTGGCAGCATCGCTGCTGCTCCTACTCTTGCTGCTACTTATCAACGGTGCACCGCACTCCCCGCCCTCCTGCCCCACCCCGCTCCCCTCCCTCCCCCCTCCCTCCCCCCCCCCCCCCCCCCCCCTCCCCCCCCTCCCAGCTCCGCATTCGGCGACCAGCTGACCAAGCCCGACTACCGCCACGTGGCCTCCGCGGTCTTCTGCCAGCCGCCCCTCGCCACAGGTGGGAGGGAGGTGGAGAGGGAGAGGGGAGGGGAGGGGAGGAGGATCCTGCCCAGATGGTGCCACCCTCACCTGCTGCCACCACTGCCCTCATCGGGTGCCCCCGTGACATATCCCAACACCCATGCCCGTCATGCGGTACGGCTCCTCCCTGACCCCTCTCCCCCCCCACTGCATGAGTCGGGATTTTGGATTGGAGCTCCGTTGCTGCTCTTATCTTTACACCCCCACCCCCTCCCTCCCCCCGCCCCCACCCCCCAGTTGGCTACACGGAGGAGCAGGCGGTCAAGGAGTTCAGCGGCAACATCGATGTGTACGTGAGCAGGTTCAGGTAGGGCGCCTGAGGGGAGGAAGGGCGGGAGGGAGGGGCTGCAACACCAGCCTCACCTGCCTTCCCTCCCCCTCATGCGTTGGCGCCGTGTTGGGTTGGTTGCAGGTCTGAGATCGTTCGCTCCGGACAGTTGGCTGAGCCGCGCGACCGTGGGGTCTTCTACCATTTCCACATTTTCTGCAGCCCCCGGTTTGTGCATAACCCGCAAAACCCTGCTCGCCCCCCCTCCCTCTTGAACACATTGGGAATACCTTCTTCCCCCCTCCCCTCCCCTGCTGCCCTGCTGCTATTTCACTTATATAAATGTTCCCCTGCTGCCTCCCCCCCTCCCCAACAGGCCCATGAAGTACACCATCTGCGGCCGCGAGGAGCGCACCCTCATGAAGCTGGTGGTGCACGTGGAGAGCGACATCGTGCTCGGCTGCCACATGTGAGCACAGCAGGGGGGGAGGGGAGGGGAGGGAAGGGGAGGGGGTGAACAGAAACACAAGATGCGTGGAGGGTGGAGGGTGGGGAAAAGAGGCTGGGGTGGGAGGGCCACTTGTGTGCCCTGCACTTGCATCTTTCCTGCGGTGTAATGCCACCATTGATTTTTCTCCCCCCCTCCCTTCTCCCTCCCTCCCTTCCCTCCCCCCCCCTCATTTCCCTCCCCCCCTATTTTTTACCCCCTCATGCACTCACTGCATGAGTCGGGATATGGGATTGGGACTTTAGTTGTTTGCATTTCTTATATAATTCCCCCCCCCCTCCCGCCCCCTCCCCCCAGGGTTGGCCCCGATGCGCCCGAGATCCTGCAGGGCCTGGCGGTGGCGCTCAAGTGCGGCGCCACCAAGGCGCAGTTCGACGCCACGGTGGGCATCCACCCCACCGCGGCGGAGGAGTTCGTGACCATGCGCACCAAGACACGCAGGGTGCCGGCGACGGGCAGCAGCAACCCCAGCAAGCTGTGAGGGAGGAGCAAGGAACAGGAGGAAGGAAGGAACAGGGAGGAGGAAGGAGGAGGAGGCGGCGCCGTACAGCTGTGCGCGGCGGTGTAGTGCAGTGCAGTGTGAGCAGCAGCAGCAGCAGCCAGCTGGGGTTGGGGGTCGCAGGTGTCGCTGGGGCTCCACTCGCTGCCTTGACAACACCTGCAGTTACGCCTACTAGATAGCTTGTGGGTGGTCTGGAGGAGGTGGAGTGGGGTACGGGAGGTGTGCGGGGTTGCGGGGGGTAGCAGCGCTGGTGGGAGAGATGGCGCAGGTTGGTTTGGTAGCCAGTTACGTTATACCGGTATAGTTGCGGGTTGGAAGAGGACTTCACAGAAGTGAGCAGCCACCAACTACTGTTCTGAAATTATTATCATGTAACAAATACGGTAAAGTGACGTGCGGCTATTATGTACTCAAGCGTATCCAAGTCATTCAGGCGTGGCGGATGTAGCCAGGAGGTAGGCCCGACCTTCCACGAAGCCCATTCTGACGGCATGAGGTGCAGGACGCTACATCGAGCTCGCAGAATTGCTTGAAAAGGATAGGATGGGCCTTCGTCATTATCCGGATGTGCCTCCTGTTAGCCTTTTCTTGCCGCAGTGCGACTAGCGCATCGCGTTCATCGCACACATGACCTCATTCCTGGGATCTTCCTGCCCTTGGTTGCACGGAAGCCAAAGCCAACCGCTCCATGAACAAACAGCAACCTTCTCCTGCTTCCACCTCCTCAAAGACCCAAATACGATTACGTAGTATGAATGCTGACGTTTCACGCAACTTTAGCCAGAGCATAGTCCGCAGCAAGCCGCAGTTAGCAGTCACGCTCTTACCAACTTCGGTCAAAGCGAGCGCGCGGCTGTGCTTTCCCTTGCGGGCTCACAGCACCAGTAATTCGAAGGGTGAGGAATGCGGGGCTGGCATTTTCTGCGACAGGTGCTGACTAGGCTCCGATAGTGTTAGGGCCCATGGGACGTTGGCCCTTCCCGCGAGTACATTTGCGTTCATCCGCTCCTCTACATTTACCCTCCTTCACAGTTACACAAAACATTATGGCATTAATAGCTTCCCAATCTTAGGCCAGCAATGCTCATTGCCGTTTCGAACTATTTCCGGTATTCTTGCTTTTCCGCAGCTCGGCCTCTAGCGAGCTACGTTTCTCAGCACCAGCAGCAGCAGGGCTTCTCCGCTTCTTCCTCGCCTCCTTTTCCCCGACAACGCTCTTCTTCTGTGCGCTGCCGCACATCTCCGCATTCCGAGAACGACCCGCGCGAGTCTGCTGCTCGTGACCTGCTAGCAAGCGGCGGACCAACCCAACCCGCCTCGGCAGCCGACCTTTCAAAGGAGCAGCAGCAGCAACAGCAGGCAATGGATCCGCAGCATCGCCAAACAGTGGAGGTAGGCAGCGGTGGTTGCCTCCTGGGGAAGGCTGAATGATGGTGCGCGAATGCGAGGACTGGGGTGTAGCGGGACGGTGGAAGGGAAGCCAGTAGGGCGTGAGGAAGGGAGGAAACGGTGCTGGGTATCAAGGCAGGAATTCGAAGACAGCAAGCAAGACAGCATGCACATGGTTACCAGTTGCCCGCCCCTTTAGTAACACGAGTTCCTAGTTGCCCGTCCTAATCCGTCCCATTAGTAACACGACTTCGACGTTTCCCTGCAACCCCTTTCCTTCCCCCTTTCGGGCCCCCAGGTGGTCGAGGTGGACGTGATTGAGGGCGAGGACGGCGAGCCGGGCAACAGCATGATGGGTACCCTGGCAGGTAGGTTGGATGAGTGACCCATGGGTCAGCGGAACAGCTGAAGCCCATTGCAACCTTTGCTTCTCGGCTAAGACGTCATTATGGCATTGGGGACGTCTTACCAAGTTACCATTACTCCATAGTTAAACTCATACGAACATGTATACTACCTCTCTCCTAACTGTTGCTGCTGTACGGCGTGTCGTGTGCAAGTCGTGTTCCTAGGACCAACCGTCCAACTGTCTTGCCGAAGTTGGAAGAAGAGACGCCTGCGGTGTTTATTGGTTGCTTTACGTATAGCGGTTTATTGGTTATCCGCTTGCTTTGCCAGTGTTTGCGATGCGCTTGCCCGTATCTCGCGATTTGGTCGTTAGTTCGTTGCCTTCCCTGGAGTCGTAGATCTTGGGCCGGCTTGTTTGTTCCCGAGAGCGCCTGGTTCGGCGCTTCTCGGGGCAAAGGAGCGGGTTGACCAAACAACAATCCTATGCTTGAATTGTTGAATGGATGGTGCCGGCAAGGAGCACCAGGGATTAGTCAGCTGCCTGAGAATGAGGCCTTATGCTGACGCGAAGTGTGGCTGAGGGACACTCCGCACCGGGATGTGGTAGCCAAAGGCACCGCCCGGTAACCCCTATAGGATGTAGGCGATACTGTAAGCGGTGCGACGCGCCACGACGTCGCAGAGGCCCGAAGTAAGTAGGCGGCTGAGGCCCCACGCTCCGATTGCCGGCGCTGATACGGCTACTAAATAGCAGGCTGGTGTGCTAGATAGGTGCTACGCGATAGGGCTGGCCAAGCCGGCTATTGCGACGCAGCTGGTAGCGCTATGCACGGTCAGTATAGTAGGCTTTCGTTGGACTCTAACAACGATTACGGACTGTAAATGTTGCCGTGCGGTGTAGCACTGTGAGGCCCCGAGAAGCGCCGAACCAGGCGCTCTCGGGAACAAACAAGCCGGCCCAAGATCTACGACTCCAGGGAAGGCAACGAACTAACGACCAAATCGCGAGATACGGGCAAGCGCATCGCAAACACTGGCAAAGCAAGCGGATAACCAATAAACCGCTATACGTAAAGCAACCAATAAACACCGCAGGCGTCTCTTCTTCCAACTTCGGCAAGACAGTTGGACGGTTGGTCCTAGGAACACGACTTGCACACGACAGCTGTCATGCTCCAGCGATGAAACATGCCAAATCATGACATGGGGTGGAACCTTCCCCCCCCCGACCGAGGACCTCGACGACGCAAGGGCGGAACAACAGCCCAGGACACCCCAAGTCACACTGCTACCGGCAGCGGGTACGACAGTCAACTCCACAGGAAAATCCAAGGCTCGCACGTCTGGCCACTGAAACGCGCGCATACCACGCCGCACGGAAATCCACGCAGCAGTCCTCAGGTTCACGAAACCAGCTACCAAGCCAGCCATAGAGCCAGCACGAGCGGCACTCAGGCGGTCAGAGCCTAAGGTGCACCGACCCACGGGTCAACCGGCAAACCAAGCACAGCAAACCCACCCCCAATTCAGGCAGGCGGGCCACGAAAGCGGCAATAGTCAAGCCTCCGCCACAGAAAAGGCACCAGCAGCAGGCACGGCGAAGTACGCTGCCACCCAAAATCCAACCAAAAACCAGGCGTCCTGGCCTCACCCCCTTGTCTCACCTGACACAACTGAGAAAAGAGTCACAACGCCCAAAACAGGCATAACAGGCAACGCGGCTTGGCGTTCCTTCCCTAAGCAACTGACGAACTCGAAGCAAGACCGAGAGCACGCGGCTTGACGTACCCACTAGCCACTAGCCACCAAGATCCCTACACCAACCTTCTATAGCGGGCCACGCGGCTTGGCGCTCCCCCTTACTACCCCCAACAGCGGCGAGTCTGGCTGCGCTCCCTAGGATAACCCCTACTCCTCGCACTCGCGGTGCAGCGAGCCGGCAACGCCAACCTAACTTCCACAACCTAAGCAATACCCCCTTCTCGGCCGCGCGGCATGGCACGCCTTTTCCTAGCCCAAAACAACGCTACCTGCCCTTCTTCCTCGTACTCGTCTGCTCCGGCATCAGCATGCGCTTCGCCGCAGGCAGCCCGACCGCCTCAGCAAAGCCCCCGTCCCACTCGGCATAGAAGTAGTGGGGCCTCGCCAGACCGCCGCGGTAGCGCAGCACGCCGAGCTGCTCCTCGCGCCCGCGACCGCGCCCCTTGCTGACCATGCGTACGATGCGGCGTCCATCCAGTGCCGCCGCCTCGTCGTCACGCCGCCGCGTGGCGGCGTTCGGAAACAGCACAGCGGTGGGCTCCGGCTGGGGCGGCGCAGGCCCCGCCGGCGCCTCCCGCTGCAGCTGCACGCATTCCGGGCACACCCAGCTGCCCTCGGGGACTTGCGACAGTGGTGGCACGAGGCAGTACAGGTGCCAACCGGTACCGCAGGCGTCGCACAGCAGCATCTTGCCGCCGTCACGAGGCGAGGCACAGACCTGGCAGGCGTGGTCCGCTGCCGGGCGCATGAGCCGCGGGTCGACGATAGGGTCCAAGTCTGGCAGATGGCAGGGCACAAGCTGCTCCACCCGGCGCCTGATGCGCGTGCCGTCACGTCCTATGAGCACCGCCACGCCCAAGGGACCCACCGATTCCACTCGCAAGACGGCCTCGCGCACCGGCGGCTGCAGCGTGTTGCTGGGGTTTTGCCGCCGGACATAGACATAGTCGCCCGTAGCAAACTGCAGCTGCGGGGGGCGCCACAGCCCTGAGCGCACGAGCGCGTACCGCCTGGTATCTCTGTGCTGCGCTATGAGCAGGTTGCCGGCAGCGGCCGGCGCGTGCCGCTGCAGCAGCGCTGCCCTCTCCACCAAGGCCCGCGCGTAGACCTGCTCACCGGCATTCCCAGTGAAGGCCAGCTCCGCCTGGAAGCGCTCTCGTACCGCCGGTGGCACGACTGGCGGCACGCCGTACATGAGGGTGTACGGGGCAAGCTTGGTGGAGGCCTGCGGTGAACAGCGATAGGCGAGAGCCAACCACGGCAAGTGCTGATCCCATGTTTCAGGACTGCCGCTCTCAGCACAGTACTTGCGCAGGGCTGACTTGAGCACCTGCACCAGCCGCTCCGCTGCACCGTTGGCTTGCGGGTGATACGCAGACGTCGGCCGATGGTCCACGTAACACTGCTCAAGAAGGCGGCTGAAGGCCCCCTCGAACTCCCCCCCCTGATCCGTCACTACTTCCGCCGGCGCGCTGAACCTGGCGATGACCTCCAACAAGCCCCTGGCCGT